CCTTGTACGAAAAAGCCTGCAAAAATGGTCTTCACTTCTCTGATGGTTCTTGTATCTTACCCACTCGGCCTTTATCGGAAAACGTTCACATAATCAACATTCGCCTCAGCAACCTGCCATTCACATCTAGGGAAAAACTAGCAGATGGTATTCGACAAGCACTCGCACCCTTTGGTAAGATTCAAGATCATGGTATTCTTCGTGACCATGACTCCCACTTATTTATGGGACATGGTTATGCAACACTAAGTGTTTCAGCCTCACTCGATTTCCTCCCACTCACACACACGATTGCTTGGCCCAACTCCGCCGACTTCTTTTACGCAACATGGGCTGAAATGCCATTACATTGTCTACACTGTCATCGTTCCGGTCACTCTATCTCATCATGTCCTAGTCATCCAAGTCGCAATCGTCTTTGCTGGTCATGTGGTCAACCAGGCCATCGTGCAGCAAAATGTTCTTATCATCGCACCTCAACGCCAACCAACAACAAAGAATCATACGTGCCACCATCGCCACCATCGCCCACACTGTCTTCTGCCCACAGCCACGACTCTGATGTTTCAATGCTTTCTGATGACCTTTCCAATCGTGAAGCTCACAACGACCAGATTATTGTCGACTTTATCCCACCTCAGCCCAATACTGATCCAAACGCCAAACCTATCACTGATTGCCAACGCAGAATACTTAACCGCCTGTTCCCTTTTTCCGATGAAGCAAGAACCATTACTGAAACGCTGACCCGCGTATCTTATGACAGACTTTATGCTACACTTCGCAACAAGGGGAAAGCGTTCCCCCCTTCGTTCTCTTCTGCATCGGAAAGTGTCTCTTCTTCGAGTCACAATGATCCGGTTCGATCTATTTCTATTCCCAGTTAGTCTTCTTTACTCTCACATTGTTGTATCATCTTTGGGGTATCACTCCTCGACATACTCCCAATAAAAACCGAGGCAAATCAAGCCTCCCTATAACGAAGAGGTCGACCCCCAGATCCAGTTTGGCTGGTAGCGACATTGCGAAATCTGGGATTGGCAAGCTTGATCGTGAAACTGGCACCCAAGGTGCAGCTGGCCAAGCCGAGCACATTGCTCTATTCAAAACCCCATGTTTCATTGTAAAGGTTGGAGATACAGGCACCTTTATGTTTGTAAGCGTGATGCTATGACAAGAGTGGTCTTTGTTCATTGTCAAGTAGCTAGACTTTGGAGAGCCAAAGATGCAGAAGGACCTCTTTGGGTAACTCAGCTAAAAAGTCAGGACTTCAGGGACAATGCATGATAGGTACGCAACCCTCACTTTGATGTCATACATTGGCAGCTAATAGCCACTTTTGTGCACTCCCAACTTTTGTGCATTCTATTGTAGGTGGACGATGCTCCTGCTCTAGACATTCATTTCCATGATTAAAGTAGGTTGATCCAAGCTGATTTGGTTGAGTTACGGTCGAACAAGGATTAAGCAGATGAGACATTCGAATGTATGCGGATGTATGGATTAAGGTAATCTCTCTTTGACCGCAGCTCAGTCAAATCAGCTCGGATCAACCTACTTTAATCACGGAAATGAATGTCTAGAGCAGGGGCATCGTTCCCATGCAGTGGATCTCGCAACAATGATGATTGGATAAAAGTGGCTGTTAGCTAGCAATACTGCCTGTTCCTAGATGATCCATAAAATAATTATACATTGACCCTTTCATTCATGCAAACGTAGCTGTGTTACACAACACGACCCTCTGCATCTTTTACTCTGTCAGGGTCCAGGTACTTGACAATGAACAAAGACCACTCTTCATATAGCATCACGCTTACAAACATAAAGATGCCTGTATCTCCAAACTTTACAATGAAACGTGGGGTCTTTAAGAGAACAAGCTTCTCGGCTGAGTCAAAGCGATCTTGTGTCAAAGTATGAAGTTCATCGTGGCCATTCCCAGATTTCGCAATGTCGCCACCAGCCAAACTGGATCTGGAGGTCGACCTCTTCGACGACGACGACCAAAAAATATTTTTTGGGCTAGTTGCGACATTGAACGTGAAACTTTCACACAAGGTGCTGTTGGCCAAGCCGAGCCCATTGCTCTAATAAAAACCTCGCGTTTCATTGTAAAGTTTGGAGATACAGGCATCTTTATGTTTGTAAGCGTGATGCTATATGAGAAGTGGTCTTTGTTCATTGCCAAGTAGCTAGACCTTGAAGAGCCAAAGATACAGAGGGTCGTGTTGTGTAACACAGCTACGTTTGCATAACTGGAAGGATTGGTGGATTATACTTTATGGTCTATCCACAATAGTCCATATAGTGCACGCTAACAGCCATTTCCTCACAATCGGCGTTGTTGCAAAATCCACTGCATGTGAACGATTCTCCTGCTCCAGCCGAGCATTTCCATCATTCAAGTTTCTTGATCCGAGCCGATTTGACTGAGCTACGCTGGAACAGCAAACACGAAAATTCTTGAAAGACAGACCCTGCGAATGTCTCCGTCTTTCAAACTTGTGGACGCTCCCATTCCAAATTTTCAAATGAAGCATGAAGTATTTATTATGAAAAAGTTGATCAGCATGCTCGAGAGCACCATTCTGACCAATGTTCAAGTTGGAGGTGAGCAACTTCGGGGCGGTGGGCCGTCCGCTCTTTTGTTCCCGTCATCCACCATTTGGATCACCCCGCATTTTAAATCTTCACAATGAAGTCTGCGACTTTTGAATGAATGAAGTCGATCAGCATGATCCAGCGAACCTTCTGACAAAGTTTCATGTTCGAGATGGGGAATCCCAAGGTAATACATACTATTTCCATAGATCATGAATCCGGCGCTGCCATGCTTTCCGAACTCCATAGTAATCCCACATTGTACCCTCCCATTCAATATTTTTAAATGAACATGAGGTCTTTTTTAAAACAATATTGATCAGCGCATCCCAGAGCACCTTGTGTGAAGGTTTCAGGTTCGAAGAGGGGTAATCTCAATATCAAGGATTGATGTACAGTGTTCATGCATTTATACAAGAGGTGTCCGACCGATTTACTTTCCACTTCCCCCACTCTCAGCTCTTCCCTCTTCCTCCCACCCTCAACTGTTGCCCCATTCAAGTATACAACTACAACCCGCGAACGATTATCCTGCTGCTACCCATCATGTCAATCCTACAACTGCCTTGATCCGAATGTCTTTCACTGAATGGCATGTCGATGGCGTGTGCAGCCCATTACAACACACGAGCCTCTTGACACTTCACCTTCTCTTGTACGCTCGTCTACCACAACCAAACGTAACAACGTTCATTCCAACAGTTGCTATTAGTGTTGTCTTTTCACCATCGACTCAAGTTACTTGCAGCAACTTTCCTTACAGCCTTGTTCACGTGAACAGCAGATAGCCATTGTATAGAAGCAGCTTTATTTACGCATAGCAACTTGGTTCAATACATACGACTTCTTGTGGATATGGATATGGATATGAATATTGGTTTGGTATGTGGGATGGAAGGAATTGGATATATACAACGCGTGGAAAGGGAGCCTTTGTCGAGTTGACGATTGCTTGATACTATCGTCCTTTATGCAACCTGTCAACCAAGTACAACCATCATCATCCAACAACTCCATGTTGTGAGACGCCCTGCATACAATTCGCCACCTCACGCTGATCCATCCACCTTTGCACATTGCACGCCCAAAGGATAGAATTTTTCAATCAATACATACCCCCCATTGGAGCAATCCGTTGTACTTCTCAATCTATTCTTGTGAATGACGTTGGATTAAAAAGATCGCCTTGGCCAATCATTTCTAAAGTCTATAGCGTAAGAGATCTTCCTTCTTCCTGAGTTAGACCTCGTCCTGTGTAGGCACTTGATGCATCATTGTATTGTAGAGAGTTTTTTGATCCACATGTAAATGCTTCAATAAAGGAAAAAGAAGGAGTCTGATTGATTCATTGTGTCTTGAACAAAGAGTGTATTCGATAATATAGCTCACTTCGTTTATGTGGTTTGGATCTTGTAAGATAGCAATTTTATTATATACGGCATGGGATAGCATGATTATCCGCTTATGAATTTGAATCTTGATGAATGGATATCCACTGACGGAAGGGGTGGCATATCACGTGCATCACTATAAGCTGCAAGCTGCAACATCCGCTTTATTTATTTGTCGACTTGAGTCGGCGTACTATTATGGAACCCATGAGAAATCACAATAATTAGCTCCACTCCTTTTTCTCTCACCATCTCTCTCTTTCTTTCAAGAATACAAACGCGCATCTCAACACCCTGACAACACCACCATACGTTGATCTTTGTTAAACCAAAATGACTGCACGTGTAGCACGCAGCATCACCAAGAGTGTGCTTTCTCGAGAACAAATGGATGGCGTCGGTGCACGAGGTATCGTGTTCTACTCAACCTTTTTACACTGTACAAGATCGTTTTGATAACTTTGGATTCATGCGCATAAAGTGTATCGTAGCATTGGAAGTGTTCAGCTCCGCAACTTGGATCCATTTTTGATGTTGGATGAGTTTGACGTGCAAGCACCTGCTGGATTTCCCGATCATCCCCACCGTGGATTTGAAACAGTGACATACATGTTGGAAGGTGAATTTTTGCATGAGGATTTCAAGGGTCACAAGGGCAAGATTGGTCCTGGTGATTTGCAGTGGATGTCAGCAGCACGTGGCATTGTGCATTCTGAAATCCCAGCTTCAAACAGCCGTGCACATGGTTTGCAATTATGGGTCAACTTGTCATCCAAGGACAAGCTCGCTGAGCCTAATTACCAAGAATACCCAGCAGATAAAGTGGCTCATGTCTCACCTGAAGATGGCATCAATATCAAGATCATTGCTGGCGAATCTCATGGCGTGAAAAGCCCTGTCATGACACGCACACCCACCATGTTTATCGATATCAAGTTAGCCAAAGGCAAAACTGTAGAGCAAACGATCCCTGAGGAGTATGCAGGCTTTATTTACACCATTGCTGGAACCGCTACTTTTGGAAAAGATCGACACCAATCCGATGCACATCATACACTCGTTCTTAGTAACGACAAAGGCACGGTCATCCCTGTTGAATCTCTCTCAGATGATTGCCATTTTGTCATCATTGCAGGAAAGCCTATCAACGAGCCTATTGTTCAACATGGCCCATTTGTTATGAATACGGAACAAGAGATTTATCAAGCATTCCATGACTATGATCGTGGTATTAATGGCTTTGAAGGTGCACCAGGATGGACATCATCCATTCGTGATAAATGGTCTAAATAGTGATTTACATAGCTAATATTAACGCCTTTTTTATTTCTCGTCTATTGGGTTATCATTGTTGGTAGTAGGAGTGGGAGTAGTGGATGATGATGAAGGTGTGCTATTGTCTGCGTTGGTCTTTTGCTTCTTCTTTGCCCTGTACTTCTCCTTCTTGACTTCGTCAGAATCGCATCGTGGTCGATCCAAGAGCTTCTTATAGCGAGAAGAGCGTACTTCCTTACCGCCTCCCAAAACAATCGATGGTGGGTCATCTTGATGTGTCTCCAAATGCGATGCAAGTGTCTTTGATCCACTTTCCACTGGATATCCCCACATGGATGCCATAAAAGTTTGACATAGCAGCGTACGAGTCATGTGATCGGCCCAAAGATCTTGCCAATGTTGATAAATGCGAACAGGGGTTGCTGTGGATACGGCAGCACCATTGCCTGCATATTTCCAATCCAAGCCATCAAACTCACAATCATACAATAGCAATGGTAACTCGCTAGCCATAGGATAATCAGGACGAGATTCAATCTTTGATACGTCGAGTAAATCTTGGATGATCTCTGGACGCTCCAATTTTTGACCCACAAGGAAAAGGATCGACATGATACAACGCACTTGATGCCACAAGAAGGCTGTTCCTTTGAGCTCCACTTCAAAAAAGCCTGTACTATCGGAAGCCCCTAGAGCTGGAGGAGCAACAGGTCGAATATCAAGCGAGAGAACGGTGCGTTTGTAGTTTGTGATGTTTTTGGATGGGTCGAGCTTGCAAAAGTTGCGGAAGTCATGTTCACCAACAAAGTAAGAAGCACCTTGTCGCATCAAATCAAGATCCAATTTGCCACGTGGAAAGAAGTACTTGTATGTGCGTGAACGGCAATCAAAGCGTGAATTGAAGGTGTCTGATACAGGAGCCCAGGCCAATACACGGATATCATCAGGCAAGAGTCGATTGATCGTCTCGATGTATGGAATCTCTTCACTCTTTTGAGGCAAATTGCTTCGTACACGTAGTGATACGACTTGACCAAGACCACTGACACCCTTGTCGGTACGTCCACAACGTGAAAATTGACATTGATCCGGATCCACAATAAGTCGACAGCTTTGCAGTGCTTGGAATAAGCGTCCTTCCACCGTGGGTACTGCTTCCTCATTGCCCTGTGCAGCAAAGCCCATATAATTCCATCCAAGATAGGCCACCTTGAGTGCGATATGACGTTGACTGTATTTGCTCATATCAAAAGGTCGTTGCTCCTTGCGAGGTTTGCCATTGATCGATCGTTTACTCGGCACATTGGTCGACGACGATTCAAGAGCTGCAATGCGTTCCAAAAGCTGTTCACGGGTCCAATTCTCATATCGGCTCATTGTGCTGGTGGTGCTGCTATATCTTCTCAACAAACGCTGGAACATAAAAAAGTAAAGAGCGGGAAAGGAAGAGGTTCTTCTTGACACCGTCAAGTCACATACCCTTTTTTTCTAACCTTCTCCTCTTCCACTCTTTCACCACAACTCGATCCATTGACAATGACTGATTTCGAGGCCAAAGGACAAGCATTCTGGCAATGGCTTGAAAAGAATGGGGCAACTTTATCGAATGGGATTGGATTCAAGGACTATCGATCCGAGGGAGCAGGACGAGGTGTTGTGGCGACAAGGGATATCAAGGTAATAAGGATGATGGATGATGATGCATATAGCCAAGGTAACACAATGGATCTGACAGCTCCAGTTAGGAAGATGAAGAGCTGTTTTCTATTCCAAGGCCCCTGTTGTTATCTGTGGAGACATCCAAGCTGCGTGATGCATTGACAGGAGATGATGTACTCGACAAAATGACAGGCTGGAGTCCCCTTATCTTGTGCCTGATGTATGAGAGCCAACGTGATGATTCATTCTGGAAACCTTATTTCGGTAAGCAAGCCATGGATTAGAATGGGAACAGACGACGACTCAACAATATACAACCTATCAGATGTTTTACCCAAGGACTTTTCTACTCCCATGTTTTGGTCATCGGATGATATCAAGGAATTGGAAGGAACAGACATTGTTGGTAAGTCAATAGCATGTGCTGTTTAGGAGATGGGATAGGGTGAAAGGGTGACAAAGGGGGGAAACAAACTACTTTGGCAATTAGAGTTATCATGTTCCTTTCGACTAAACGCCAATATTGTATTAGAAAAAATCGGCAAAAAGGAAGCGGATGAGATTTTTAGTCAAGAGATTGAACCTGTGATCAAGGTATGAAAAGCATAACGGGGTCATATTTGGATATCATTAACATGTGTGTGTGTGTATGCGTATTGTAGAACCATCCAAATTTGTTTGATCCTGCTGTGCACAACCTTGACTTGTTTCATCGATGCGGCTCGTTGATCATGGCCTATAGTTTTCATGATGAAAAGGATGGCGAGGATGAGGAGAATGCTGATACCGACAAGGAGGATGAGGAGGATGAGGATGAAGAAGCACCACCCAAGGAATTGCTTGCAATGGTGCCAATGGCTGATATGCTCAATCACAAGACTGGATACAACAACGCACGCTTATTTCATGAATCCGATTGTTTACGCATGAAGGCCATCAAGGACATTAGAGAGGGTGAACAAATTTACAACACATATGGCGACTTATGCAATGCAGACCTGCTTCGGAAATATGGATTTGCAGATGAAAACAACCCCTTTGACCTTTGCGAGTTGAATGGTGGCCAAGTGATTGACATGTTTGCCAAAGATGACAAGCTCCGAGACAAAAAGGTGCGTTTTTTTGGATTGGGGATACACACACAACATTTGACCCCTTTGTCTAACCAACGTATCGTATCCTTTTTACAATGACAGATTGAGTTCTTGATGGAGGAGGAGGCATTGGATGAGTAAGTCTTTTTCTTTTCTTGTTGAATGGGGACCTTGCAGCAAGCACATGCATGGCTGGGTGTGTGAGATTCCCTTCATCCCTCTCTCTCTCTCTCTCTTTATCTTTGTTATGCCCCTTTTCACCACCATACATATTGACAGCCGGATCGGGATTCTTGCTCATCATCCTTTATGTTTACTGCATATAGTTGCTTTGTGGTTGATACGGATCATGTGTTACCTGATGAGCTTGTTAGCACACGTAAGTGTTTGAAAAGGAGAAAACTGATGCTGTGTATGTTTTGTGGCGCACCGTATCTAAACTTTAAGCTGTGTAGTGCATGTGCTGCGCGCGTCGGCTGGCGAGTTTAAGCAAATGGAACGCAAACAAAAGCTGCCTAAAGCACAGGTCACTGCACCCGTGATTGACATGGCTATCGACATATTGCAAGCACGACTGAAACGGTATCCGACGTCATTGGATGTAAGTTGGGAGAGAGGGCATACGCGTGTCAGGGGGAAAATGGACATGTATGAGTGAGAGAGAGTAAGAGAGTGGGGTGCATTGACGATATTGAAATGATAACAGGCCGACATGACTGAACTGCAACAAAACTGCAACACCAACAAGCGCCATGCACTCCTTGTCCGTATCGGCGAAAAGCAAATTATCCACAACACCATTGATAAGCTGCAACAAGAACAAGGCAAACGTAGCAATGATGATGATGGTGGTAGCGAATCCACAAACAAACGACAAAAGACAGCATGAGCCCAATAGGAGAAAGGATGGTGATTGATTGCAAAATAGTGCGTATCACGCGTTCAACGGTGGCCGATCAGCCGTGTGCATGGCCCTGAAAAAATAGACCGATATGGAGAAAATAAAAGAAAGTTTGGGGGGTTCAAGACGTGTATAAAACCGATATCCAAATGAAGCATTCTTTCCTTACACCTTTCTCTCTTCCTCAGGCTCTTTCACTTGTTCTCTCTCTCAGCGAAACGAGGGTCCATCTTGCTACACAACTACCTCTTTTTCCCTTTCTTGTATTACTCTCTATCTCTTGTACTATAGTCACCCACTTTATATTATGGCGACCATTTATCAGACCAAAAGTGCAGTGCATTACAGCAACCGCAACAGCAAACCAGCCTCGCCACCACCCAGCCAGCTATTGGCACAGATTTCGACCAATGTGGCCAAACTTGTCGAATGCCCACGCGAAGCACGATCTTTGGCACATCGACGACTCCCGAGTTTGCCCAACTTTATCCACCAGGTTTATGTTAAATGCCGTATGACACCAACATTGCTTACGGTGGCCTTGATCTACTTGCAACGTCTTCAAACCAAACTTCCGAGCGGGTCTCAAGGAGAATACGACACGCCATACAAGTTGTATCTTGCATCAGTTGTATTGGCATCCAAATTCCTCGAAGATTCGCATGCCGTTTCACGCAATGTTTATCGTGTTTGTGCACCCGTTTATTCTGCTGAAGAGATCTCGGTCATGGAACGATCATTCCTTGGTGTCATCAAGTACAACCTCTTTGTAAAGTGGGAAGAGATTACACAATTTGTGCAAGATCATGGCGAACCTATCAGTATCCTTGAGCTGGACCTCTAAAAGCTGTATATACCTTCACGAGCCACCAACAACAACAGCAACCTTATACGCATACAATCACACTCCCTCTCCTTTTTTTGCGCATACAAACACCCCCCAACATCCATTCATCATATTCTCATCCATCCTCTTTTTTTCACCCCCTTGAAAAGTGCTGCTCCCTTTTCTTTTCCTTATTTCGCAACACTCTTTCTTTTTCTTTTATCCAAAAAAAGCTACTACGGTACGGGATTACTCTTTAATATGTTTACTTTTGTACAGACTCTTTCTTTTGCACCACCAACAATACTACACCACCACCCCTGACGGTTCTTTTTCGCTGCTGTAAATACAAGAATACCCTTATCTTTTCTCTCCCACAACCCCCACATCATCCGTCAACCTTATGGACGATTATATGCACAGACTTTATGATGGCCAATTCAAAAATCAAAAGGAATCTCAATACAATCTATATATTTTCAATCTTGCTCTCTCTCTCTAAATCATCATTGATCTTGTGTAATGTGCATCACAGCTGCATGACAGCATTACCCAATATGGATAGGGAACCAGTAAATTCTCCAAAATAGGATATGTCTTCTTAATGCATATGACGAAACCCCCTCTTCTCCTTGAGAGAAGGGGCCACATTGGTTTGCTTTTTGCTTTTGCTCTCTTTTTGTTGTGGAATTGCAATCTCGTCCGAGCCAGGCGCGGTTACAGGGACGATGATGATGATGATGAGGAGGAGGTTGTTCACACTCATGAGATTTACGTCCCATAAACTCGGACTGGCACATGATGATGGTGACCTTGCGTGTGCTCTCTCTCTCTCTCTCTTTCTTTGTTACGCGCGAAATAGCCAGCACACATACAACCGAGATTCCCTTGTGCATCATTGTTGGTTCTATTCTCAAATGGATCTCTCCTAGAATTCAATCCATTGCATTCTAGGTACGAATTGGGCATCATTCACAACATTGCTGGTGATGGTGATGTCTATGTGTTATCCATCATCACCATCATTCTTAGCAATGAACAATCACCATCATCACTCTTCCCCTTCTCTCCTCAACCCCCGATTGCATCGGCCTAACCCCTATTCTCTTTACGCCTCTTTTACCTCTTGCTTTATTTCACATAATGCCGCGGCGGAACATTAACAATGCTTTACATCTGTACATGGAGTAAAAAAAGGGAGAAAATAAAAGCAAGCGAGGTGCACATTATAGATGCATCCCTGAACTCTGCTCTATTAATATAATGCTATACATAGACATTATCCTATACAAAGTCGATGCACGTAGCAACAGCAGCATCCAGCAGCAGCAGCAGTTGCAGGATTGATATAGAGCCTAAAAGATTAGCGTCGTCGTAGATGATGTTGACTACAACAAAAAGATCGAGTTGGAATCTAAATGTAGCATTTTGATGCATGGTGGTGAAAGAATGGAATGATTGTGGTAGCACTATTATTACGTTGCTCATGGGAAGTGCTTGACAACATGAAGCGTTTTTGTGATCTTGCTCTTCACCCCCCCCACAAACGCACACCCAACCAACAAGGTATCTTGAGCTCTGTTGACACTGTAGTACAGATGCAATGCATGTAAGTACTCGTTACAGACGCATAGTGTTTCTTAAAGTGGAGAGCAACGGTTGCATGATCCGAAATGTGTAACGAAAACGATCAAAGCTATACAAATGCCAATGATACAAGTAGTATGGGAACATGACATAGGATGGCTATACGTTATCTCCGTAACACGGTTTGATCCCGACCTCATTGCTGCATCAACAAAATCACATGGCGGTGTATCAGAGTGCTGCTGCCTCTTTTTGGGTCATGTCGTCTCTTTTGGATGAACCCCCCTTTTTTCACTTGTACTAGATTTAGTTCAAATGACAATCTAATCGAGTCCCCTGGAATTCTTTCAAGCGGAAAAATGGTACATTGTCCTCCTCTCTCTTTGAATATCGCGCACTTCCGCAATACACATTCATTGCCTGCATCATTATGCACATTGTCACTTGCATACATCTCCCATTTCCTTTTTCATCACAACATTGGTTTCCCGGAATTTCTGCTACCAATGGGCCGGTATCTCACACACTCACTCACACCTACATGGGACACGGGCATGGTTCGAAATAGGCATCTCTTTTGTTACACACACATGCTCACACACATAAGCCGTGGTGTGGTGGAACAAAAACAACAACAACTTTTTGACACAATACCGTAAGATCACAAGCACGTAAAATGCATATCGTCAATTGGATGCATCTGGATGCATATAGCTTTATACGCCGTCGTATCGTCCATCCATTTTCAACGCCGTTTGTTTGATGACACAGCAACAATGGTAGTAAGCGGCACATCCTTTATTCTGTTTTGAGGAAAGGAGGTGGTCGATCCCCGAAGATTCTTGTTCAATGATGTATTATCTACGTAATTGGGGTGTGTGTAACGAGTTTATTCTCAACCAAAGATCCGGGTAATCAGGTCGCTTCTGATGTAAGGTGCTAAAAACAATCGCCCCGTCACTGCCAGCAAAGCAAAATTGAAGAGTATGCACCATGTGCGATGGATCCATCCCTTGTCAGGTCGAAGCGTCGTATCCAATAACTTGATTTCCAGTAATACCAAGACGCCTTGAAGCATAAAGAAAAGGATTTGCTCCAAGGTCACTTTACGTACAACAGCAGCGAGCATCACTTCATGAAACAATCCACTGACGAAAAAGATAAAGAGCCCACGCACTATGCGCGACGTGTAACGAGATGCTGATAATTGGCGTTGATTGGAGAGTGTTATCTTCATAGCATCATGAGGCTTTTGTGGTACTTGGTGTGTTGTTGTTGCAAAGAATTGTTCATGCAATAAATTTTTGACAGGAAGGTTCCACCGACGACTATGTATGTGCATCACGTGGTAAACATCTTAGTGCCTGATCAATATTGCCCACCCACCATCACCACCACAACACGTGCTGGTGGCAAAACGTACCTCCAAAAGTCGCGTAGACTTATGTCATAAATAGATGAGATTAGATATTCACATCCAATGACATGTATACCATGTTCCCCTGTGAGATTTACCTGTGAGCCATGATAGGTGAATCAAACATGTCCATATAGGAGATTCCCAAAATGAATTGCTGCAAGCCAAATGAGAGATCCGAGATACCGCATAAACAATAGACCTTGATCCCAAGTACAGCTGTTAACCATACGCTGTATAAACTCCAGTAGGGCAATGCTAGTAACAATGGACCATAGTTGGGAGGGATTTGTGGATCAATGATGCTCTTCATGAACGCCCATTTGAATACGCCTCGTGCAACCTTGGCCAAGCCTTGTATACGTATACGTACTCGCTCCTCGTTGGTAGTAGTGGTCGTGTTGGAAGGTGTCATGGATGAAATGGAACGCACAAGGTGATTGAAGAATGAGGCCTTGTTGTTGTTGTCTTTAATGTTGCTGGCATGTTGCACAATTTTGGATGCAATGAACCAAGGGGCACCAATAAGCATACCATTGATATAAAAGTTGGGGCATGCAAAGACGATGGGCATCAAAAAGTGGATAACGACAAGGGCAACACGTAGCCGTGCACCATGAAGAATGGTAGGGATATGATGCTCGTGGCGTGCCAAGAGATAGTCAATACAAAACAAGCATAAATGAAGAGAAAAGAGTTGTACACATGAAAGAATAATGGGTGCTGGCAGGTCGATGTTTACGATTGGTGCGGTATTGGCAAACATAGGAAAGCGAGTACAGAGTTGTTCAAGTGCCAAAAAAACACAATAAAAGGAATGGGGGAAAGGGGAAATCGGAGTAACAACAAGGAACTTGCCATATAGAAGCGAAAAAGGGTACACAAAGAACGGCAGCTGCATATGTACTAGGAAAGTTACATCGATCGAATGTTCAAGCGTGTTCCTCAGATCAAAAGTACCGAAGATTGACGTCGTGCAAACAAAGTAAATATAAATCACATGTCATGAGGGTATATGTATAAATGTCTCAGGGACACGTGTGGCAATAATGTGGGGTTGGCAGTCCAGGAGTGGAGACTTTATTGTTGTATTCAGGGTCGTGTGTTGGCAAGAAAAGTCAATTAACTAATATACTATGTCGCTATGGATACGATGCAGTATGTCATGTGTTTTATCCTTCTTTTGTGAATGTATGTTCCACCACCAAACATTACAAATGATTATAAACCAAGTTGGAGGCGGATTTGGTTTCACCGGGATCATCCCCTTTCTTTTTCCGTCGCCGATTCTTCTTGAGTCCCAAACCTTGTTCAACATTTTGTATATTAAAAAACCCACTTGCTCTCCAGCTTTGCGTTCTTATGAATGGGAATGTCGAAGACAATCGCCGCAAAGATGCTAATACGAGAACCGCATGCTTCCGTTGCCGTGGCTTCAGGTAATGGACTTGTAGATTCAATCGTGTGAAATGTGAGGGTTGTTTTTTGACATTGGAAGTATAGACATGCGTGCGATCGCAAGCGGCCGAGTTGTTCGAGGTGTCAAGGCAAAGGCGTGAATTGTGTCTATCCTGAAGCAGCGCCGACGATGAAGAAGTTGCAGCAGCTAGCCGATGACCTTGCAAAAAGAGTTACAAGCCTAGAGAACCTGGTAGCCATGAGTGAACCAACGGCCGTGGCCGAGCATGTCAAGAGTCAGCCTTTGCTGATGAAACATTTTGCCTTGTATCCCTGTCAAAAGTGCAATCATCTTCAACAACCATGCGACATGAGATTGCCAAGTTGTAGTCGCTGCACGGAACACGGCATCGCTTGTACCTATCTTTATGATGAAAAGCCCAAGGTGTATCATATCTCACATGCCATATCCACCATGAACAACGTCCTCGACGAATACGAATCCACTATGCACACTTTGCCTTCCATGATACCCTCCGACAACGCATCTCCTTCTTCCATTTCTACCACCGATTCCAACAGCACATCCGATGATCCTACAACTGCCACTACTATGGTCAATACAACAACAACAACAACAACAACAACCTATCGAAAGCCTATTTGGACCATCATGTCAACACCCAAAGGCTTTTCAGGGGTTGCTCATGTCTCATCATACAATGAGTTACGGATGTTGCTGGATCACGTCCATGATACTCAACCAGGCAACAATTTCCTTCACAAGAACGACATCCGTATTATGCAACAACAACCATTATCCATTGAAGCAGGAACATCATCTACAGCCGATATGCCTTTTTCAATATGGAAAGCATGGGCAAATCCTACACAAGAGCTTCCTCGGGATTATCCAATCGATGTCACATCTCAATTGACAGGCGACCTATTAGAGTTGTATTCTCGTACGCCATGTTGTTCAATGAATCGCCTTCCTATTGTGGATGGAAAGGATATCCTTGCACGCTATTACAGCCCTGATCCAAGTCAACGTCCAAGCAAGGTGTTGGTGTATGCTATTTGTGCCATGACAGCTCGTAATGCCTTCCAGGTGCATGTTTGGAGCAAACGACCCGCCCATGAGACGCCTCAATACAATATGGGCAAAGCCCTTTCGATTGCGTATTGGTTATCAGCACGTAAATTGTTGGCAGAATGTTTCGATGAGCCCTCCCTGGATACGTGTCGGGCGGCATTATTCTTGTCATACTGCAGCCATCACAATGGATACCTGAATCTGGTTCGCTTTTATGATTGGATCACCGTTTCCATGGCACAAGAACTAGGCTTGTTTGATCGCAAAGAGCAACCCTATTACGATGCATTGCTTGCCTGGGTCATTTACTATTGGCATGTTTGGATGCGTGTATTGGGCGCTGGATCATCTCATAAATCAGTTCCCAGGCCTTCGGTTCCACCACCTTCTCCACCACCCTTGACAACGCCAATGGATGACGAAGACTACAACGTATACAACGTCCTACGATCATGGTGCTATCGTTTCCAGCTCCAGCTACAACGAGATGAAATCATGTCATGCACCCTATCAGCACAAAAGCAGGATCTAAGTGCTGAGCATCTATCGCAAATGTTCAAGCCTCTTGAAGCGGATTTGAAGGCGTTATTTGAATCATTACCAGATAATTGGCGGCAAGATCCACCCAAGCAACAAGCTCCCGACAACAATGATCAGCGAAAAGAGAATGGTTACACAATTGGACGAGACATGCTTGAATACGCGTGTATTGTGGAGGTGCAAGTTCAATATTACATCAATGTGATCATGCTCTATTATCCATTTCTTCCCTCGTCATCATCATCATCCAACACAAGATCATTGTCACCATTTACCCGTCGCTGTCTTAGGGTGTGTTTACACGCAGCTCAAACTATCACATGCGCAATCGAGAACATTGTCCAAGGTTGTTCAGTTCCGCTGATCGGTCTGGTCTTTAGCAATAGCGTCTATCAACGCATATTCCAATGCACACGCAGCCCAGCAGCTCTACAAGCCATGCAACAATCCCTTGTCATATCCAAAGCAAGTCTTCATTATGCCTATGACTTTGAATCACATCGACCCCTTGTACGGCTTATGGAACAAAAGGTGCATGCTGTAGATGGCAAAGGAGGAGGGGGTGGAGGGGGAGGAGAGCAACAGCAGCAGCAAGCAGATGTAGTGATGGGATGGTTACCATAACAAAAACAACAATAATAATAAAAAGACCAACTCAGGGCCTAGAAAGAAAACACATACACTTATAATTGATCTCCCCATTGCGTTGGCCCAGGCTCAGTAACATTGGAGCATGTAATTGGGAACACGAAGAGTTCTGGACCACAGTGCGCTTCCTTTTTTGGTCTAGACTCTATTCAACAATCGCTGGTATTCAAAAACGATGTGCGCCTTTTTCTGGTCATCCTCCACACACATTCACAGCCTGGACTTTTTTTCTCCTTGTTTTCTCTCTTTCCTTTGTCTTTTTCTCTATTTCATGATGCTCAAGAAGACTTTAACTGCTTCTCGGCATCGTTCAGTATGCGATCTTCCACTCGAACTTCATTTACGGGTCGCTTCCTATCTTAATTTTTCAGACCTGTGGTACTTTGGTATCTGCTCTCGCTCATGCCAAAAGATCGCCGAGCAACTCATCTATCACAAGTATCATATCGACCTTGCTCGTCAACGCACCAACTCGTTCAATCATCTTATTCACGCAGCAGTGGCATTTGTATGTCGCCATGGATACGACGACGACAACGATATCAATAATACAGTGATCCAATGGGTGGCCAACCGCCTTGCAGTGGAGATTTACGATCGAACACCACAATACGATTGGGCACCATGCTTTGATTATTTTATCGACAGGATGCTTGGCATCATGTTGGAACACGTTTTATGTGACCCATCTCTCGATCCAGTGCCATCCCTGAAAGATTTACCGGTAGTCATCAAGAGCAAAAACTACAAACCTACTCGCATGGGATACCTGATGACGAACCTGCTCGTCACTTTGTACCCAACCTTGACGGCATTATTCGATGCTGAACCCGCTAGTGCTATTCATCATCGTTTATTGCTGGCACATATTTGCAAACACATTGATACGCTTACTCGACGTTATCATCAACAACAACGCCGCCGTCTTGTTTTGGGCAATTCTAATGCATCATTGTCATCCACAGTACGACATGGCTTTCGGGTGCTTATCCAGTTCGTTGGCACTCTGGCACAAACCGAATTGTTGACCGCAGCCGACTTGCACACATTGACTCAGCAACGCATTATTTACTTTTTCTTGTCAAACAATCCCACCACTCCACCTCCAGAACCTATTTCTTCAACATCAACATCATCGTCATCATCATCGTCATCATCCACCACCTCTTTGTCATCGCCTTCGCCATTACCATCACCATCGATTAGTAGCAACAGCAACACTACACCATCATCAGCCGTGGATGTGAAAGAATACTTTGATCAGCATTGGCTTACCGAAGAGACCGAGTTCCAGACTGTGGTTTTGTTTGACCTTTTACGGGCCGTCATGTGTCGGCAGTATGCTCACTGGGACTCAGACAAAGAACTCCATACCCTGAAATCGTTACTCAATGAAACCGTCAATGCCTTAGGATCCTGCAGGTCCAACAACAATAACCCTTCAGAAAAAGTAACACCTACTTCTTCATCATCATCATCATCATCACCACCACCTTCCTCATCTCCCGCCTCTGCCATTGTTCCCCCTCCTTCTCCCATCTCACCTTCTCGGTGATACGAAAACATCATCATTCCTCTCGTTAATTATTATTACATTGGTCACCCTCTCTTCGCATTATATATCTTGTATACACCGTTTCCTCCCAAAACCATGTCACTAATACTTAAAAACTTTTCTTGGTTACGCCTTTCCATGAATAAGCAGGCCTTTTTCATGGATATGGTTTTCCGCTCGTACATAGTCTTCCTTTACAAAATAAATCACACACATGTATCATCTCACAAACGTATGACCTTTATGTGTTCCCAATGACGTATTAACATGGTAGCAACTTTTGTATATAGATATGCATGTCTCGGATGTGTGCGTGGTGAGGCACAAGATAATACACAGCCACACAAAATTCTAGAACACTTTTACTTGCGGACCAATTTCCGGACTAGCTTAGTCCAAGTAATAGTTAGCAGTATATATAGCTATGATGGGAACAAACATCTGTGCACACACACACAACCTGTCCCATTGACGTAGTATTTGCTTTTGTTTTACTCTCACGATATCAACCCATCATCCATCCTAACGTATGGGTTGATTATTCCCACACACACACACACATACTAGCACATCTTGTTGTTGCTAAGAAGGAGGGGGGCCGATTCATTCAACAACAGCATCAACAGTTGGCTGGAACATCAACATGATGCATACACACAAACATACAATCTCTCTTTTATATGTCGCTAGAGTCCAGAACCAAGAATAAAATGATTTACATGCGTTGCAGGCAAAACGGGTGACACCGCTCTATTTACATCTAATATCCGTGGTTAGAGCACATGCATGTTCGAGAATGTCGTTGGTCGACCGAATCCCTTTTCGGGTGAAATAGATCATCCTTGGACTCATTATTTTGGACTCTACATGTTTCTTGTTGTCAAGAGACTTCTTGAATGAGACATGCTACATACCCTTGTTGTGTCAAATAAAGGAGGGGTTGAGGTTTTCTGTTAACCTCTTACATACGATACATAAAAATGTCATGCGATCCATATCTTTGATAGATCCAAGGTCCATCAATGATAGCAGCTGCCACAAGAAGAGGGTACACGTGGTTGTAATGATATCATGGACCTTGGCATGTGCATGAATGTCCAGGCACTTTAATGTATCTCATCACACCCATGGCTCATTTAAAGAATACTGTGGTCTTTTTTATTAAAGCACCAATCATGGTGAGCCGCACGATGCAATCGCTATTCATCGTTAAGCCCAGAGGGCATTGGAAAATGACTCTCTCTCGATTGGTAGCATGAAGGTCGGTTTGTACCTCGGATACCATAATGCCATCAAGCATCATCACTCTATTGCTTTTAAGCTACTCCTACACCACACATCTATATCCTTATTCACTAGCAATCTCCGGTAATTATAACTGCGACTTGTTGATCCATGCATAGATAGCATCACTCCATTTTCAACGATACGATGTTGTATTTAGTAAAGATCAAGTGGCAATGTAAATGGTACATACAAGGTGGGGTATATGATGGATAGATGGATGGTGGATATGGAAAAAGTTGAATGTAGAATTTACAGGTGGACCTCCTCTTCATCTTCGCCACTACGTATTTTGCGTTTCTTGGTCATTGGAATAATGCTGCTGGATGTTTTGGGTGATGATGATGGATCGTATGCAGTGTAATTATTCATGCTAGATTCATTGCAGGAAATTAACATACACGCAATGCATAATGAAAGGGTAGTGTATAATATACTTGCCTCCCCAAATCCTTCTTGGCATCATCATTATCATCATTGTTAATCTTGCTCTGTTGTTGGCTGTTTTCATATCCTTCGATACCTTCTTCATCATCATCATCATCTGAAAGTTCTGGACATACAATCATACGTGATGGCCATGATCGCTTGGGTGGTGAGGATCGTTGTTGTTGTTGTTGTTGAGGAGGAGGAGGAGGAGGAGAAGAAGATGGGTGTGGTGATTGTGTCTTATGCAAATTCAATTTGTTGTCGGCATCCAACATCTTGAAGAGAGCTTGATGATGTTCCTCGACTGTGGACTGCATTTGATCCGTTACTCGTTTCAGAAACCCTTCAATAATAGTTTGAACTTCCTTGGCGCTATTGTCATTGTCATTGATGCTGGTACCAGTCCTGTTGCATACGGAAGATACCACTTCAGGTATTAAATGCTGTTGCTCTGATACGAGTTGCGATAAGGTATCCTGGAGACTATGTAGCTTAGGCGTAACATTGGATACCAGCTCTTGTAGACGACGTGTTTTGATATCCATGGTATCGATGGCGGTCTTGAGTTGTTGAATGGTGCTTTGTACTGCTTTCATGTCGTTGGACATGTGCTGTTGGCAATTGACTTGAGATTCTAGTAGCTCGGCTACTTGGCGTTCGAACTCGTGTTTGGATAGTGAAGAAGACCCATTGGATTCAGGGTGCTTTGTAAGTGAGGTGCCATTGGTTGCTGGAAGTGGTGGTGAATCCATGAAACAAAGAAGAGTGGAACGAGAATAAAGGTGTGCGCTCTCTCATTATGCGAAACTCAAGGCGTTCCATGTCACACAATCCACGCTTTGTTCCTCATAGCCCTTCCCTCCTTTCATTGTCAAATCCCATCGTCACATGAATATTCTTTATATATAATAGTTATCTTGTTAACAATGAAGGACCGAAAGGAATCACGTGCATATGTCAACTACTCCTCTTACCAGTGTCAAATGAAGTCGTAACCCTGAAAAAGTAGCATTGAACGGTACATAAATGAACAAAAAGGAACCTTTATATAGCTTTTCCAATGTAAAGGTGTAATGTACTACATATCCATATGTGTGTTGTGTGCGTATCATGCATCCTTTAGCAGTGTCGATGGTACCAAATATACCCGCACAGGTTTCTAGCGGCGACTGAGTACCTGAGTGGTGTGGGGAAAATGATATCTATGACAAATGAGTATTCATCGGTATTAGTCGTCTCTTTTGCCCTTTTCCTTTCTATATGCCAAAACAACTCCTCGTCCAGTTTACCCCAATACGCTCATGCCTCGTCAATTTGCCTCCTCAATGGGTCAATGCTCTGCTGGATCAGCGTAAGGTAACAAGACATGGGTTCAAAGGATCGCTTTCAAAAACAAGGTGTTGACAACATTCGCCCCATTCCATAGTTGCCACAAAACGTCATTCTCGACCTCAGTTGGACCACCAAGGATGGCACCTCGAAAAAGACCTTTGCTGGATGGTCGGGTGAAGCTTCCAAGCCCTTGTCACCAAATGCTGTCTTTACACACGGCCAAAACAGTAAGATGGATATCCTTGAAATGGATCCACAGCTTGGTCAGGCTATTGGTTTGATGGAAGGACAAAAGGTAAAGGCATGGATAAAGGATCTTGTGAATGGACACGCGTTGATCATTGATGTTATTAGATCAATGTGGAATTTTGCCGCAATATTTCGGATTGTGCATCAGTCAACGTCGAACCCTATACAGAAGATGATTGGGAGATCTTGGTAAGTTCGTCTTGTTGAGGAGCAGCGGACATGCATTGGGGAATTGACATGTGATCACATGGAAAAAGGAACTTCATGCGGGATACGTGGAGGAAAATCTCTTGAGTCAAATCAGAGCCGTCTACACAAACCAGCTCATGTGTGTATGGATTCATGGTCGTACCCTTGTTCGCTTACGAGTGGGTAAGTTGTATTTGTGTAATACTAGAGACGATAAGGAAACTCATACCATAAAATCATCCATAGCTGAATTGGATCCAAAGGGTGATGTGGTCAAGCTGACAACCAACTCTGAAGTGATCGTTGCTCCCAAAGTACGCAAGCAGCCCAAACAACTCGCTGAAGAGGCAGCCGATCTGCAACAACAACAAAAATCAGCACCTCATGTTTGTTTACGGAACCTTCCTCATTTCGACAATGCCGCCGTCGAGCAAGTCCTTGTGCACCCCGACTCTTTTGAGGATCTTGAGCGTCAAGAACTCGTTCGTGTATCCAAGCTTACTCCCTCATTTGTACGACACAAAGGACCACCACAACCAGCAGCTGATGATGTAAACGCTGGAGATGCTGCTGGTACAGCTACCAATGTTTCACCTGCAAAAGCCATCTATGCATCATTGGCCTTTTCTCGCAACGTACCTCGTGGTCATGTTCATCTTGGTCAATCTATTCGCAATACTTTGCAGCTTAAGGATTTTGATCTTGTCAAGTAAGTATTCATATATCATATGTGATGCACATGGAATGTGCCTAACGTATGGCCTTGGATAGATTGGCAACGGTGGCTATCAAGAGCAGCCCACTTGGATCCATTACATTGCGACGCTATGTGACTCAACAAGCTGCCAACCGAGCATCCATTAGATTAGGATTGGATTCAAAGTAAGATGATCCCAAAGTTGCTTGATGACATGTGTACTGAGAGAGGTCATCGATCTTTTAGTGCTCAAGCTCAAGCTCAAGAAAAAGCTGAACGTGAAGCCACCTACATTCAATCATTCAAAGGTACACGTGTATGCTGATGGATGGTGGTATCGTACAAGCTCCCTCACACATTGTTATAGATTGGCTCTCTTTTATGACCCCTGAAAAAATCCCTATGACGCATGGCAGCATATTTTCTATTCCATCGGATAGCGGCGAGGAAGATACCCAGTTTGTGGTACAACTTGGACAAAAGAAGGGCTTATTCTCCAGCTTCAACAATGCTACAGCAGCACAACAAGATCCCAGCCTTGAGCAGTTCACAGTGATCGCCAAATCACAAATCAAGGGTTTGCAGTTGGAGATAGGAGAGGAGGTACTTAAGCAACAAGTCAATGAGGAACCTACCAAGGGAAGAAACACAAAGTAAGTTCTCTGCTACCACTATGAGCGTATGTTGTAGACACTTATAAATCATGTAGAGTGGAACCGGTGCCTGAACTTGGTGGTATCAAGGACATTTATGAAAAGATCCGGCAGTATACCCTGGCACATTTAGCTGATAAGGACTTAAAGGCAGCATTGGGTGTCCCTGGTAAGTTGTGTGGAATGGAAATGGCGTCGATTGGTATATTCATATGGTATGCCTATTGCAGGTTGTGGTGGTATTTTATTGACGGGTTCCCATGGCTCTGGCAAAACAAGCGTTGTCCGAAAACTGATTCAGGATTTGCACCACGACAGCAAAGCATTGATATGTAAGGACTACCCTTTGATGATCCTCATGATTGAGTGAATGGGTGCTTAACAATGAGGATGGATAATAGATACCAGCGAGATCAACTGCTCCGACGTTGCTGATGAGCGTATACCAACCATGAAGGATCTTATTCAACAATGGTTTGACGAGGCTGCATGGCATGCTCCTTCTATTTTATTCTTTGACGACATTGATAGACTGATACCTGCTGAAGTGGAGGTAAGATTGAAAGCAAAGGACCCTAAAGGATGCATGTATTCTCATACCTGGTATATACGTAGCATGCAGATTCAACCCGATCCAAGCACCTTGCTGCTCTCTTTTTACGTACAGCTCTCAAAATGACCAGTCGCCATCCCATCTTGATGATCGCTACGTCGCAACAACAGCAATCCATTCATCCCTCGCTTGTTGGCAATCATATATTTACCGACATTCGACATTTGAATCCTCCATCACGTGATGAACGTAAACAGGTATGTGTAAAGGATTAAAGAGAGAGAGGGAGAAAAATGATGGCTCACTTTTTGGGATATTAGATTATGGAAACGATCATGGCCCATGGACCTGAGATTCTTCAATCAAGTTTACCTCATATTGATCTTGTTTCGGTGGCGTCGGAAACAGAAGGCTATTTGGCAGCTGATTTGAAGCAATTGATTGAACGTACAGTGCACGAGGGAGCTGTTCGCAGCATCAAGGAGAAAATTGCTCAACAAGACAACCAGTCGTCATCTGTGCAACTGATCCAAGCCGATTTCAGCAAGGCGCGTGAAGATTTTGTACCATCGTCCTTACGTGGTGTCAAGTTGCAAAGTTCAGGCGTCATGTGGTCTGATATTGGTGGTTTGCACGAGACACGTAAAACGTTGTTGGAAACTCTGGAATGGCCTACGAAATATGCATCCATCTTTTCACAATGTCCTTTACGTTTACGTTCAGGGTAAGTCTATTCTATTGAGTCATACATATATGGATGACTGATCTTCCCTACCCTCTTCCTATCAGCTTGTTGCTTTATGGCTATCCTGGATGTGGCAAGACATTGTTAGCATCAGCTGTTGCCAAGGAATGTGGTCTCAACTTTATCAGCGTCAAGGGTCCCGAAATCCTCAACAAGTATATTGGTGCAAGTGAAAAGTCTGTACGTGATTTGTTTGAGCGAGCACAAGCAGCCAAACCTTGTATCTTGTTCTTTGATGAGTTTGATTCCATCGCCCCTCGAAGGTATAAAGTACACGTGTATAGGATGTGACACGAGGGAGACTAACTGACAATGTGCATGAAAATAATAGAGGACATGACAGCACCGGTGTTACAGATCGTGTTGTGAACCAAATGCTTACACAAATGGATGGTGCCGAAGGCTTGGATGGTGTCTATGTATTAGCAGCCACCAGGTATGAGTGAGGAGCTTGGTTATACTACTGCATGAGAGCTGATTGATTGATTGTGTGTTAGTCGACCTGATTTGATTGATCCTGCATTGCTTCGTCCCGGTCGTCTTGATAAGTCACTGTTGTGTGGCATGCCAAACTTGGAAGAAAGATTAGATGTATGTCCTTTGCTCCTTTTTTATATTATTGTTATTGCATGACTAACATATGGGGATTTTGACTAGATCCTTCAAGCGTTATCACGCAAGATGACCCTTGCCCCCGAAGTCGACCTTATGGAATTTGCCGAAAAGACTGAAGGTTATTCAGGTGCCGATCTTCAAGGTTTCTTGTACAATGCACATCTTGAAGCCATTCATGGTGCAGTGAACTTGGAAGGATTCAAGGAGCAGCAAAAGAAAGAAAAGGAACAGAAGCCTGTGGAAGAAAAGAGTGATTTTGTGATTGTGCAATCGAAATCTTCATCGGATAAGGCCGTAGCACCTCCATTGACACTTGCTGAACGAAGTCAAATTTCTCAACGCGTAAGGGATCTTTTATTGATAGATGAAAAGTGTTGCTGCTAACAATTAGCATGTGGGGTTTAGTTGGCTATGATCAAGAAGGGAGTCCTCGGATCATCACGGCAAAAGTCCGACAAGAAATCGTCGTCAGCAGCAGCAGTTGCTACAGAGGCTGCAGCAATCACGAAGGCTCATTTGGAGAAATCACTCAAGAGCACCCGGCCCTCGATTACTGAAGAAGAGTATATGCGATTGGCCATGGTATACAATGAATTTGTGACTGGAAGGACAGGAGAGCTGCCATCGGGTGAAGGTGCCAAAGGGATCGGCAAAAGGTCCACCCTGGGATAATTATTCTGCTTACTTAGAGACCCCAAGCCAAAAATAGCTGGATCCATTCTCCTCACCGCTCCCCTTCTCTCTTTCTCTTTTAAAAATACTCGCAAACGGTTATTTATAAAAAGTTCTTGATCCAAAAAAGAAACCGACAGAAAGCCGCACTGCATAATATATAGTGTAAGTCGTCGCCTTTACTACCACTATCCTATTACTGCCCTTTCTCCTTTTGTTTTTTAACGCAATGACGCTGCTTGGCAACACACTAGTCTACTACTACAGCAACAATGGGTCGCAAAAAGATCAAAATCCAGCCCATCAAGGATGACCGCAATCGGCAGGTGAGACACATAACACTCACTCACTCACACACCAACTGGGCACTCGCTTACTCACCCCACCCCTTGTACCTTAAGGTCACTTTTTTGAAACGCAAGCAAGGCTTAATGAAGAAGGCTTACGAATTGAGTGTGCTCTGCGACTGCGAGATTGCTCTCATTATCTTCAACTCGAGTGGGAAGCTTGTACAGTATGCCAGCACCGAGATTGACAAGATTCTACTCAAGTACACCGAGGTAACTAGAGATACCGTGTATAGGGATTCAAGGATGATAGTGATTAACGTGATGCATTTATTAGTACAATGAACCCCATGAAAGCAAGTCGAATTTGGATGTAGGTTGAATGAATGATGGGGTGAATGAACGAGAATGAATGATCACTAATAGGGATACTGTTGCTATGCTTAGTTTGTGAATACGAGTGAACAAGACGAAGATGGTGGTATCAAGGGGGATGAAGAAGGTGAAGAGCAAGGGTCTGTAAAGTCATCCGAGCTTCCTGTTGCAACCGTGCCCACTCAAGCAGCTCCTGCACCGCAATATCAGCAACATCCACCACCACCACCACAACAACAGCCCCATGCAATGCAACCATCACATGGTCCACCTCCACCTCATATGGGTGTTCCACCTAATCCACAACAACATGGACAATCAGTCATGTATTATCAACATCATCAGCAACAGCAACCACCACCACCGCAACAGCATCCTCGACCTTATGGCTTTCCTGTTCAACAGCAACAACAGCAACATCGTATGCATCCTGGATACGAAATGTATGGAATGCAACCCTCGCAACCACCATCCATGTACATGTATCAGGTATATATTCATTATTACATTTTATTACTACCTACAATGAAGAGACTTATCGTGTTACAATTCAGGGTACAACGCCTTTGCCACCTCCCAATCAACAACATCACATGTCATCTTATCCACCACCTGCTCACCATCAAATACAACATCCGCCGTATAATGCTACTCCACCTTCTACGACGACCACCAGTAGTACATCATCCACCACGACACCACCATTACCGGTCCCTTCGTCTACCGCTGCAGTGACTCCTCAACAACGCCCTCCTCATCATAGTCCTGGTAATAATTATCATCAGCCATCCTCCTCGTCTTCCGAAGTAGCAGGCAATCACAACAACAACAATAGTCCACATCAGCCCAATATGCCAAGCCCCACTCCTTCGGCAACGAGCCATCATAGTCATAGTGGTGGTGGTGGTGGTGGTGGTGGAGGAAAGAAGCATGCCCCTCCAAAGTTACGTGTTCAAATCCCTGGTGATTCGCCCAAACAAGCTGTCAAGACTGAGACGGTTGATCAGAGGGATGATGAGAAGGATGACAAGACATTTGCACGTCCTACAGGTGCACCTCCTCGGAACAATACAGCCGAACCTAACACGGCTACCATTGGACCTCCCTCAGCTTTGCCATCTCAATTTGCACAGAATCTCTTTTCACCAAGCACGTTTTATCCAGAGTTTTATCAACAAAATGAACTACCAAGTCCTCTCAACTTTTCAGCTACCCCAACAACAACGCATGCATTCAATTGGCCCACCCCATCCAATAATCCTGCAAACAACAACAATAACAGCAACAGCAACTCGGCATCGCATCGAGACTATAAACCATCTCCTCTTGCAAAACATGATACCAGCAGGTAAGAAAACATCATTTGTGTATGTGTAGATGATGATGACTCATTCTTTAAAATAGTGAGAAGGCGAAACGACCGATTCAAGAGGATGCACAACAACAAGAGGGTGACTCGAAAAAACCCAAAATGGCCTAACAAACAACGAACGTAGCATTTTAACAACAACAACCACCACCCCAAAACAGTCCTTCATTGTGTATATACATTCACGCCTTCCACTCCATTGTCATCTAGTACCATACCATCCATCCATCCATCCATCGACCCTCTCTTGTTGTTTTTAAATGAAATCAATCACGAGCAAAATAAAATCCGTTGCGCAATTTTGTTTATTTTTCAGCAATCGAGCCCAAACGTAAAATAGTAGTTAGCTACTACTATTGGATATGATACTTGTCAAACATTGTATTGACCCACGCAGAGATGGATCCCTTGGCAGCTATCGCCGCTTGAGCCATTCGGCGAGGAGGAGACACGTCTTTACCATCTTCCAATGCTTCATCATCATAATCCTCCAAATAATCCTTTGCATCATAAAAGACCTCATCCTCATCATCATCACTGTCAGCAGTAACATCCAACTTCCTAGCCATTTGGCTACGGTTGTTGGTGCCACCGCTACTACTACTACTACTGCTCGTGTTGTCCACATTATCCGACATGGAAAAGGCGTCATTGTAAAGAGGGCGGCGTTGTCGTTGTTCCCTTAGGGAACTATCACCACCACCACTGCCGCCAAGATTTGCAGATGACGCTGCTGCCATGGGAATGCGAGGAGGATGGTGGTGATGATGGTAGTGGTATTCCATCCGTTGCTGCTGTTGTTGTTGTTGCATTTGCATATTTTCTTCCATCCTACGAATACGTGGGTCTCTTGCTCGTACTGGTGATGTTGAATGATCTAATCGTGATCGATGACTTTCAACGGGAGAACGAGCTTGAGGAGACGAGGGTCGATAATTGTCAACATCATTCCACCGATAATGTTGTGGCATCGTGGGTGATGTGAGTGGTTGCTGTGATGGTGGTGGTGGTGGTGGTGATCGTACCCTCGACCTATCCATAGTAGCAGTAGTAGTAGCAGCAGTAGTAGTAATAGAAGTAGTAGACGCATGATGATGTTGATGTGCTCCACGGTGGATGGTATCTTGAATATGGGATGGTGTGGGTGCAGGAGGTGATTGACGCTTTGCCATTGCATTCAAAGGTAATTCTGATTCTGGAAGTACTGAAGCCCTATTTACACACAATATCAATACTGGATTGGTTTCAATGGGGGAATCTTACTCGTAATCTCTTCTTGCTTTTTCTGCCATTCTGACCACTTTGGCGCCCACTGGAATCATTGACTTGGAGGGAACAACCCGCTATTGTAATGATATGATGATGAGTACACCCTCTTTGATCCATGAATAGTACACGTACAATATACACTCTGCCACGTCGTTGTTCAACAAGCTGCATAAAGGCATCTCTTATATTGACATGAGGGGGTCGAGGTCCATTAGAGTCGCTTTGTGGAAATGTTCCTTTCAATAGACCTAAAAGTGGATCATCCTATCAATATTGGACGATGAGAGAACAAGGGTTGTAAAAAAGTTACCATGTGCAATAGGACCACTGCTTGTTTTGATAAGTACGCTATCACCAGGTGGACATGCTTGGAGCGCAGCAAGCGCAGCCTATGGAAATAAATGATAAGTTGTATGCTTCTTTTAAGGGTATGTATATGTGTACGTACCGAATACTCTGCGAAGATGTTTGTCTTTGCCACTCCTTGAAATGCTGCAGCAAGACCACGACGATCGACAGGTTTTTCCCAACAACATGCATAGGCACCGAAATAAAAGGCTTCCACTTTGTCCTTTGGATTAAGAGCACGCACCGAGACGGATGTCCAAATCACATGATCTACATCAGGGTCACGGACATTTGACATGTAATACTATTTTGATTGATAGGGAACATGTTAATAACATGTTCTCCTTAGATGATAGTGCTATATTTACCTGCACCAAACGTGCTCTCTTATTTTCAGCCAATGTCTCAAATATCGCCTGGGATATTTCAGGATGTGGAGAAACGCGTGTATTCAGCTGCGTGCCTTTGATATCGGGTAGCGTGCGCACCATCACTTTGCTGCCGAGCACAGAGGGGTGATAGATATCCAGCATATGGGTAGGCTTTGGTTCGGGTGAGGGTGGAGGATAATCTGTGGTCATCAATCAATCAAAATGATAAGCATGATGGATGAAGAAGAAGAAGCAAGCATTACTATTACTTGCCTTTTGTTCGTGCTCGCTTTCGAGGTACATCATAATAAGGATCATAGGCACGCATATCGGAAGAAGAAGACGGCATGTAGCTTGGTGGTGGTGGTGGTGGGTGTGGTTGTGGAGAAGGACTACGCCTACGACGATGGTCCCAAGAACGATCTGGAGAAACCGATCGTCGATGTGATGAAGAATAAGAACGTTTCGAAGAGGACCTTGTTGAACGCCTCGAGGTCGATGAGGATGCAGAAGGGTAGAATTCCATCGGGTCACTCATGGAACGTTGTCAACTATGTCGAAAGGACTTGTGGCAGAATAAAAAAAAAAGATCCAACAACTGCGGATTTGTATGTACAGTGAAGATGCTGACTTTGAACCCACCATCACAGCTACCACTCTCCCCAAACCAACACCCCCCGGGAAACCCGGGACACCACACACCCACATAGCCATGTTGCTTTCTTATTCTACCATAACATTGGAATCATTGTTTCTTTTATTCATGTGATGTCTTCATGATATGGTTTAAAGGGTTGAATAAAGAAGAATATGTACGATACATGACCATATTGGTGTGGTCCTCCCATCAATGACTCATTGTCCTCTTCTCTCTCCCCCACCTCAAGGTTGTCATTCAAAAGCATGGGATCAACTCTTTTAACAATGATGTTAATGTTCATTGTATGCATTATTCGAGAAGCAGATCCATATAAAGTAACCAATGATGTATGTCCGTGTGGCATTATGATGATGATGGAGAACGAAAATCAAATCATGTTATTAAAAATGGGTTGAATGGATATATAATAATAGTCTACGATTGAGCCTTTGCTTGTTCCTCATCATCTACTTTGAGTGTCTTGGTAGGAGGCTCTTCATCCTTTTTCTCTTCCTTGGTCTCCCCGTCCTCTTCCAATTTGCGTTTAGCACCACCATTGGCCTCTTCCTTTTTTGCTTCCTCCTCTTCGCGTGCCTTGTGAAGCTCTTGAACTTCATTATAGAACGATTCCATGCCAAAGATTTCACTAAATAAACGTGTTAGAACCCATCTTTCAAACCACTATCCATCATCATCATCATCATCATCATCATCATACCAAATGGCTTGGTTGGATTTCGCTTGTTGGATCTTGCGATAGAGATCGGTCTTGCTGTACTTTGGATCGTTGGACATTGTCAAAAGCACATATTTTGTGTTTTGATAGACATTGTTCACCCGCACACACTATCAAGCTCATTTGTTAGCATGAATCACTCGTTGTATGTAGTTGATATCCCTCTTACCCATTTAATGTATGCCTCTGCAGCTTCTCTGGTGGACACCAAACCTTCTTTCCGAAAAGCAGATGGATTGTACTGAGCACCACGAGCAATCATGACCGAATTGGCATCTGAAAAGGAGATCCATGTAAGCATACCCATAGCACTTTTGTTTCCATCCTCAAAGCCATACTTGTCTTTTCCTTGATGGATTCAATGTCCTTGTAGCAAAATACGTCACCATTCACAGCCACGGGGATGCTCTTGACCACTGAAATGGCTTCCTTGAATTCGTCCCATCTGGCAGGTGTCGTTGAGCGTTGATCTCTATATCTGCAGTGAACGGTGATCGCCTTGACACCTGTGCTCTCGATCATCTTGAGCAATTCCTTGGTCTTTTCCATGTCTTCGAGGAGGCTATGGTATGTAAATGTCAATCTACCTGTCACCTAAGAGTATATATATATATACCCACCCATCCTACTTACCGAACCTTGCATGTCACTGGCAATCCCACATTTTGAACCAAATTGATCAAGATCTGCAACATGGATAGCATTAATGGTCATCTGACAACATTGTCATCGGGTAAATCTTACCTTCTTGAGTAACTCGGGATTCGTCAAGAGCGCAGCACCCATACCAGCATGGACCGAGAATCTCTTTGGGCATCCACAATTAAGATCAAAACCAGCAACATCTTCCTTGCTATTGTATGCAATGGGATATTAGTTGCCATGTTGAATCAATGGATCTTTTCTCCTGCTACTTACACAGTCAATGCAGCTTTCAAAGCGAGATCGGGATCGGCTGTTCCAAGTTGGAAGATAATCTTGCCTCGTTCATTCTCATGGGTGCTAAAAGTCAACTTGTTTTCCTTCCAATATTCGATCGTCTTGGTAATGGCTGCATCAAGAATCCATTCATTTAGCTTGATTGCATATCATTAGAGATGTATCCAAACACTTACGGTTGTATTTGCGAACGGATCCAATCACTCGTTTATCCACTAGTTCCTCGGACCAAACAAGGTCTATTGTCATGTGTAAGTAGAAACGTCTCCAGGCTGATCGATTCAATCGTACCTGCTCCATAGTCCAACACTGTCAATCGAAAAGGAAGAGTGCCCACTCGGACCTAGCAAAAAGTATCCAAGATCAGATCGAGGTATGGTTGACTGATTACGCTGTTGCTATACCATGGGAGCAAGGAACATTTTGTTGTTATAGTCGATTGTAGGCTGCTGGGACGAATCTTGGCAATCGGTGGTCGGCATACTTCTTGTCAAGTGGAAAAGGAATGAAATGAAACCTCGATTATAGTAACACCAGCAGCAGCTAAATTTTATCCACTGAGCTTCGTTGTCTCCTACCCACAATTATACCTCAGTATAGTAAAACTTTGACATCCACATTCCTACACCTCATCCTTTGGAATTAAAGTCTACTATTTTATTTTCCTCCTGCAATAATGGATTTGATCTCACTAGCCAATGGACCATCAGGATTGATAGGTTGTAAAGGAACTTGGAACAGATGTTCAAAACTTTGTCGAAGAACAGGCAATGTATCACTTGGCGTGATGACACGATCCAATTGCTCGGATAAAGAGGTGACCTTCTTGTCGGCCAGGCCACAAGGAACAATGTGCTTATACCAATCGAGATCCACATTACAGTTGAGCGCAACACCATGACTACTCACATACCGCTGCAAATGGACCCCAAGAGCTGCAATCTTTTGATCCTGTCCCACCCATACACCAGTGTTCTCGGTAGTATTGGCCTCCACTCCAAATTGCTTGCAACAATCAATGATGGTCTTTTCGAGTCTTGATACGTAACACCGTACATTGATCTAAATGATGCTCGAATCTAAACACCTTGCTTTCATCCTTCATCTCACCCATTCCATTAAGCTTACTTGATAATCACGAATGTCCAAGATAGGATAAGCAACAAGTTGACCAGGTCCATGGTACGTGATTTGACCACCACGCATGGTCTATGTTGTATTCATTCTTTTAGCGTCATGTGATGATGATGATGATGATGAGCTTCCCTCTTATATAATACCTCAAAATAATCAGCGCCTAATCGTCGCAATCGTTGTTCTTGCTCTAATTCGGTCTTGCCACGAATACGACGGCCTGCCGTGTATGTGTGTGGATGCTGCAGGAACACAATGATATCCTCTGGATCACCCGTATTGTTATCACCTTCTCGGTTGATTTGATGTCTTCTATTCACGAGAAAAGTTTGTATGTCAAGGCCTTTGTCATAGGCTACTTGTTGATCGACAAGCGAGACGTAACCAATAGGCCGATCGGGTTGCAATGGGGCTGCTGAAGAGGCAGGACATGATGCCGTCGTGTACCGACAGTGACGCATGGCCATTCGCCAACGGCTGGAGCCGTGTTGTCGTAATGTAAGAAATAACATTGTGTGTACAAGAAGATAGTGGATCACCCGGCCGCCTCGTGTCTGTGTTGCTGGTGGAAAATATGACTGGATATAGCCTTCACGAATATAGCAGTTTTCATGCACATCCTTTTGGCCCCAAATAAAGGCCCTTGTTCCGCCACCCACAATGAAACATACGAATCCCAATTGGTTCTACTCGTCTTGAAATGAGACTTTATTATCAACCAATAAAAAAAGATCCATATTCCGCGGATGATGACCATGGTTGCCTTGTCGACGATGTTGCATAGCAACATGCAAAATCGCATCAACGAGATGTTAAAAAGAGTGGATGGGATGAGATGACATCTTGCTTCATCATATGGGATGTAAATACAGCCACTATTCCACATGTTGGTGAGGTTGTTAAGAGTTTATTGTGGATTGTGAAATGGTATATACATGGATGGTGGTAAAGATTGGTTCTTTGTGTAAAAAAGTCAATTGGGATGGTGGTGGGCGGGATGAATGAGGATGGGGTTATGCTTGCATAAATACCAGCCGTGGCTTGGTGCTCCTTTCTTGGTCTCCACTTGGATTTTATGAAAGTCCTAAAGAACCAGCCATGCGACCAATGTGGCACAACACGCTATCGAGAAACGGCAGAAGGAGAAATGGTCTGTAAATATGGTCATTTGCTCATCGGTTGGCGGCAAGAAGAAGGCGATGAATTCGTATGGACCGGAAGGTCTCGCGATAAAGTTCGAGTCATCCAAGAAGCTAAAGACAACGTTGAATGTGAGTGCAATAAAAGTTTTTGCTTCGAATAGATCGACCCATGCTTACGATTGCAATAGTGTTCAAGGGTGTTGATCGAGAAGCAGCTAAACTGCGGATCGTCCAGTATGGTCTTCAGCTTGTGGTACGATCGCTTGTACATGATATGCATTTCCCCGCCGAGTTTGAGGTACTACAACATGACAACGAGAAATACATGGCAACGACGACCCCACTGACAAGAAATGATAGTACGTTGCAAGGGAATTATGGTTGACATACGTATCAGCAAGTGGTATACAACTACCCCACGAATTCACTGGCCAATTCAACGAGGATGTCAACAACAACAACAACAACAACAATAATAATAATACAAAGCATGGCCGGAATCTCTTTCAATCATCATCAGCACCCCTTGAAGAGTCATTAGAAGATGAATTCGATCTCGACCCGTTAGACGATGACAGTGCCCTGGATGAAACCAGCGATAGCAGCAGTGATAGCGACATGGATGAAAGGAGGGGGACGACGAGGAGGAATAGCTATACCAAGAAGAAGAGGAAAGCATTTACAACCGATTGGCCAATCCTTCGACTTCGGGACATTATTGTCTTTTGTTATCTGACATGCTTGTGGATGAGGATACCCGTACTTTCTAATGACATTCATCGATGGTGTTTCAGTTATCAATTACCCTATATGAAGATCATGGATGGATTACCGGACGACTTTGTGAAGCGATTGGATTCACCCATGATGCACATGTTCACCCGAGTCCCACACCATTCCAAGATTGTATCTCGAATATGTTCTTACAAACGCGCCTTTGCCCACCATTGCAAACTACGATTTCCAAAGGCCAATACGCCCATATTGATCCATCGATTCCTATCACAATTTTATCTACCAGGTAGGTTCACATGGGGATCTATTCTTGATATTGGGTACTGATAGTGTTACAGAACAACTCTACTTTGGTGCAAAACGGATATACGAACGGCTGAACGCATTATATGCAACGTATGATTACAGGCGAATGCCAGCGGATGATACTCAAGCAATGGCATGTGCAGTCATTTTGGTGAAACTATGCTATCGTTTGGATGATAATGCATTGTAAGTATCTACGACAGCTCTCCCATTCTCGATCCATATTGACAATCATCATGCGATTTAGAAATCCGATTTTCAAAGAGGAGGATATGCCATCACTATTGCCCAAGGATGTTTGGTACGCGCTTGTTCAGGATAACCTAGAAAAATGGCGACGGCTGCAAAAACATGAGTAAGTGCGTGTGTGTGTGCGTGTGTATGGGTAAATGCAAGGTCGCATATTGATGGATGATGAAATGGGTAGATCACTTCAAGTCGACGAGGCCGAACTACCTGTGATATTAGAATTCTTAAAGGACATTGGAACGTTATCAGCCAAGCAAGGCAAAAAAGTGCGAAGTAAGTATTCTCGAGCTATGTTTATATGTTCAATTGACTCTAATCATGCCGATTTACTTTTAGGTAATGCATTACGACAGCACATGCGTTCGGTTTCTAGAGAGAGTCATGCAAGGGAACGGGGCAAGGACAATGTGTACATGAAGCCAGATCCTCCAACACCCGATGTCATTGCCAAAACAGAGTCTGATATGGGTACACGTGCTGTTGGTTCCAAATACGTCACTTACAAACGAACCTATGGTGATGATGTCTTCCATGAAGAATATGTCGTAGTGGTTCTGCTTGCATCCTACATACTTGGTATGGATTTTTGGAAGTTCCATCGATATTTAAGTCTCTGTGAAACGCAAATTCAGAAAACAATGTACATCATGCACCAATAATAGCTGTATACAACATACCTCTTGATCACAAAGAAACAAGCCCCCCCATTGTACTACTAAATAAACAACTTAATGATTTGGGAAGGGTTACTATAGTAGAACAATCAAATTTATGAGAATGAGCATTGTGGTTGGTTGGTGTGTGCACAAAGACCCAGCCGCATGAATTAGGATCGACCGCTCTCTCTTCTTTCCTTTCATCAATACCACCTCTACACACGTCTTATTATGAGCCAACCACAAAACCACCAACCCTCTGCAAGTTTCTACAATCTATGTGAACTCTTTGAACGACTAGCAAATACTCGTGGCACAGACTTGAAGAAAAGGCTCTTTCAACGGTACCTGCACGACTGGCGACACCATTTCGGCTATGACTTTTACGATGCAATGCGATTGTTTCTTCCTCATGTATGCACCATGCCAATTGAACACGTGTATGAAGGAACTCATGCCACCCATTTCACAGCTTGATCGACGACGTTTCAACATGAAAGAAATACGACTCGCACGTATATATACCGAGGCCCTTGGTTTGAGCCGCTCTTCACGAGACGCTATCGAATTGATCAAATACAAGCAGCCACCCACTGCTACATCACCGCACCAAAAAGTTCGTATGCATTGACAACGTTTTTGTTTCAATGTTGCTTATACACCATCTATCCTGCATAGAAAGCAACAGGCGATTTCCCAGCAGTTGCATTTGATGTCATCAACGAGCGATCCACTGTGCTTAGGGCCACACGTACAATCCACGACGTCAACAATCTTCTCGACAAAATCAGTGAAGCATCAGGGTAATGGATCTCTTTTTCTCAAAGTTGTTATATATCGAATACATGCTGATGGATGGGAGAAACTATAGCAATGACAAGGCTACGGTCAACATTTTCAAAGATGTGCTCAACACGTATATGCCTTTGGAACAAAAATGGCTTATCCGCATCATCCTCAAAGGTATATACAAAGGAAGGTAATAGCTACATTGGTATTCTGATAGGGTTCATTAGATTTGAATATTGGCATGACCGATAATTCCGTTCTACAAGTTTATCATCCACAAGCCCGAGAAAGATATGCTCATTGTAGCAACCTGGAGAAGGTGTGCAAAGAATTACAAGATCCTTACTTGAAGCTCAATCAATCGGTAAGAAAGAGGAATGACAACCAAAGGATAGCAATGATCTGATCAAAAGCGGTCTTGTTCTTAGACGATTCAACTCTTTCAAGCTTTCAAGCCCCAGCTAGGTACAAGGGATCGTCCAAAAGATTTTTCGAGCCTCCTATACAAGGGTCGGTTCTACATTGAAGAAAAGATTGATGGTGAACGTATTCAAATGCATTTCGATCGACGCACCAAGCAATTCATGTGGTTTTCACGGTACGTTTGGCAACGATGATGTCTTTGAATAACATTCTAATAACATTCATAGTCGTACGACGGATTACACTTCAATGTATGGCGGTTTCCCTGATGCGGACAATCTAGCTAGGAACGTTGTTTCATGTCTCAAGGCTGATACGTAAGTTACAAGCTGGATGCTTACTCATGACATGTCAAGGACTCAACGTATGGTATATATAAGGTTGATTTTGGATGGCGAGATGGTAGCCTATGATCCGAAATTGGATGTTTTTCTTCCATTTGGTACTCTCAAATCAGCGGCCAAAGGCAAGTAGTACAATGACAAACCATCGCCAATCATTCTCTAACGCACCCTCCGCTGCATGTAGATAAAACTATGGATATGCACAAAGCTCGGCCATGTTGTAAGTGGAATTACCCGTTTACTTGAAACGATTTGGGCTAAGGATTTACACCATGGTTAGTTGTTGTTTTCGATATTGTGTTCTGTAATGGCACTCCTTTGCCCGGCTACGCACTTGAAGAAAGACTCAAGGTTCTCAACAATGTCGTTACCGAAAAGTACGGTTATCTGAATCTCTTGGGACGCGAAGAAAAAAAGACAACGGATGATGTGATTGAAGCTTTGGATCATGCTATTCAGATACGGTTAGTATTTCATGCATGTACTACTTTATCATGTTCCTCATCAAAGCAACTAGTCAAGAAGGCATTATCGTAAAGAATCCCGGCTCCTTTTATGAACCAGGCGCACGCAACCATACGTGGGTCAAGATCAAGCCCGAGTACATGAATAGCTCAACCGACAACTTTGATTTACTTGTCGTTGGTATGACACGTGCTTGTCGCATACATCGAAATTACTCATCTTCTCTAAACGATTAGGTGGTAGCTATGGAACCGGTCGACGTGGCAACAAGCTTAGTCAGTTTCTCTGTGTTATTCGGGATGATCGTGTTGAGGATGATGAGAATCCAAGGTAAAGTTTTGTAAGTTCCTCTTTATCTTGAATACCAACTAAGAGAACGTGGTCATCTTAGATTCATTTCCTTTTGTATGATTGGAACTGGTTATACCCTGGATGAGCTGGGTGATTTCAAGTAAGCTCGTTTGAGATGGCAACATTCAGTTTTCTTATGGGGCATACACACTTTAGGGAAGCTTTCAAAGATCACCAACCTTACAATCCGAAGCGACAACCACCTTGGCTTATTCATCCAGAATATTCAACCGAGAAGCCTGACGTGATCATGAGTTACAAGACGTAAGCTTTGAGATACTCCAAGTCATGATTCCTTATCTTACTATGGTTCGCTCTATAGCTCACTCGTGGTGGAAATCACAGCTGCCGAGACCATCAGCTCTAGTAAGTTCACTCGACATTGTATTATTCATCGTTATCTAACAACGACCTCATTATAGATTCGTGGGGAACTGGATATACATTACGATTTCCTCGATTTGTTCAATTTCGACGTGATAAGAGCTGGAAAGATATCATGACATGGAGTGGTAAGGAATTCCCAAATTGAAGAGGAAGGATTATACTTACAAAAGTTTACGCCGATATCAGACATGCTTCGTACCATGCGAAGACAAAAGACCCGGGAAAGTACATCAAGCAGCTTTAAGTGAGTGCACATTCGGTTAATGAGTGATCCTATGTTGACATTAAGATCATAATAGGCAGCAGCGAAAAAAGCGACAAAGGATAGCTTCTACCGCATCTGGGCCAGCTGTACGTCGTTTATCATTATACGTTAGGCTTCAATAACAAATACATCTTGCATTTCTAGCGCGTACAACTTGGATTGCTGGGAAGTCAACAAGGCCTGGATACACGTGACATTGTTGAAGCATCATCATTGTTTTTGGACATGACCTTTTGTAAGTATAAGGATACCTTTTCAAGATGCACTAGCGCTGAATGAATTATATCCAGATGTGGTGACAGGAGACGATACGCATCCAAAAGCAACCCTTGAAGCCATGATCAAAGAGAATGGTGGAACCTTTATGCAGCAAGCACGTAATACCCAATATGTTATTGCAGGCACTGAAAGTAAGCATGGAGACCATTGTCTACAAGATGCAGTATATTGATTGGATCATGGCACAGATATTCTGGTCCAAGGCATTATCCGCCAAGGGATCTATGATGTGATTTTACCCCAATGGATCGCCGACTGTGTGGAGAAACAAGACCTTATTCCTTTGCAACCAAAGTAAGTTACCACTTGGAATGGTACAAAAGTCATGGTTATTGAATGGTTTCTTTTTTGATTAGGTACATGAAATATACCACCAAAAGGACCCAGGATGCTTTCAGTGCCAGTATCGACAAGTGGGGAGATTCTTACATGCAAGATTCAACCGAGCAAAGTTTACGTGAGGTAAAAGGAGATGAGAATGTGGGATAGAGATGTGCGATGCTAAGTGATTGGATATAGGTGATGGAAAGGATGCCTCTCAATGTGAATGATGATACCCGAGAACTCGCGAATGAGATCCAAGAACGCTATTTCCAAACTGTACATATTCCTGGGCGGATATTCCAGCTGGTGAAATCATATATTGACGACGATCCTCCAGATCCCAACATTGACATCAACGATATGGATATGGCATGGGTGATAAAACAGCGGGCGCATGAACGATTAGAAATGGCAAGTGTGGATCTTCGTTTTCGTGGAGCGGAGGTGACTCGAAAGATTGAAGACGGCATCACGCATGTGATTTCTGATGAGAATGATATGGAGCGGATACCACGCTTGATCAAGGCTTTCAAAAAGTAAGTTGGATGATCAATTCGTTGGTTTTGCTATCAACATTAACCACGCCTTGTGCTTAGCGGGCCATTGCCGCACTTTGTGACAACCGAATGGGTCGATGCTTGCGTATTGAATAAGACCTTAGTCAATGAAAAAGGCAAGTATCTTTGAACATTTATATATGTGCAGCATCATCCTTATTCTTGTCTATTAGATTACCAACCCAAGCTCCCGAAAAAGATGTTAAAAGAACCCACAACCCCATGAAAACGCTTGTAATTTCAATGTATTGCTTTTAAAATGAAATGCTACTCTCTTTTGCGATTCGACAAAGTCTTGCGATCATTCCAGATAACTGTAGCACGCTTTGATGACCATCCGTGATACGCATATGTGTCAAGCCGATTTCCTAAAAACATGCTGAATGAGAACGAGGCATGATTTGATCTCCATGTCAGAAAACACTTGCCTTTAAGAGATCCAGACGTAAACCTTCTTCCAATGATCGCATGTTTTTCAATACCCGGCTCAGTGTTGTAATGATATCGAGTGAAGAATAGCCAAGGTCGTATAGATCACGCATGGTTCTATCAGCTTCCTTGACGTTGCCATCCGCACATGAAGTCAAGATACGTTGCAAAACAGCGGGATGTGGCTCATCACAGACTTTGTAAACGTTTTGTGCATTGACTTGCTTGAAGCCGTAATAGGTGGATTGTAGATTGTTGATTGCTTGTCGCATATCGCCATCAGCGGTGAAAATCAGAGCCTCCATACCATCGTTGGTCACATCCACATTCTCTCGTTTGCAAATCTCCTGCAGGCGTGATAAAACTTCGGCATCTGTCAATTTGTTGTAACGAAGGATAGCACATCGAGATTGTATGGGTTCAATAATCTTGTTGGATTGGTTGCAAGCAAAGACGAATCGTGTTGTATTTGAGTATATTTCCATCGTACGTCTCAAAGCCTGCTGCGCACCTCCCGTCATACTAGGTACATACAATGCATCAATTTCTTCTCGTTTCCTGCTACTATGTATGATGTATCATACCTGTCAGCCTCATCCAGAATGATAATCTTGTGTCTTCCTTGGGGTAATGTAACCTTCTTTTGTGCAAAGTGCTTGATGCGATCACGCACCATATCAATACCACTAACCATCATCACCATCAACCATAAGTATCTAGATCATCATCATCATCATCATGGATCCACCTAGTAAACATACCGTTCATCTGATGCATTCAATTCTAGCACTGCGTCCTTGTATGCACTGCCAAGTAACTCGTGTGCGAGACATAGTACACTCGTCGTCTTTCCAATACCCGGTAAGCCCTACAAGAACTTGATCAGTCCACCTTGCTGATTTCTCGGAAGCTCGACTGTTGCTTACAGCAAGAATTAGGTTGGGCATGTTGCCGTCGCGTGCAATGACTTGTAATCGAAGAACGGTGTCTTGGTTGCCGACAATGTCTTTGAGTAGAATGGGTCTGTACTTTTCCAGCCTGTGTATGCCTGCCCATTTAGTAACGATCACTGAGTAGCACTCTCTACCGTATAACGCATTTACCAAGGCACCATGTAGCCGACGGCTTCTTCTTGTGGTTTTGTTGGTTTGCTATCCATTGGGAGCTGGCTTTAACGACGCGTTGACAACAACTGGAAAGAAAAAAAGTACGCGCCGTGTTCGTTAAGTGTTGGCCTTTGAAATCGCGCTCGTGCCTGCATTCATCGTGTGTGCAACGTGACCCACTTAATAGTCGACAAAAGTACCCTACATTGTACCTCTAATAGCATTTACTGATCTACTAATAAAGAATGAGAGAGGGTTTGATGGTTTATGGACAAACCTCCCATTCATTGTAAACAACTTCATATTGATTGTCATTTAAATTGAAGCAAGTATTCTCATTATCAAGCATCAAAGAGGAATGACATTGGATTGGATAAATGAGGAACGTGTGTTATGACGTTATAGACAATCACAACAACAGGGACAACCGAATACATCCTTTGTTCAAGACACAATGAATCAATCAGACCATTTCCCCTTCCTCTCTTTATTTCCTTTATCACAGCATTTACAAATGGTTACACTTTTACAATCCTGCATAAACCTTCCCATAATACAATGCTTCAACTCTCCACACTCGATGAAGTCGAATTCAGCAAGAAAAGTGGCCTCTTACACTATAGAGACTTAAGAAATGGTTGGCCCTTGATAAATCCCACATCATTCAGCAGAGGTGGATTGAAAGATACAACGGGTTGTTCCACTCGGGGAGATACATCGATTTGGAATGTTCCTATCCTTTGGGCGTTCATTGTGCAAATGTGAATGGATGAACGTGAGGTGGCGAGCTATATGCATGGCATCTCAAAGCATGGAGTTGGATGATGATGGTTGTACATGTTTGACAGGTTGCACAACGGACCACGATAGTAGATGCCGTGGAATAGCGTGCAAAGTACGGTAATTGAATGCACCAATCGTTCAGGATGAAGCGTCAAAGTCAAGTGACAATGGAAACAAAAGAACAAAGGCTCCTTTTCCACGCGTTGTATATATCCAATTCCTTCCATCCCATGTACCAAACCAACATCCATATCCATATCCATATCCACAAGAAGTTGTATGTATTGAACAAAGTTGCTATGCGTAAATAAAGCTGCTTCTATACAATGGCTATCTGCTGTTCACGTGAACAAGGCTGTAAGGCAAGTTGCTGCAAGTAAAGAACGCTGTTAGGGACAATGACGTAAAGGTGTAGCTAATAGCAATTGCTGAATGAATGAATGCTGTTACGATTGGTCGTGGTCGAGGAGCGTGCAATAGCGTGTGTTGTGTCAAGAGACTCGTGTGTTGTAGAAGAGTGACAAGAAGGCTGTGTACACGCCATGGACTTGCCATTCAGCCAAAGACAATCGGATCAAGGCAATCGTAGGCTTGACATGATGGACTGAAGCAGGGCAATCGTTCGCAGATGGTAGTTGTATACTTGAATGGGGTAATAGTTGAGAATGGGAGGAAGAGACAAGAAGTTGTGGGAGTGGAAGGAGTGAAAATTAAAGTAGGTTGAACTGATCTTGAATGCTATTTCTTTGTTTGAGCGTTGCACAATCAAATCATCTCGAATCAAGGAAGTTCAATGATGGGAATGATGGGCTGGAGCGGGACAATCGTTCATATTCATTGTTTTGGGCAACAAAGGTGAATGGAAGGAACGGGCTATTAGCTGGCAGTTTACAAATAACTTTGCACAATAATTTTTGTGAAATTGGATGATGTTTTGTGTTTGAGCGTAACTCAACCAAATCCACTCGGACCAAGGAAGTTGAAGGATGGAAATGATGTGCTGAAGCAGGACAATCGTTCACATGCATTGCGTTGGGAAACAAAAGTCGATCGGGAGGAATGGTCTATCAGCTGCCAACCTATAAACTGTATTAAGCAGTGTGTAGTATCATGCATTGGTGTGATGTATGTATATCAAATGTAACGAGAAAGTCTTTGAGAATGCGTGTATATTCAAAAAGAATCAACCTATCAATCTAATGTCTGAACTACGTATTTATACATCGGCTATAGAAAAAGTTTTAATCCAATGGCAGGCTGTTGACATGGGTTAGCGTTGATTGAGAGGTGAATAATGTGAGATGCTGGCTTACAAGTGGACATGTCTCACTTGGATGATTTGTCTGAGATGTGATAATGACCGATCTTAATCACTGGTTCACCACATCACCCTCCTCCAGGTTCATTATAACGCGAAGAAGTAGTGTGTATAAGTGAAAAAGGGAAGAAAAGAGAGAGTATGAGAATGTGTGGGGAAATGTAACACTTATTGGAGGCGGAGTGATTTACGCACGGGTTGTTTCGGATTGCTGTTCCGTTGTCTTTTGCGTGAGTGGTTTTTGCGAGGTGCGTCATTTGTCCCAGAACTCGTTTTGCCTTTTGCGTTTCTTTTTCTCTTTCCACGCGTGTTCTCAGGCTTTGGTTCAGGTTGTTCACCAAGTCTTTTCCAGTAATCGTGAATGGTGTGTACGTTTGTAAACGACGATTCCCTAAGTGTCGTCCTCTTCACGATAGCCTTCCCATCTTACCAAGTATTTGTACTTGCCAGAGCCACTTTATGAGCAACACAGTGATCGACAACGTATATCGTCACATGGCAAGTCGTAGTCTTGGGATATCAACTTCAGCCGCGATGGTGCGTAATTCTACCAAGAAGTTTGCCTCTGATGTCCTTCAACACATAACTACCACCTCGTGTCTTCCTGACAACTGTGAATGGACCGTCATGTGGAGTATCGAGCTTGCTTCTTTCGTTCTCTGGTACGATCACCACTACTTGGTTGTTGATAGGGAAATCAACGATGTATCGCTTATCATTGAAGGCTTTGTTTCTGCTTCTAGCATGGCCAACACCTTCTCGTTGATTGCTGGAAATACCACGTTCTCCATTGCTTCTCCAATCTCTCTTGCAACTCTTCTGTCATTGCTCTCACATCTGTTTCCTGGTTCGATAATCACCGAAGGTATTCATCTTCCTGCAAACATGAGGGAAAAGGGTAGAGTCATGCCTTCGATATCTTTCCATTGATAGCAAGTTGCACACCTGGAACGAACAAGTCCCAGTCCTTGAGAGCACCTTTGATCAGTTTTCTCAAAGTCCTTACCGATGTTTGCACCCAACGTTCGGCTACGCCATTTGCTCGTGGGTGATAAGGAGTTGCCAATCTATGGTCAAAGCCAGTCGCTTGTGCCAATTTCTTTACAAGCTGATTCACAAATTCCGTGCCATTGTCCGATTGCAAGTATCTCGGAAAGCCGTAACGCCAAACACTTGGATCAAGGTTTTGACAATAGTATCAGACTTGCTATTTGGCAGAGGTCTGGGCGTCGGCAATGTTCTGTGCATACATCAACCGCTAATTTGGGCCAAGTATGTATTGTTGTCACGTGTAGGTCTAAATGGTCCTGCCAAATCGATTGCCCAGTGGTCTGGTTGGTAGGAATGAGAGTGGATGGAACGCAATGGGCATACCCTTTTTCACAATGTTGGACATTTGGCATTCGTTGCATTGTTTTACAACTTCAACAGCATCTTTGTGACATTTGCCAATGGATACCGTCGCTATGCAACGCCTTCACAATTGCAGCTGCACCAAAGTGACCGAAGAGGTGATACTTTATCAGTAAATCTTTGCGCTCTCCTTCTGGTGGTTCGAACATGTCATCGAAGTCATCGTCGACATCATTTGCCTTAGCAGCTCTACGACAATATCGTCGTTATCATCACCCCAGCCTTTTGCCGCGGGAAAAAGGCGAGACAGCTGATCAGGCAAGATGTTATCCAAGCCTGGCAAATGCACGACATCAAACTTGTACTCGAGGATGTGATCCAACCAGCCGATCATCATTGCGTTAGCAACTCTTTGGGTGTGCAAATAGGTAAGTGCTCTGTGATCCGTATAGAGGGTAAAGTGATTGCCCCACAGGTAGGTGTGGAATTTTTCCAATGCGTATACCACGCAAGCAATTCTCGTTTTGTAGTTGAATAGTTACGTTCAGATTTCGACAGTGCACGAGCCATGAAAGAAATGCGCCGAGTTTCACCATCAATAACCTGATACAACACCGCACCGATACCCACATTCGAGGCGTCAGTGGCCACCGAGAAAGGATACGCCATATTGGGATAGCGTAGAATCGGGGTGTTCGTCAAGATCTTTTGTATAGCAATAAAAGCATCAGTGCTCATATCTGTCCATTCATCATCGAGCTTGTCGACGTTGCGTAATTCATCCAAAGGAGCAGTTAATGTGGATATTTTGGGAACGTGCTCTCTAAAGTAGTTCACTACACCCATGAATCGCTGAATATCCTGGTCAATTTTTGGGATAGGCCAACTTTGGATGTTGGTTAATTTGCGTGGATCCAACGTACAGCCGGCTTCAGACACACAAAACCTAACAGGTATACTGCCTTTGGGCAAAAGTGGCATTTATCAGCATTCAAAATCAGGTTGACTTTCGTCAGAGTGCTTGATAGCGCGAGCAACATGTTCAATGTGCTCTTCCATGGTAGCAGAGAAGATGACAATATCGTCAACAAAGCACAACACAAAATCTGCCATGGGCTTGAAAACGATGTCCATAACCCTTTGAATTTGGATGAAATGGGTTTTAACCCGAAAGGACAGCCTCTAAACATGTATTGCTGTTTCTTGACCAAAAGGTTGTTTTATGCCTATCATCAGGATGGATCTCAAATCGATGAAAAGCACTCTTTAAATCCAAAGTCGTAAAGACTGAAGCACCATATTCAAGCCGTGAAAGATGTCACGAATGAGAGGCAATGGATGCCTATCATCAGCGATCAAACGATTAATGTGGCGTGGATCAAGGCAAGGTCTTTTGCCTGTATAATTGCCATATGCATCTTTCTTAGGTGCAAAGGTCAGAGGAGAGTTCCTAATGAAGTATACGGTTGCTGGTTCTACAGTACCATCCTCTAGCCATTGATCAATCGTTTCTTGCAACACAGGCTCGAGTGCAATAGGAATTGGATATTGTCGTTTGTATACAGGTGGATGATCACCCGTATCCAAGGTAATTACCGATTCCGCAAAGTACAAAACGACGCCTTTGAATCTTTGTTATCTAAAATGAGTGGATCAATCTTTTTAAAGAAAGCATCTCTCTGCTCATTCGTGCCTGCTGGTGAGTTGTTGGGTTCATAAGGCTCGGATCAATGACAGTGCTATCCATAGCACTAGGAGCAACCATATTAGGCCACGCACTTGTCAACCCTGTAAAGCCAATTCCCATCTTGATAAAATATCCATACCCAAATAAAACAGGATCTGGATCTGGTAATTCCATGACCTCGAACGAATGAGAAAATTTTTTATCAGAGTACTGACATTCACATCTTTGATGGAGCCTGTTCTAGGCACTGTCAAGCCATCGGCTGCTAAATGGATTGAACCATCAGTGATAATCTCAAAGTTATTGGTGACAACGAAATTTTTATTGACAAGGGAATGGGGTGCAACCCGTATCGAGCAAGGCCATGATCTCTATATTCTGTATCATGATAGGAATTAAAAGGCATTCGTCAGTCTTTTCCTTTTGCGTTGCTCTAACCCAAATGTCATTCTTACATTGTTTGCTAGAGCTGCCCATAAGCTCGTCGACATCGATTTCGTTGTGCTCTTTGCCCAAATACTTGAGAGCGGCAAATCTTGCCATAATCTTCTTGTGCTGCTGCTTAGCCTCAGCATCCTTCCTGGCGTTGTATTCAAGCATAGGTGTGCACGAGTGACCTTTGCGGTAAGGAACTTCGTGGCAGAAGTCGCAAAGTCTGTTGCGTTTGGGCTGTTGCTGAACACCATGCTTGGAGTTGGCGAGTTTCACCACCGAATAACAATGGTCAGTGTCATGGTCGCCTTGCTTGTGGATTCGACAATAAAGAGCCTTTTCTTTGCCCTTGTCCTTCTCCTTTGCCTTTGCCCTTTTTAGCATTGGCCTTCTTGTTACCCTTACTCTTGTTGTTGCGTTTACGCTTGCGAGTGGGTTCTTCATCATCAGAATTGTCGCTGCCAGATAATTGTTCCAGTGATCATCATCATCATCATTCTCTACCTCAGCCCAAGGTTTGCTCTGATCCGAAGCTCTTGACATCTTGTTGGCATCTTCTACAGTGCCAGCAAGCTTGACCATCTCACTCATTGAAGGTGTTCATCGTACCTCATATGAAACTCGCATGACAACATCCCAAATGGGCTTACGGAATTGATCCGCAACGTTGCACAAAGTCCATTAGCAAGGACTTGTCATCCGGAATATGATGCCGTTGGGCATATTGGTTGATGGCCAAAGCGAATTGGCGCAAAGACAGCTTCATCTTCTTTTGTTGCATATACCTGATATGCATCAAATGGTACAATTCAGCGTACGGGCTTTTTTCGGATAAATCGGTTCTGAGTTCCACCTGAAACCCTCGTACGTATTATCCTTACACGCTTGATGATGGATGCCAAATCCAAGACCTCTTCTCGGGAGCACAAGTAAAGAAAATACACCGTTCCCAGTGATCTTCCTTGGGTACCTCATTGACATGAAGGTACGTCTCGAAGTCCTCGAAAAAGTCATCGACAGAGGCGTGTACAATGGATGACGCTTGTCATGGCGGTCTTCGGTTTCACCTTGAATCTGCAAGGGTGGCACATCCTTCTTGAACGGTAGGCAAGTGAACGATATCTTTCAAAGCCTTCTTGCCTTGAGATTTTGCCCTTGGATGACGAAGGACCAACTCCATCATCCTCAAGAAAATGCTGCTCTTCAGCAACCATCTTTCTTTCTGCTTAGACAATAACTCGTCGAAAGACTTGTCATCACTAGCAGCAATAGCGGCCTTCATCTGTCGGTCGCACTTATCAGCTTCTTGCTGACAATAAGAACGCATAACATAGGGCGTGTTTGGGCCAATCTTGCCCGAAGAAATTTCTGAACCAAGAGGCATCGGTGGCCTTTTGAAAATGATCTTCTCAATGACCATGTCTTCGTCCGATACTGATTCAGCATACTTTTGTAAGCTATCCTCATCATCGTCCTTGCTCTTCCTTCTCTTTAGGATCAGAGTCGATTTCCATGGCGTCAGCGTTTCCATCATCAAGATCCTTAATGACTTCTTCACTGCGTTTAGATAAGCCATTGGCTTTGCTACCTCTGGTGGTAGACTCGCTCTCTCAGACTTCTTAGTTGTTTGTTTTTGGATAGGATTGGGTGACATGTTTGTTGATAGGTGTTTGTTTGCAAAATTCAAAGAAAAAAATGTGATGTATGTATATCAAATGTAACGAGAAAGTCTTTGAGAATGCGTGTATATTCAAAAAGAATCAACCTATCAATCTAATGTCTGAACTACGTATTTATACATCGGCTATAGAAAAAGTTTTAATCCAATGGCAGGCTGTTGACATGGGTTAGCGTTGATTGAGAGGTGAATAATGTGAGATGCTGGCTTACAAGTGGACATGTCTCACTTGGATGATTTGTCTGAGATGTGATAATGACCGATCTTAATCACTGGTTCACCACAATTGGCCCTTCCATTCATGCAAAGCTGCTGAGTTACACAAAGACGTCCCTCTGCATCTTCGGCCGTATTATAGTCATACTATTTGACAATGAACAAAGACCCCTATCACACTTACAAACATATAAAAAATTAGAGAATCTCAAACTTTACAATGAATGTGGGGTTTTTACTAGTGGCAATGTGTTGTTTAATAACAAGTACTCTTGTGAAAAGTTTCAATGTTCAAGGTCGCAAACAGCCCAAAAAATATTTGGGTCGTCAGCCACTAAAGAGGTCGACCTCCAGATCCAGTTTGGCTGGTGGCGACATTTGCGAAATCTGGGATTGGCAAGCTTGATCGTGAAACTTTCACACAAGGTGCTGTTGGCCAAGCCGAGCACATTGTTTCAATAAAAACCACACGTTTCATTGTAAAGTTTGGAGATATATAAACTTTTTGTGTTTGTAAGCGTGATGTTGGTATGAAGAATGGTCTTTGTTCATTATCAAGTAGGTGGACTCCTGGCAGAGCCAAAGATGCAGAAGGACCTCTTTGGGTAACTCAGCTAAAAAGTCAGGACTTCAGGGACAATGCATGACAGGTACGCAACCCTCATTTTCAGGTCATACATTGGCAGCTAATAGCCACTTTTGTGCATTCACAACTCTTGTGCATTCTATTGTAGGTGGACGATGCTCCTGCTCTAGACATTCATTTCCATGATTAAAGTAGGTTGATCCGAGCTGATTTGGTTGAGTTACGCTCACACAAGTTTACATCGGTTGAGCTACATCGAGCGTGCTTTATGTCCAGAGTGATGTAATCTCTCTTTGACCGCAGCTCAGTCAAATCAGCTCGGATCAACCTACTTTAATCACGGAAATGAATGTCTGGAGCAGGGGCATCGTTCCCATGCAGTGGATCTCGCAACAATGATGATTGGATAAAAGTGGCCGTTAGCTAGCAATACATGCCTGTTCCTAGATGATCCATAAAGTAATTATACATTGACCCTTTCATTCATGCAAACGTGGCTGTGTTACACAACACGACCCTCTGCATCTTTTGCTCTGCCAGGGTCCAGCTACTTCACAATGAACAAAGACCACTTCTCATATAGCATCACACTTACAAACATAAATAAGGTGCCTGTATCTCCAAACTTTACAATGAAACGTGTGGTTTTGAATAGAGCAATGGGCTCGGCTTGGCCAACAGCACCTTGGGTGAAAGTTTCACGTTCAATGTCGCAACTAGCCCAAAAAATATTTTTTTGGTCGTCGTCGACGAAGAGGTCGACCTCCAGATCCAGTTTGGCTGGCAGGCGACATTGCGAAATCTGGGATTGGCAAGCTTCTTGATCGTGAAACTGGCACCCGAGGTAGTTGGCCAAGTTAGGAGCACATTGCTCTATTCAAAACCACACGTTTCATTGTAAAGTTTGAGATACAGGCACCTTTTATGTTTGTAAGCGTGATGCTATATGAGAAGTGGTCTTTGTTCATTGTGAAGTAGCTGGACCCTAGCAGAGCAAAAGATGCAGAGGGTCGTGTTGTGTAACACAGCTACGTTTGCATGAATGAAAGGGTCAATGTATAATTACTTTATGGATCATCTACGAACAGGCATGTATTGCTAGCTAACGGCCACTTTATCCAATCATCATTGTTGCGAGATCCACTGCATGGGAACGATGCCCCTGCTCCAGACATTCATTTCCGTGATTAAAGTAGGTTGATCCGAGCTGATTTGACTGAGCTACGGTCAAAGAGAGATTACATCACTCTGATTACGCTACTCGATGTAGCTCAACCGATGTAAACTTGTGTGAGCGTAACTGAACCAAATCAGCTCGGATCAACCTACTTTAATCATGGAAATGAATGTCTGGAGCAGGGACATCGTTCCCATGCAGTGGATCTCGCAACAATGATGATTGGACAAAAGTGGCTATTAGCTGCCAATGTATGACATAAAAGTGAGGGTTGCGTACCTATCATGCATTGTCCCTGAAGTCCTGACTTTTTAGCTGAGTTACCCAAAGAGGTCCTTCTGCATCTTTTGCTCTGCCAGGGTCCACCCACTTGACAATGAACAAAGACCACTCTCCATATAGCATCACGCTTACAAACATAAAAGGTGCCTGTATCTCCGAACTTTACAATGAAAACGGGGCTTTTGATAGAGCAACGTGCTCGGCTTACAACAGCACCTTGGGTGCCAGTTTCACGATCAAGCTTGCCAATCCCAGATTTCGGCATGTCATCACCACCCAAAATCCGTGGATCTGGAGGTCGACCTCTTCGACGACGACGACCTTCAAAAAATATTTTTTGGGCTGTTTGCGACCTTGAACGTGAACTTTCACACAAGGTGCTGTTGGCCAAGCCGAGCACATCGCTCTAATAAAAACCCCACGTTTCATTGTAAAGTCGGAGATACAGGCACGTTTATAATGCACGAAAAGCAAAGTGATGGAGTTGCTTTTCCTAGTGGATGGTGTCGGCTGCATTAACGGAAAGATGAAGAGCCGAGTGAAACCGCACGTGGTGGTTACAGACACGTCCTTGACAGGTTGCTACACAAATGGATGATGATGATGATTGCCTTTCGTGAAGGTACGTAAGTAAACAGCATCCAATAATGAAGGTGTGTCAGGGTATGCATCACATTTGCATGTAGAAGAAAGTCGAGCTGCATAAACCAATTTGTATATGTAAAAAGATACATATACATATTGAATGAGTCACTCATCCTGAAACTCAATGGAGGGATCTCTTCACTTTTTCTCTTCTCAAGCTCCTTATTGTATCACAAAAGCCATGTACTTCTTGCATGACCGATAACCGGACCACCTTTATTATTCCATCTTCGAAGCAATAGTATGTAATCCACAAGCTAGCAACCTCCAACAAGCGTGTAATAAATAAACAATGCTTTATTTCATCTAGCTATCTTGCTACTGTACATTGCCACCACCATCGTCGTAGTCGTCCTCCGTCATCATTCGTACTCGTACTCGTCACCAGTCGTCAATCTCATCCGTCACACCAACATCCAAAAACACACAAGTTGAAAAGAATGGGATCTTGCAGGCTTCCTTTTGAATCTCGTTGTCGTCATCATTGTCATTGTTGTAGATGGGGTGATCATCGTAATCGCCATTGTTGTGAATGTGGTAATCATCGTAATCGTCGTCTCTATAAATAAGAAAGCAAGCAAGTTAGATCATACGATGCCGGGAATGATGACGAATTGTTATACCGTTAGGCGATCCTCTCCAAGGAAGAAAGCAAATCAGAAGGAATTCACAAACCAAATCACCACCATACGAGCAACGTCGGGCGATCCCTTGTTCTTGAGAAAGCACTGCACGAATCACGCAAGGCCAGTTCGATCCATGGCAGAGAAGGACTCACTTACGTAGAGTCCAGGCTCATAGTTGTCCTCATTCATCCTCTCCAAAGAAAGAATGATTCCCAATCCAAGCCTTTCAATCATTTCCCACCTCATGAAAAGAAATCCTCAAAGGGAAAGAACGAGCCTATCACGAGAAGAGCGTGTTGGTTAAACACATTCACAAGCTGTTGCAAATCCCCTTTTACCTCAACACGGTGACCATGCTCTTCCAATAATCCATCGTCATCGACCCATCAACTCAAACGCAGGCCTATAGAGCCCTGGACGCGTTCCAAGAAGCTTTTCCAGCACACTTGGCTAGTGCAGAGCGACGCAGCGACCACTTGATACAGGCTGGGACTTGAACCCAAAGAGATGATGATGATGCCCCAAGTTGCATTGCCTGACCAAAGAAACCTATTCAATTCATTATTAGCACACACACAATAAAACACCCTTTTCATTGTTTGTTTCATTGTACTTGCCTTTTCCATATACACAAAGACCCGTTGTTGTTGGTTACTGGAAACCGAAAACCATGGTGTAGTATAGTTGAGCCGAAACAAAACGACAAACCAGCCAACGTCTTGAAACCAAACTTGCCCTCTATACAAGCTGACGCGTCAATGGAACCAAGTCGGCTGCAACATTGGACTCTGAATGTACCTGTTGACACCAAGCGTAGAGCGGGAATAGCAACGAGCAAAAGGAAGCAACAATATCGCCATGGCAACCACCAACCACCAACCACGCTCATTCCTCGGCACTTTGGACACACTCACTCCCTGACAATGCATGTTCAGAACTATGTTAATGCCTCACAAACAACAAGAGCACTCTTCTATAATACATTACCTTGATCTCAATGTCGTGAATGGAATAAGGAAAGGTGGGAGAAAAAGAAGAGAAGCGTTGTCTCAAGTCGTGGAGCTACCGACCCCCAAGTTTAAATCCCCCTACTGCTATTACACTGAGGCCACTCAATTACCCTAGACACACAGCTCACCCATCATGATCATCACCCTCACGATAGACAATAGGTACACATAAATAATAGAAATGATCCTCACGTATAGCAAAAGGATGTGTGTCATTTTACACTTTACATGATAATGATGATCCAACAACAGCCACTGCCTTACTATCAGATCAACTCGAATCAAGGAAGTTCAATGATGGGAATGATGGGCTGGAGCGTGACAATCGTTCATATGCATTGTATTGGGAAACAAAGGTGAATGGAAGGAATGAGCTATTAGCTGGCAGTTTACAAATAACTTTGCAAATGATTTTTGTGAAATTGGATGATGTTTTGTGTTTGAGCGTTTTTCAGTCAAATCCTCTCGGATCAAGAAAGTTGAAGGATGGAGATGTAGGATGCTAAATTCGGATTACTAGATACCTCTAAAGGATTGCTAGAATGCTAAATTCGTGATTATTGGATAACTCTGTATGGTATCGAAATAGCTTATGGGCTATAATTGACGATCACTGTAATCTCATTGTTGTAATTGCAAATAAAGAAACATGGTTGGAAGCGGTGTTTATTTAAGACAACGTAACAAACGAATCCAACCTCAACCATTGCTGCCAGAAAGGATGCTTATCTAGAGCGACCAGTGTTTTGCCTAGCAACCTTGTTCCTGGTAACCGGCAGATCCTTTTTTCACTTGAGTTATTATCATTGCAGCTATACAAGATGCTATCTTATGATATCACAATGCTTACCATTAGGAGCGAATACTGGCGGACACTTGTTGCTTACGGAAGAAGGTTGCAAGTCTTCCCAAGGCCGTTCTTTATCGTCGAGGTCAAAGTTGTTGGAAGAGCTATATGGATATCAGGTTAGTATACATAAGCAACGTAATAAACCATAATAACATACATAGTTGGTACAGGGACGTCTTCTTGCACCACCACCACAGGATCCTCTCATTCGTTGTCATCACATGGATTCTCCCTTCCTATATTATAAAATGGTAAGTTTTTCGTTCAGCACATAATGGAGTCATACAATGATGTACACAACTTACCCTGTGAATCCGAGTCATCCCCATCGGTGTCATCTGAATGATGAAGACCATATATAAGTAAAAAAAAAAGACAAAGTAAAAAGCACATTTGAACACTTACTCGTACTGCTGTTGGAGGTGTTGTTGCTCCAGCGCTTTGCCAACATCAACATGGCACCTCAATAACGAACACATGCTCCAAGAGGGATATGAGCTGCAGCTCTATTCTCGAGGAGTATGATGGCGTTCATTTTGACTTCCTCATCAAGCTTACCCCATGTGATGTCGCTCGGCAAATGGAACCTGCGGATGATCTCGGGCTTGATGCTACCCAAAGGAGATGTCGCACGTTGTCACATGACCTTTGGGCTTGCGTGAGTGTCAGCTGTGGGCTGTCGGCAGGCTTATACCTGTCGTATACAGTGACAACGAGACGTTGCATCAGCGACCAGCTGAATTGGACCGCTCTAAAAGTATCCTTGGTAGGCATGGCATCGGGAGGAAGCACATTATTGGCAGCTGTGCCATTGTTGGGAGGAAGGTCCTTCTTGGGGGGTCACCTTGACATATGGCCTTGGCACATCCCTCTGAATTGCCGGCAAGTTGCTGAACAACGCCACTGATGAGCTGTTCTCGAAACGGTTGGCAGTTTCAACCTCTTCACGGATCCCTTGGTGGACCTGGATATCATCACGGGCCTTGATGATGCCGATGAGCTCTTGAAGCTGGGCCTTCATGGATACAATTTCGGCCTTGAGACCTTCAACCTCATTGGACACGTTTGACAACAAGAGGGTGTCAGATGACTGAGTGGAGGACAAAGCACCCAGTAGGTTGTCATCATAAGCTGTCTGCCGCCGTAGGGTTGCATGTTGAAGTTTTGCATCTTGTATGATAGTTGTAGAAACGAGGAAGAGAATAGGAAAGAACAAGGATAATTCGACTCAAAGTTGTGCATTATAAAGAGGATGGCTAGATAAGAGAAGCGAGATGTAAAAAGAATTAATTGATTGGATACAATGGCTTTATTGATTTATGCTGGTATCTTTTGCTCACACTTTCAACACCTTTTGGACAGCTTCCAACACGCGGTCAAAGATCTTTGCGTTAGCAGCAACAACACCCTTATTGCTCTCAAGCGTGCGTCCAATAGAGAAATCCAACGGCTTGCCATGGATGTCGGCTACCTTGCCACCTGCTTCAGTCACAAGCAACGATCCAGAAGCATGATCCTGTATCATCCAAATCATTGATGAATACCCAATACCCTTTGCATGATAAGTTACGTCTCATGGACTTACCCAGATCTTCTCGACATAGGTCTTGCTAGTGGGCAAGCGCAAGTAGATGTCACCATCGCCACGGGAAATAGAGCAGTATTTGGCTTGGCTATCCATTCTCACAGCAGGGCGGGTGATACCAAGCAACTTTGCAATTTCAGCTGCATCACCATGAGAAGAGTGACCTGCTTCAACCGATTCACAAAAAGTAGCCTCCTCAGTTGTGCTGATATCATTGAAATGTATCTTTGTCTCGGTTTCATTGGCAAATGAACGCTATAATGAAATGGATCAACATCCCTTCATGATGTATTTCATCCAATTGCAATAGTTACCTGGTAAGCGCCTTCACCACGTACTGTAATAAAGAGCGTGCCCTTTTCGCCTTCAGGATTCTTGGGATCAACAGCAAGGTTGGGAGTACCCATGACACCAAGTTGCACAACACCATCAACAATCAAAGCCAAACACACGGCGTATTGTCCACCACGCAAGAAACCCTTGGTACCATCAATAGGATCCAATGCCCAATGACCTATATTGATGTATATTTTGAATAAGTGCATTCACCAATTGTCACGTATACTTACGTCCTTTAGCACCACCGGCATAATTGCCGCGATCAATAGCTTCCAAGATCTAGATTGTAAAAACCCGACAAGTGTCAGTGCGCTAAATCTCATCATGGATTGAAATGCCGAGGTGCATAGACCCAAGTCATCCCTTCCTCTATAATCTTACCTGCTCTTCAGAAAGTTTCTCGTCATCCTTCAAGACACCATTGGTCAAGCTGTACACCTTTTCACGGAGCACTTTGCCGGCATCACCACGTAAATCCTTGGAATCTTCTTCACCGATGATAGGATCGTTGGGGAAGGCCTTGTGCAAGTATGTGTTGATAATGGCTTGAGCCGAAAAGTCAGCGACTAGAAACGAATACGTCGTCAATGAGCTTTTTCCATGAAGGCACGTAAACAATAGGCGCGTTACCAGTGACAGGCGACTTGTCACCCTTAGTGAGGGTTTCGTTGGCAACGAGATGCTGGAATACGGACTGGCAGACTTTGCTGGCTTGCAAGACAGCTTGAATGGCAACAGATCTTTCTTGAGCGAGAGCTACATGACGCGTTCATTAGGTATACAAGCATAGCATTTCACTTGCACATTCCACTTACCGGACATTGGTAGAGTATAAAGGTGTCTTGATAGATGCGACGAGCCGAGTTTAAAAGATCTACGATTACTCAGGACCGACTCACGGGCCGAGCGAGCAAAGGCGCCGATCATTATTATCCAATGCACAACACAAGACGAAAAGGCGCAAGATTGCGCAAGATTGTGTATCCAATGAACTCTTGATATACATGAACACAAGGCTGTCTCCCAAACCCTATATCTTTATATGCTTTTAGTTTTGAATTATGATCCATTCACCACGTTGACCCCCATACAGCTACATTGTCATTGACTACTCTGTATCATTAAACGATGAGAATCATCATGTTGTATAGCCGCCCTCTTCCCCTATTCAATGTTGCTATGTGACACAGGCCAATGCCCATTGATCCAAAAGTAACACAGCTTGTGCCGTCATTCAATTGTGAACGTTTTGCCGTGGCAGGAAGGGAACCCTGAACTTGCGCTTGTTCAGAAACAGGGTTTCTTCATTCCTCGGAAGGTTGCCATCATCACGGACGCTAATACAGCGGTAAATTTCTATCTCCACGGCAACCATAGTCGTTAGTCATATTTTAGCGTGCTTTGGCATGATCAGCAATAAGCTCAGCTGCATTGGCATAAAGTCAGTACAATAGTAGAATGAAAAATGAACGATTATTTATATACAAGATGGGACTCTTCATGTGACACATCGGGAAAAAATAAACACACAAGGATGAATGAGAAGGGATAGCTATATACTTTCTCTCTATGAGAAGCGAATTCAACCCACCGTAGTGTAAGCAGGAGGAGGTTCATAGAGAGGTGGTGGTCTGTATTCGGGCAAGTCTAATGCACCTATCTTATCGAGAAAGGCAACATGGTGACCTTGGAGTTGAATGTCTGTTTCAAATGACAAGCTTCTTTGGGTACGCCCCAATCCAGGAAATACCAAAGTCATGAGAACTTTTAACGAGTGTGTAACGCTGAATAGATCATGATTCCCATTGTTGTTATATCGAGTGGTGGTGGTGGTTGATGGTAATATGGTTTTATGATCTGGGAGATGGTATTCAAATGTATTCTGCCAAGGCTCTTCAAGGGCTTGCTGCGGTAAACATTGTCGCTGAGGATCGGCTCGTGAAAGCACATGAACCGTATGCCCAAAAGGTTTTCCATCGAGACATCGTCGCTCAAGCAAAAACACAACAATCGAAAGTAAACGTACACCGGGAATCACTGGCCATAATGATAATGTCAAGGGAACGGTTGATCCTACTGCCAATGATTTGCTCTCCACAAGAAATTGATATTCAACGTATTGCCCATGATGTCTACGAGAGTCGATGGTGCGAGCTACATTGTCCCCACTGAGCAAGGCATGCTTGAATGGTACACGCATCAGCTGTATCGGATGACTCTTTTTGTATCGTGTTCCAGAAGATGTGCGTAATTGTGCTGTTAATCGATATTCTACTTTGATGCCTTTGCTGTTGATGGTTTCAGGCATGTCGCCCAAAGTAAGCCGAATTTCAAACGGATATCTTCGGGTATTCCCGCGGAATGAAAACGTCGCTGATGAAGGATCCAATTCATGGTGGTATTGAATAAGTGGTCTTTTGGCTATTGAAATGATGATAAGTATGATCATCTTTGTGTGGGATGGGAATCGTGAGTTACTCACTGGATGGATGTTTCATTGTTAAGTACCCCTGAAAAACCAACGTGATTGAACAAATCGATCGCTTTAGTTGAGGAATGTCAATGTAGCCGCGCAACACAGTGGTATCATCTTCAGCATCAAGGTATAAGGCGGGCTCCAACAAGCGTAAATCAAATGTGGATGATGATTGTTCAAGGAACAACAGCATGGCAAGTGTGTGGGTTAAAAGGAGGAGGAGACGACGTGCAACGAGAAAAAAAGTTTGTCAGACCAAGGACGCTTTAAATAATCCTTCGAGCGGTGAATGGGGTGTGTAACGACGATCCAGAAAGCAACATTAGAAGCAAAAGCAAAGCAACCGAATTATAGTAACTGGACTTGAATCTACCATTGTCGATGTTGGACGCTTAGATAAACCCCACATTCTTATTTGCTATCCATCCCCCACTAATATTCAGGTTGATCACTTGCCCGCGGATTAAGGAATTCTCCGCAGTCGGTAAAGCAAGCCGGGTCATTTCATATTTACTTGGGCTGTGTTGTGTTGTAGTACGCATGGATGATCGGAAATACAGGAGGTGATATAAGCAGACTCAGCATCGTATACTGAAAGGAAACATTAACAAAGAAGGAAAACAACAGGAACAATTGTAGATGCGGTGGAAAGAGAAGGGTTGGTGATGGTGGTGGTGGTGGTATACATATATACATCGGCGGAATCATAGACGGTCATCGTCATCATCGTCGTCGTCATCATGGTCACCGTAATCATGACTATAATCATCACCATCGTAATTGTCATCGTTGCGTAAACTTGAAGGGGATCGAATATGATACATGGGGTCATACATCATCATTGGCGTGGATATGGAGGAAGGCGTAGCAACAGCTTGATGATGATAATAGTGATCCTCTTCTGCTTCGTCCAACTTGTCGTCACGGTCAATATGCATGTGATCCAATGATGAGCTAGAAAAGAAAAAAACATCACGTTAGCAATGTTTAAAGCCCACATGGCAAAAGACGCCGTTGTTGTAGCGTAGTATGCAACCTACCATAATGCTTCATCTTGTTTGCGTTGATGGCGATCTTGCTCAAGTTGTAATGATTCATCAAAGCCAATCATACGCACTTTGGCACGGACCCAGTTTTCATCGTAGATTGAGAAAAGATCGGTGTTGCTTTGACGACGTGCTCTTGCATTGGTACGAGCGATGCCTCGGCGACGAGCTTCCTGGCGTGGAGTATTGAAATTAAGATTGGCAAGTTGACAAAGTAAACCCTCACTCTCATCTGTACAGGCACTCGTAGCAGCAGCAGCAGCAGCAGCAGCAGTAGTAGTAGTGGTAGTAGTACTAGTAGCATCCATATCCATAGTATCGGTATTTAGCAACAAGTCGATTTGGCGAATACTCTGCTTGATCTTGGCTCCTTTGTCAGGAAGTGTATGCACCACCGACCTATGAAACAAGAGGATGGTTAATACTCTATTATCATGTACTTTAACCCCCCAAAGTGGTAGAAGTAACATACCTGTGGCGGAGCATACGCTCATGTCGTTCCTTTGCTTCCAAGAGTTCTGATCGTGACATTGACTCCAAGTTCTTGCGAGGGAGAGATGACTGCAAGCCATCAAGAGAGTGAAGTGAGCCACGGCGGTTTCTCGGGAGGTTTCTTGAATAGGTGGTAGGTCGATTGACTGAAGTCATAATGGGGAACGGGGCAAACTGCATAACTTGTCGTAGCTGAAAAAGAAAAGTGCATCACACGGAATTCCTGAGTTTGACCAAGGGTGTTTTATACTGCAGTGAAGCATCATCCCCCAAACCTCCTTCTTTCCCAGCCACATGTAATTGTGTGTATGTGTATCTCTCTCACTCTCTCCCTTTCTTACAGTGGTAGATTGCATCCACATCTCTCTGGGACATAATAAAAAGGGCTCGTCTCAATAGATACATACCCGCTGCTGCTGCATGAATCATAAATGAGAAACACTCAACCCATTTTCCCCCTCTTTTACATTCTAAAAGTGTCACGTCCGATAAACAAAACATACCCTATTACGCCTTGATTTACACTTTCAAGGATGAGATGAGCTCTAATACACCACCATCATGAATCGTATTTTTATACTATGGTGCCACACATGCAGTACAGACGACATGGTATGCTCTCGTAAGATTCATTTATTTGTTGTGTTGGCCTATGTAAGTGGCAAAACCTCTGACCATCTACTGCCTTTGGAAAGAGTCAGGTGTCAGCTTGCATTCATAATGATACTCCTCCTCCTCCAGCATGATGTGCATGTCACTTGGGCCCATTTTTTACCTCCTTCTCGCCAACCTTTGTTGCTAAAGCCATCCCATTTGTATGTTTCATAAATAACAACAAAAGTTTATTTCTGCTGCTGCACAACAAAGTGATCAACCCTATTGCTCGCATAGCAGGAGACCAATGACATTGGCTGCGTGATCTAAACCGTAAGGAGTTGTGTACGTGTGTGTTATGTGACAACGACGACAACTACGAAAGCAAATAGGATACTGGATACAAAACGTTTAGCTTTGTATTAGTGCCCTTACCCAGATGTGTAATAGGGGTAGCAGCTCGCTTTCTCTCTCTCGACGTATCCCCTTTTTGCTCGTGCTATATACTTCATGTCACAACCATCATTATTGGATGTAAGGCAGCATCACGGGTTGCATAGAGTTTACCGTAACACAAAAAAGTGTCGATCAGTGTCATCATCTTACCCAAAGAGATAACACCCGCCAACTTGAAAACTCTATGGAGGCGGCAAAGCGATGTATGTAAATTCCCGGAATATGCAAAAGTATAGCATGACAATCGCTTTAGCCATCTGCTACTTGATCGTCCAATCTTCAGACCTCCCCCCTGGTTCATTTTACAGATTTGTTCGTTGACACTGAAATTGTATTGCACGCTTGGTGGTGTGTCATAACATAGCAAAAGGTCCCATATAGAGAGACGAATCCCAAATTGAATGCGAGGCATCATTGATTATGTAAATCGATTATCGTTTATTATAGCCTATATATGATCCTCAACCTTAAAAAGTGAGCAGTTACTGAAAGCCTTTATTCGCTATGATACAACAACTAGTTTTACGACTATCCATCATTGCTATCATCTACATTGATTGAGAGTTCCAAGCCTTTATAGCGACAACAACTGAATTTCTCCTTGACATCGGCCATGGGTTGGTATTCGGGAAAGCCCTGAGATGCATGATTGCCAAAGCGGAAGCTGTAAAAATCTGCCAAGTCCCCAAGAAAGCATTCGTAATAACTTCGAGATGTAACATGAGGCAATGGTGCTCATCCGCAGCTTCCTTCATGTAGTCAAACCAGGTTCCAAATGTTGTATCCGGCTCTCCAATCGCATCAGGGTCAACAAGGTAATGTAGCAAAGCAATCCTTTTCCAATACAGCAATAGCCTTTTTGATGGTCGATTCGCCTCAATGTCCCAACCTTGGATCCCAAGTATATCAATGATGGTGAAAGCAGTCTTCGGCTGCAGCAAATCATTATCGAAGTCGATAGTGTTGCCCGTAGTATAGAAGTTGGATCGGATTCGGTGGTGATGGTGGAACGAAGGAATGATGTAGCCTCTCATCTTGTACCTTTAGCCCAGCATGGTGTCGATAAGAGCATTCATTGTCTTGAGGTACGCATCTCCATCATATCCTTTGTAGATCCCAATTACCACAAAGACATCGTAAGTTGAATCGCTAGGTCTTACCATGAGCATCCAATCTACACTTCAGCATGTCGTTGTGTCCTAACCATCGGCCGACGAAACCATAGAAGCAATCCCATCATCTAAGGGCATTGTAAATCAACAACATGAAAGGACGTGCACCCATATTCCAACAAAGATGTACCAGAGTCATGAACGGTAAACAGACCATTTTTCTCCATGGCAACCTCGACGCGATGAGACATACAAGTCAACTGTTGTTCGTTGTTGGTTGCTATAAGACAATGCGTCAGGCTGTATCAAAGCAAGTTGTCGATGTGGTCAAATGCCTTACCATAGTGCACATTGGTTTTCCTTTAGAAAGTGAACACGATCAGGGTGAGTATACACCATCGCGCAAGTGCAGTGAAGCAACTGACCTTGTCTTAAAGCAGCTGTAGAGCACGCAATGTTCCCATTGTGTCGTTGGTGCTGTAATGCCAAACCACGGAAAGACGTAGAGCTATCGAACTACCTTATTAGCTTGAGCAGTACAAGGAATTCTACCAATGCTTACATTGAGAGCGTTTGAGGACCATTGTGACAAAGGTGAAAGGTCAAAAGAGGGGAATGAAAGTGAACAATGCACATTGTGCTCCTCCTGAAACACTAGTCAGGTCCACAAAAAATTGGCAGGGCGGTTGCCAGCTATCACAATGACATCCACGACAACAATGAAAGTAGCATACAATGAAAAGCTAAAAATGACCATAAAGACCATCTCTATTCCACAAGGATGCAATAAATGATACTCGCACAAACCTTGGACGTCTGATGTTATATGCAAGCAATCAAAGAGATGATGTGTGTGGAATAATAATGTGATGATGATGCATGAGCTGGTGATGGGCGTCTTCACCCGCACTACACATTCCCTTCACAAAATGACCTGCCACTATCAGGCTATCTTTTACTCTTTAGGGTGGCTGGTATGTGTGTGTGTGTCTATGCGATGACTTTTCCCTATCATGCATCGTTGAATAACCGAGACCATGATCCAACAAGATGCTTCATACCCAGCAAAATCCCAATACCATTATGTATCGGATGCGCCAGATATAAATTGCATTACGCCAAATAAAGGATAATGCCGGTCATCCTATTCAAAGATCGCCAATATGAAAAACAGCAATCCCCATTGTAGCTTTTAAGATGTGCAAGTTGTCTCAGCATTATGTGGCCATGATGAAATTTCAAGTAGCCAGGCGGCGTCGTTGTTGTTGGTGGTAGGTAAATGTAAACAATGATACGCCAATCTGGACATTTATTCATGAGGTTATCAAGGTGGTGAAATAGGCTCAATGAGGCAGAAGATCAAGAATTTCAGGAACGGGAAAGATAGCACATGATTTGTAGAGGTTGCTATAATGAGCCAGAATCGTAGATGAGACTCCCCAAGTAAAAAGGCGATCTTCCGTCATGTCGATCCTATTTTTAATTACGTCCTTATTGTGCTAAACTATTCCAGGAAAGAGGTCGTGACAGCCACACTGCATGGTTTGATGAGCTTACCCAGTGTCCCGGCCACATGCCATCACCCTTTTATTCATGATGTGTACGCCCTACAAATATCATTAGTGCCATCGCCATGATGAGATGCTGATGCCTAATAGCAATGTGCAACGGCAATAAATTGCATTTATCATCATACATTATATCATGGTGGCCTTTAACCATGAGGGTCGAATGATGTAGACTCATTCGTGATAAACAACATTGATAAACAAACGACATGCAGCATCGGGCATACTTGGCTTGGTTTTCTACACACACCTTTTTCTCACGTGGATGTTGTTGTTGGAGTGACTTTTGGTATCGATGATATAGCCGCATAGTGCAGCACATGAAACGTCCGATACGAGCAAGTGCTACTTCCATATATCTTACAGGCTTTTAGAAAGGAGACACATTACACAATGCTGTTTCACAAGTATGTAGTGGATATGGATGAAAGCAAGTGGAGTCTCGGTCATGGCCAAAATAGGACTACGAGTCATTGTGTAACATAAAGTCAAGTTTCGTGATCATGAACTTGCTATGTATATAATGGATTTATTACTACTAAAGGTGTATACAAAGAAGAAATGGTTGTGTTGGGTCTTGAGGAAGAGCTAATTTACACAAACATGCCAGCGACAGCAGCAAGGAAAACGGATCCAGCAACAGCAACGCCAACGGTGGCCTTGGTGGCAGCGCTCTCACCATCCTTGTTACCAGCAGCAGCGTTGGTAGCTTCGGCAACAGCGCTGCTGACGCTTTCACGGACATCAGAAGGCAAAGCGCTCATGGCAGAATTGGCCCAGTCGGAAAGCTCGCTAGCGTGCTCAGAGTAGTAGCTTTGGTAGCTGCTGATATCTTCAGGGGAAACGGAAGGAATCTCAGTGGGAATACCGCTGGGGAGATCAGTAGGAACTGCATAAGACAAGAATTTGAGTAAGTATTGTGTTATGGATCATGATAGAATTATGCGTGCTTACTGTCTTGGGCCAAGACAAGGGCAGCAGGAGCAAGCAAAGCAAGGAATGTAACGGCCTTCATGATGATTGAAAAGATGTATGTGTAAAAGAAAAAAAACGTTGATCTGCCATGTTGGAAGGTTGAATCACAATTTATATTTCGGGATGTTGCACTAGCCTTAATGAGTATTAGGTGGCACACAGCCGAAAAGAAGAAAACCTTGTGGCGTAGTAACCATACTTGATAAGCGGAAGTTGCCTGGGTCACACATACACTCACTCACACTCACCCATCTAAGATGCCGTTGTAGAGAGCAAAAACGTATGCGCAGTAATCTACATACATCATGAACCACTCCTTTTGTAAAAGCTTACTGCTACTTTCCAAAAGAGGTGCGTAGCCATAGCAACCCCTTTCCCTCTTTGCATGAGCCTCCTTGTAGCAAAACTCTCCTTGTTTTACGACATGATAAATGATTACGACCAGCGTATGAGTGTTTGTTTATATAATATCCTTTACAATAATATGTGTCAAGGATCACAGCACAGCTGCTGATCAAGACAACAACAACAAATTACAATACAATAATGGTGGGGTATGTTGTAGAGAACAAAAATCAAGGTGTGGTAGTGACATTTTGCATCATGGGTGTGCGAGGACGAGAAGACCACCGATCGCATATAGAACGAACCGCCGAGTCAATATCCCAATGGAAGCATGGCATACGATCGCGTGGCAAATTTTGATGTGGATCAACAATCACTTGCGAAAACTTGTGTTCGTCTTCCATGTAATAGGGATGAACAATATCAGCCATGTCAACATGATCGCCTCCTTTGCTTTCCTCATCTTGATCATGTTGCTTGTATCGCATGATAGTGGGCTCATTGTCCGCATCACCTGTAGTCGACATTACTTGCTGTATTTTTTCGCTGTCGATAGCTATAGCAGCTTCCTCGTCATCATTCTTGAGAGTTGTGGATCGTGAAACGCTTGAAGAATCGTAAAGCGTCAAGTCGTCGTTTGCCAAAGAACCAAAGCCATACAAGATCAAATCATTGCGCACTTGTTTGGAGACAAGGCCTGTAAAATGCCACTCAACAGCATGACCAGCATAGCGATCAAGGAGCTCACGTGCATTGCAAAGGGCTTGTAATCCTGTTGTATCGATTCGATTGACAGCTGTGCAATCCAAAACCACGGCTTCAAGTACAGGGAGGTAGCTGCGATCGGCTGTATCTCGAGGCTGATTCCACATGAGGTTTTTATCTTGTTGCTCAGCACTCACTTCGTTGCCATCAGCTGATAACACCATGGCTTTGCGTGTGCGTGCCTTTGCTGTGCTGACAATTGTTTCATTGACATGTCCCGCATTTGGATAAAGCAATGCGCTGCTTAGCCGTAATACAACAATACCAGGTGGCATAGGTTCTGTATGCTTTTGAAAATGTGGATCCTTCTCGTCGACATATACGTAATGTTGTGAACCGCCAAAGACAGGTGTTGTGACCGAGTTCATCTTGGGATCGTTATTGCAAGTGCTTTCAAGAGGCGATCGTGTAAGCACAGCGATTTTTGGACGAGCGAGGTTGATCATGACGATAAAGAGTGATAATGCCAATGCGACATAAATGCCGTTTTCAACTCCGTCAAAGAATGTAATGAGGACGGCAGAAGCGAATACAAGGAATTCGAGCTTGCTTGTGTTGAGTAATTCCTTGACATACTTTGGACCCGAAACAAGATCGGTGACGGCATGAATGACGACAGCAGCCAAAAGAGCGCTTGGAATGTAATAAAAGGCGGGCGTCAAGACATACAAGGCAAGTACGATCACTGTGGCTGAAAATGCACTAGAGAGAGGTGTCTTGGCGCCTGAACGGGACATGATGGCGGTGCGACTAAAGGCACCTGTACCAGGGTATGCACTAAATAATAGCATCATCAGCGCCACACATCCCAACAACCATGCTCATTGTTTTAATTCACTTACCCAAAGAAGGCACCTACAAGGTTTGTGACACCAATGGCAAGGATTTCTTGATTGGGATCAATGACATAATCACTGATGCGGCCGAATGATTTGGCAACAGAGACATGTTCAAGGACCATGATGATGATGATAGATGGTAAGACATCCATGATTTCGCCAAAGATGTTCATGTTCATGCGAGGTACACCAATGGCATCAAAGCCTGCAGGCACATCCTTGAGAATCTTGAATGGGCTTTCGCTCTTGTTAAGGTTGGCCAAGAATGAGATGAATGTGCCAATAATCAGCACCACAGCACTACGCATGATCCCCAAGTAAAAAAGTGGCTGCTTGTACTTTGGATATCTGGCACCAAGCTTGCTACATGATATTTTTATCACATACAGCGCAATGAGGCTCGGCACACCAAATGCGACATCAAGGCCAATTCCAGATAGATTTGAAAGGAAGTCACCAACGACAAGATAAGGTGCTTGATGCGTGTTGAGTTTCATTCCCACAAGTTTGCCCCATTGTCCCAAGCTGATCGTGATTGCTGATCCAGTCATATAGCCAGCAATGGCAGGTCCTAGTTACACAGCAATGGGGTAAGTCATCAACGGGATTCATGCAGCAATGAAAATGGGTATCTATATACATACCTGGTATGAAATCAACAAGGATACCCAATCGTACCATGCCAAGGAGAATTGCAATAAGGCCAGTAATCACACACAGGTAGGCACCTACTTCAGGCCCGCTGATATCCGGATGCGCTGTAGTGACATTTGTAATTGCACGTCCCACCAACAAAGAAACAACAGCTAATGAAAGATGAGATGTGAGTCATTGTATGGGTGATAAAAATGAATAGAGGGGGTGACTTACTGATTGGACCAATGCTGATGTCCTTGGATGTACCAAATACACAATACAAACATGATCCAGCAAAGGAGGCGCTGTACATCAAACAAACGTGAGCATCATAGGGAATGCAAATACAATGTCGGAATTTGGATACGTACTATAAACCATACTGAGGATCCAGGTTGGCAATCTTTGCATAGGCAATGCCTTGAGGAACGAACATCATTCCTACTGTCATCCCTGCAATTGCATCCTGAGTCATCCACTAGAGAGATCATTGCCTCGTGTTAGCAAATGGGTCATGATGAAATGGGTGTGTCATTTCGCTTACGGCTGTGTTGTATCGGGTGATCCATTGAAAGATGGGAAAGAAGCTGAAAATGTAATGTCGTACATGGGATGGTAGGTTATGCTTGAACTTGTCTGTGCGATCACGTAGTGTAACACGCTCATAATCGAGAACGATAGGAGCGGTGCTCATGATGTCTTTTTTGTTAAAGTGGATTGGTTCAAAGAGAGCAATGCGAGCTTTTAATCCTGATGACCCGCCTTTATATATGCTTAAGTGAATAAAAAGGAGGTGGGAGTTGGGGTGGGGTAAAAAAGACAACAAGTGGCTGACAAGCGTAAATCATGAAATCACCGCTTATGGGAGATGAAAACCATTTTTGCGTCCAAGAACAGGAGGAGGAGGAACGTACGAAAAAAGGCAAAGGGAACTTTGTGGTTTAGCTGCATTGGTGCTTTGTTGTTGGGTGGATCGCTTGCGGGTATGTTTGTTAATTGGCCGCCGAGAGTCAAGGTTAGACCACAGACCACTGATTGATATACACGCTTTCAGCTTTCAGGGCCAACCATTGTAAATGGTGACGTGCATATATGAAATACGGTATCAATGGGTAATTGTCAATTCCAACACAACATCGCATGATTATTATTGACAATCGCTCAAAAAAAAAAGGAGTTAGGGCTTATGTACATGCACAACAATGAAGTAATCTTTGTCCTACATATCCACCATCATTGGATTTTTGATCTCATTCTTCCCTACCCTCCCCCAAAGTCCCTATCAAACTTGACGTAAGGGTCCTTTTAATATTTGTTGAAAACAATGAAGTTGTGATGCTCTGGATGGAACCAAGTCACCTGGGGCAAGATCATCCTTCCTCCACAAAATGATGATTTGCATGGCCTTTTTGGTGTCATTGATTGGAACGTGTTGGCTGCTTGGATTCATATGTGATCCACTAATGTATGTATGACCAAGTATGCCAGATACTGAAACAGGCCAGCGTATGAATGCTGCTACTACATGTCGCTGTTACCAAAATATAGATGATTCCGGGAATTATACAAAGCAAGATCGTGAGCGGAAGGAGCCTCTTGTTAAAACGAGATGCCATGTGTATGCATCATTCTATTCTATTGGGCAAGAAGATTGAATGCGGTAATCTCTGTGCTTTTCCAAAGCGATAAAGTTGGTATTGCATGTAACCAGCAGCTGTTGGATGATGATGACTTTTACTCTCAGCCCCGAAAAAGGAGATCATGGTAATGACGTGTTTGTCGATGGAGTGGTAGTGGTAATGGGTCGAACCTGATAATGGGTAATAAAGTGCTATCCCCTCCTGGTGGTGGTGGTGCTGCACATTGATGATTGCATTGATTGGATTGGTCTTGGCACTATAAATTGACGCCACCGCTCGCGGCAACAAGCTTGCATGGATGCATCCAATTGCATCGAGCTTTGAGTGATACGTCTATTTGTTGTGCTATCAAAGTTCCACTTGGATGTCACATTGTGTGTGTGTTGTACATCATGTACACATTTGGCCATATACGCGATCAAGAAGGATCCAAATGCAAGATCTATTTGTATATTGTGGCACCTTTCTTTGTATGCAGCAAATGGTCGGAGGAGATGAAATTTTTACAGCATGCGATGCGTGTATGTATTATTGCGTTTCTTTTTAATGGTGACGATGAAGAAGATGAAGATGATGGTACTATTAGCTATGGGGAAATGGTGCGTGTGTGGGTGGTGGGTGTATTGTATCGAGTCTATCGTTTCCACAAGCCAAGCGTTTTCCTAAATTGAGCAGCCAATCCAGTGCTGGTAGTGGAGACTAAGCTAGCTGGTCGTATAGCAGTAGCAGTAGCTGTGTTAGGTGATGGTGTTACTGGTTGATGATAATGGCTATCGGATGCTGCCGAAGAGGAGGATGATCCAAGTTCGATTTGACTCATGCTGGCGATAGGAAAGTTGGTGTCGTTGGATCCTTTGTCAGGTAAAGGGCTTGATAAAGCTGTGATTGTCCGCCTATGACCACGCACATTGGATGTTGTAGCTGAAGATGTTGCTGGGTGATGTATGCTGTGCTCTTCCGATTGACATTGTACAAAAACAACCGTGGTGTTGGTTGTCGTATGTTTCAAACTTTGGTTCATGATCGCTTGTGTTGTGCTACCATTGCCTAGCAACATTGCTTTCCTTGCACGTTTCCGATATCCCACAATCAACATGCTAGGTTCATACAATTGGATCTGTGCTTGTGTAGGAAAACTCGTGAGTGACATGAAAACACACACACACACGCCCTATCCACTTTTTCATTTCCTTGCATCCCCCCCCCAAATCTGAGTGAAAACGTACCATTGACTTTAACGCTTGATCTGGTTTTACAAGAGCTAGTTCAACTGTGATGCTGATCTAACACGGAGGATTTTTAAAAAAAGATATGAGAAGGGGGAGCAAATCAGAGCGAGTAGATGGATGGAGAAGATACCTTGTCCTCATGTTGCGCATCCAGTGCTAAACCTAAAAGTCGTGTTGCCGTTTGCTTGGGAGTGGGTGTATCTGAAAGGGAAGAAAATGATGCTTGCTTCTTGAGCATGGGTCTTGTACTGCTATTATTACCACCTCCACCACCAGCAGCCTTTGATGTTGTTGACGACGACGTACCACCAACAAGGCTATTGTATTGCATGCCAACGATCACCACCTCATCTCCATCATCCACAAGATCCTATGTAAAAGAAGAAAAATACGATTATGGTGGGTGGTGGGTGAGTACCATTTGCAACCGGCATATCATGCACATGTTTTGTGTGTATATGTACCATGACATAGCGTATCAATTTAGTAGTTGTGCCATCGTCCAAATGACTGGGATCATCAATGGTGACCATAAAGAGACGTGAGGATGATTTTGGTTGATAGCCTTCATTCGCAGTACGTAGAGTGAATGAAATGAAGGGTTGATGTGATAGCATATCGAATGAAACCCTGTGGCGATATGAGCGTTTATCGGCTGATTGAAAAGAAAGACGAGAATAACGCGAATCGATGGGGGATAACAAGCTGCTGCTATTGGATTGTGCATCTTCTTCTGAAGCACAAGAAGAGGATATCATGCTCTCATTTCCGCACAATGTCATGCTGAATTAAACACGCCCTGGTGATCATTCGATGCTGTAAAGAGGTGTGTGTATATATAGATGCGTCCGTTTTACTTTATGAGGACAATTATTGTTGATGTTTGTATGAGTAAAAAAAGAAGAAAAAAGTAGGTGTGAAAGAAGGAGAAAGAGGGACAAGGAAAGAGAGAAAGAGAGAAAGAGAGAGAGAAAGAGAGAAAGAGAGAGAGAGAGAGAGAGAAAGAACAAAGATTGGATTGATGGACCCCTTCGTTCCCCTTTGTATCTCTTCTTGTCGCACCGCTCGTTTCTTGTTACCCCGTTCTTGGCATTTGGAAGCAGCAGCAGCAGCATCAGCAGCATCAGCATCAGCAGCACCCAGCAACATCATAGCTGCAGCTCCCTTTGTTTTGCAGTTCTTTACCCGAAATGGACAATTTCTCATCTTTGATGCCGGATTCTTTCCCATGCTGCTTATAACATTACATCAACTTGTTTACATCATATAGAAATGTGTCTTTGTTGGAGCTTTACAAAGATTAAAAAGGCTACATAAAAGTATACATTGGAATGATAAAGTAATGAAAAAGAAGGAGGAAGATATTGATGATCATGTTCTAGTGGTGGAGATGGTTCTTTGTACAAATAACAACAAGATGTCAGGGTCCGGTGTCTATAAATGCACTAAAGAAGGGATATGTCACACGGCTTGCATACTCCTTATTCCTTCCAGAAACCTATCCTGTGAGTGAACATCTTATTACTCTGGTACTGTACCTCACTCGCTCGCTTGCTCAGCCCTTTGTTGTTGTATGTAACCTAGCACACAACAATCATGCCTATGTACAATTTACATTCAGCAGTGTGTGCCACCATGAGAACGCGTGTCCATTTTCTTTCTCTCACTTGTACTTCTTGAACATGGTCGAAATCAAGCCCTTTGGTTCATGGCCCTCCCCCGTCAGTGGAGACTCATTGTCAGGTGGCATTTCAGCAGCCGATATCGTCGTCGATCGGCAGATTGTCTATTGGTGTGAAGTGGTTCCTGCTGAACAAGGCCGTGGTCAGATCTTTTATCGTGCACCTGGCAATGCTGAACCTACGCTATTACTTCCTCTCGAGTACAATTGTCGCACGCGTGTACACGAATATGGTGGTGGTAGCTTTACTGTCAAGAATGGTCTTGTGGTGTTTTCCAACAATAGCGATGGTCGCTTGTATACGGCCAATCTCACGCAAGGAGGGGACAATGTTGATATCAAGCCATTGACACCTGACACTGGCAGCTTGAAGCGATATGGCGATATGCGTATTGATGAGGATGGCCACTATGTCGTTTGTGTGGAGGAGGAGCATTTTGAGAATGAGCAACCCAAGGATGTGGTGAATCGATTGGTGTCCGTGAGCCTCAAGGATGGCGCAGTGCATGTATTGGCTGAAGGCAATGACTTTTATACTTCTCCTCGTCTCTCTGGATCCCGTATTGCCTACATCACCTATAATCACAGCAACATGCCATGGGACTTTACCATGTTGTACCTTGCCGACTTCGCTGGCTCCAGCTTGAAATCCTCAACTTGTATTGCAGCCAATGATGAGAGTGTAGTGGTATGTGTGCGTGTGTGTGTGGATCGAGGGCTGTGTTTCTTTGTTCATCCATATTTAACCATGTTGCCATGTGTTACATGTTATGCAGCAACCCGAATTTGGTGTGGATGGGACCTTGTATTTTGCATCGGATCGTTCTGGATTCTGGAATTTGTATCGCTACCATGACAACCAGGTCAAGCTTTTGTTGCCGAGTCCTTTGGAACAAGAATTCGCAGGTGCTTGTTGGGCATTGAATATGGCGTGGTACAGACCAGCCGCTTGGGATGCAAACAAGGTCATCTGCATGAACAAGGATCATTTGGCTATCATTGACGTTGACAAGCAAACCATGTCCAACATTGAAGCTTTGAATGACTATGTCGACTTTGATTACGTAACCAGCTATGCCAAGGAGGGTCAACAACATGGTGGTGTGCTCGTATTCAATGCTACATCGGATCAAGCTCCTTGTGAACTAGTCGCTTTTGATTGTGAAACGTCTACTCGTACAATCCTTCGTGAACCCAAGGCACCCGCTCTTGATCGTGAATACGTATCCCGTGGCCAAGAAATCGAGTTCCCCACTGAAGATGGATTAACAGCTTTTGCTTACTATTATCCACCAAGAAATCCACGCTATCAAGGCCCTACAGGTGAAAAACCACCATTACGTGTATTGTTGCATGGCGGCCCTACTGCAGTCACCAATCGTGCCTATAACCGCAGCATTCAATATTGGACCACACGTGGCTTTGCTATTGCGGATGTCAATTATGGAGGAAGCACTGGCTATGGACGTGCCTATCGCAACAGGCTCAAGAAGAAATGGGGTATTGTCGATGTCAATGATTGCTGTAACGCTGCCCTGTACCTGGTCAAGCAAGGATGGGTCGATGGAGAAAAGCTCACCATTGTAGGTGGAAGTGCTGGTGGTTATACAACGCTGTAAGTCTCATCACATGAATGTTGTTTTTTCTTTCATCATCATCATCCAATTCACACACGTATATATATGGAATCTATGTAGGGCATCGATTGCTTTTCGGGATGTATTCAAGGCTGCATGCTGCAAATATGGCGTCTCAGACATCACTTTGCTTGCCAAGGAAACACACAAGTTTGAATCCCGTTATCCTGGTAAGGATGATTATCTTGTTTACATATCTTTAATGATATTAACATGGCTATATTACTAGATGAGCTGATCGGCAAATATCCCGAAGACGAGGCCATTTACAAAGAGCGGTAAGAAGAAGAGGATGGAAGAAGGGGCAGGGTAAAACTCTCGTTACTGACAAGCACGTGGGTGTTTCAGCTCGCCTCTCTTCTCAGCAGACTTGATCAAGTGTCCTGTTATCTTTTTCCAAGGCGCCGATGATAAGATTGTTCCTCCTTCTCAATCCGAAGTGATGGTGGATGCTCTAAAAAAGAAAAATGTTCCTGTGAGCTATGTTTTGTATCAAGGCGAGGGTCATGGTACGTGATGATGTCAAGGTGGGAGGGGGGATGGATTCAGAAATATACTGATCCGGTATACATCACAGGATTCCGTCGTGCTGAGAACATCAAACGTACCGTTGAATTGGAGCTTTGGTTCTATGGACAAATGTTTGGCTTCCCTGTTGAAGGCGTTGAAGGTGTAGAAATATACAACTTCCCCAAGAATGCTGCTTAGCCTTTTAGCTACACGTTTATTTGTTCAAAATTGAATGTACATAAATGTATGTGTATGTGTATGTGCATCTCCCTTTCATGTGTCATGTGCCAATAGAAGAGAAGATGATACATTTGTCTGCTGCTGTTATTTGAGTTTGCCTTCAAAAGGTAAGATGGCTACATGCGGTCCACAGGCCCAATTGACTTTGGACCACGGAAATCAAGGCCGATGAACAAGTCTTTGCCAATGTTGGTGTAACTATAGAATCACCATTTCCTTCTAGCTTGACATCACAAATACATGATCTTGTGCTAAAGCTTTACCTCATCTCACATTAATTGGGTAGCTGTTCAAACATTGAAGGGTATACTGGATCATGTGGATCGGGAAAGGGAAAAGAAAAGAGGGCTCAAAGGTGATACGTTGAGCGTCTCGGTGATGTTTAGCCATGTAGAAGGGTGCCAAGGCTCAAATTGAACCCGTTCACCCGTAAGGTTTTCTTTTTTTTACGCTATGCGATGTCGCAAAAAGTACTATTAGGATACCCGGTAATAGGCGCATTGCTTGCATGTGGCAACTGCATGTGCTGTATATAGGCTGCAGCAGCAGACTACGTGTTTGGAATAGCTCTTTTTGCCCTTTGTTAAATTTGACACCTTCATTCATGCAACTCAAAGGATGGGGTCATGCTCTATTATGTGGGTTTATTCAGCCGATGCAGCCGTGCTACGTCTTTGTATGCATACGCACCTGTGACAATGACTAAACCTCAGCGTCTTGGCAAATGCTGTCTTTTGGGTTGTTGCATGGCACACAAATGCTGTGTACCTCATCTGTAAATGAAACCAGCTGAGATCAAACAAAAATTGTTTATTCAATGGGGATGGTGTGAGCATCATCATCAAGGAGTTAGCGTTATCGCACGTGGTAAAAACTTGTATAGATTGCTGCTACTACATCAGCAATGAATCTTCCATATTGTGGGGTTCAGAGATGATAATGTACGTCAACATGCATTAAGTGATGAGGGATTTTTCACCAGTACGATTGTGTCTACAGGATGCATCCAAGCCAAAAGAGGCTACTATCCCGGTTGATCACTACCTTCCATCATTTACTTCTCCTGCGCAATAATATCGATATCTTTTTTATTTTCAGAGTCTATAGATTCCCGCGTTGCTGTTGACTAAGATCCGACTATAATAAGCAAGGTCAGCGACTGCCGAGAGATAACTATTGGCGCAAATCGAGCGCATCATGTACCACAGTGATTTCTACAACCGAGAGAGGGCGATCACCTTTCCACTGTGTTTCATTCGAAACAAGAGATGCCTTTTCTCTCGCCTCTCTCATTATGTCAGATGAGCAAACAAATACACACACTCCTGAGAAGCAACCGAACAGGGAACAAAGAGAGAAAGCAATCGCCAGATGAAATCACCCACAACAACAACAACCTTGCAGGCAACAACAAACCCAGAGGACTTTGATTGATTTGGGGAAAAAGAAACCTTGTGGCCTATTTTGTCCCATTTTGTGGCAAAGGATGAGGCATTTTTTGTTGGTGCTCGTCTGGAACACCACCAACAATTCCGGCTATTTTAACACACAGCTGCAACGAGGGAAATTTTTCACTTTGCTCAGTCCAACGATTTCACTCCTCCCTCTCTTCCTCTTCCTCCCCTATATAACTCTACTGCTCAACCCACTTTTTTTCCTTTTCACCACTCACCCACTTTTTTCTCATCACATCCCCACTCCCTCCAATGGTACGCTTCCTTGGGGCGGTGCGTGATGCCGTTGTCAATTTCTGGAATACCCGTGTGCATTTTATTGAACTCCACTACTTGTATATCGGGGTGTCCATATTTATCTCCTCGGGTCTCTTGTATATCCAACCTGGTACCGACTGGAACTATGTTGACGCCTTGTTCATGGCCACCACCTTCAACACCAATACGGGCTTGAATACCATTACAATGTCTCAAAGTAGCGATTATCAAGTATCTCTTTATTTGATCAACTCGTTCTTGACGTCGCACATTCTTGTGTCGTACATTGTGTTGATGGTCCGCAAGCACTACTTTTCGAAACGATTCAATGCCATTTTACGATTCAACAAAGAGCGACGTATACGTGAAGAGAATCGACGTAAAGAAAAGATGAAACGACAACAGCATGATATTGAACTTGGGATCAAAAAACAATGTCCTAGTATTACATCCGTCACCACATCGCCAGGAGGAGCACCGGATAGTGAGCACACAACAACCAAAAAGAGACCTTCTTCTTTCAATCGCCGTCGACAATCATTCTCATCAGTAGCATCATCTCCTGTGCGTGGAGTACGTGCACGTAACACACGACAACGATCGATGAGTGGTTGGATGACCAATCCCTCTGATGTGCATGCATTTTTTCGTGAGCTGCGTCGAGAACAACAAGATGTGCTTGATAAGCGAGAAGCTGAGGTGATAGCAACCATGGAGCATGAACAACTTGAACGACATCCATCCACACCAATGCATCCATTTGATCATGGCATCGATAATACGGATGCAGCTTCCGATCCGATCGGTCAACGTCGTATCAACAACAATGAATCGCCTTCGCCAACCATTGAGAATGAAGATGCAGCACGTCAAAGCATTGCCAGTACCGGTGGTGGTGGTGCCGGTGGTATTGCATTTGCCAACAATGTGGAACAACAGCGTGAAATTGCACGTCGTCGATTTGAACGCGAACGTCGATTTGAAGGATTGATGGAAGTGATTTCTCGTGATATGAATCCCAACAACGATCTCCCTCTCACGGACACTGTTTATGATTCGGATCATTCTCTTGAAGACGATGATGAAGATGACGACGAGTTTTTTCAAGAGATCCTTCGTCAACCTATCGACAAGAGTCAGCTTACACGCAAGCAGCGTTATCGTTTGGGAGGTGTTGAATACCATGCATTGGACATCTTGTCCTATATTGTCCCGATTTATTATATCGGCATTATCGTTGCTGCTTCCTTCGCTTTCCGTGTCTACATTGCCGTTTCGCCTTATGCACAAGATGTGTTGCTCAACGCCAACGACAATCGCCCTGTCAATGCATGGCTCTTTGCATTCTTCTTTGGTGAATCGAGTCTCAACAATCTCGGTGTCGTGCCTCTTGATTCAAGCCTGGTGCCCTTTCAAAGCACACCTTTCCCACTGATTCTCTCCATGATCCTCATTCTCATTGGCAACACGGCCTATGCGATTCTGCTGCGTTTCATTATTTGGAGCATGCTCAAGCTGACACCTGAACACAAGGTCTATCGTCGCGAAGCATTACAATACCTCTTGGATCATCCACGTCGATGCTACACGACGCTGTTCCCGGCAACTCAAACTTGGTGGTTGTTGATCATTCTCATTATCATCACCCTCGTCGAGATTGTTTGCTTCCTTGCTCTCAACTTTTGGTTGCCTGTCACTGAAGGCATGACCTGGGGTGCACGTGTTCTCGATGCAACATTCCAATCCATCGCAACGCGTGCTGCTGGTTTCACCGTCGTCGCCATTTCCGATCTCAATCCTGGAACACAAATTGTTTATATCGTGGCCATGTACATCAGTGTTTATCCAGTGGCCATTTCTATGCGTAACAGTAACGTGTATCAGGTAATGAATGTGTGCTCTTGTGGATTCGTGTGATCTTGTGATCTTGTTTTCTCATCATCATCACCATTGAATAGGAACGATCCTTGGGTGTGTTTCGAGGTGACGATGTAGATAAAATGGAATTCAGCGACAGCGACTTACGTGGGCCGGCCCCATTCATCAAGTTGCGACGACATCCAACGGTCAGTAGTGTGGTGACGCATTCACGCAAGTTGCTCTCTGGACCCGATTTCTATGTGGCCACTCAGATCCAGCGTCAATTGACAAGTGATATCGTATGGGTCATTGCCGGTGTTTTCGCCATTTGCATTATCGAAAGTGAATCCATCATGTCGCCATCCCCTCTCAACATGGGCAGCGTTATCTATGAATGCGTATCGGCCTTTTGTAACATTGGTGCATCGATGGGATATCCTGGCGTAAGCACTTCACAAGCAGGTGTATATCACACATTGGCTAAGCTGGTCCTTATTCTTCTCATGTATCGTGGCCGTCATCGAGGTAAGAAAGGGATTTGCTCATCAAAGACATGGAAAAAGATAGCTGACATGATTTGGATTAGGTTTACCCAATGCTATTGATCGTGCCGTGTTGTTGCCATCCGAGGAATTAGAGCAACGTGAAGTGGAAGATCAAATCATGAAGCGACGCAATACATCCATCACCAACCAGAGTTCACTTGGCAACGTCATGTTCTACACACGTTCAAGCACATTGTAAATGTATTCTTCCTCCCTCCACACCACTCCTCAGTTTGTTGTTTTGATTACACACTTTCTTCTGTAAATACCACTTGTTTCCTACTACTATCCCATATCCTTATCCCTTGTTCTGCAATGTAATAGTATTTATGTCTCTCTCTCTCTCTTTCTTTCGCTCTTAAGGGACGTTGATCAATGGATAACATAAAGTGTGATTGAGTTACATGTTTACAAAGTTTATATACAATCAGAGTCTATTCGGTATCCAAGGGCAACAAAGAGTCATGTCTATGGGATGGGGATGGATGGCGATTGCGTCTTTGGATCGCACTCATTAACGTATCAGCATCGGCTACAAATTGTCTTAATGCACGTTGTTCTGTACGACCAAACACGAATCCAACAATCAGGCACACGGTTGCAAAGGCTGCCATAAGAATCACGCATATGCCGCCAAGTAAGGTCACCAATAATGTCACCAAATTGCCGTCATAATGTTGTTGCAGCGTCGTTGGTAAAGCCACTAGCACAGCGTAAATGAAAATCACCAATAAAAGTGCCACGACAAATAACACCAAGAGCATGTTGGCAGTCTTTCGGGTATCTTCTTGATCACGCTTGAAAATGTCACGCATTTGTCCCAACATTTTGCAATCCAAATTCGTATGTGCTGGATGACTCAAGTCATGATGAATAGTGGGTGATGATGATGATGGTTGTGAAGTTGCATGGGTGTGAACAGCAAAGGTAGAATGTACAGCAAAGTGATCGGAGTAGCTCATTTGGGTTCCTGGGATATACTCTGTCATGGCAACATTGGAATGGATGCATTGTAGCTGTGGTGTCATTCGATAGAAAATGTAATCCAATCGATCTCCCAATCCAGCCTTGTTCTTGCTCCACGAATTCATGGGTGAGTTGCAAGTGATGCCTTCATACTGAATCATGTCATCGCTATCGATTTCATCGTTCTGCCGCTGTTGTTGATTGGCTTGCATCCAAGAGTCGGTCATGAAAGCGTGTAATTTCAAAAGTTGATAGTTGTGGCTCGTAGGTACGCTGTTGAAATCACCCGACTACATGTGGATGGATATCAATAAAGGATGGTCTACCTATCATAACAATTCATATCATACCACAATCACTTGACGCCCTTGAGCAGCCGATGCACGCAATCGACGTGCCAATTCCCATGTCTCTGATAATCGATGACCCTCGTATTCGGTTTCATCACCATATCCTGCATGCAACTAAATGAAATAAGCTTCGTGAAATCCTCATTTGCCTTTTTTAAACTTACATGTGTATTGAATACTTCAATGATGCCAATATCAGGATGATCGATACATGCCGATGCATAGCCTTTTCCCACATAAAAATCACCATGAAAGATCTTGAGTGGTCTGCCAGCCAGGGTGTAACGAGAATAGGACGTTGATACAATGGGGAATCGAGAAAGAATAGCAAGACCACTGCCAAGGGCTCCACTAAAAACAACACAAAACCACCATTGGTTTCTTTCTTGCTATATACGTAGTACCCCTTGCATGCTTACCTGTAATACAGCTTTGCATACGGCAACATGGATTGCGTTTGCTGCTTTAGGTATTCAAAGTCTTCGGGCATCCATAGCTCTTGGAGAGCGACAATGTCGTAATCGGTATTACTAATGGCATCGGCAATAGCGCAAAGACGGAATCGTCTCTTCTTGGACACTATATTGAGACCCCTACAACAAGAGCAGTAAGCACCATTGAGAGCCATGAACTGGTGGGGGGAGGTCCATGTTGGTTTTACCAGCAATTGAGTGACAGCACAGATAGCTTATTTGAGTTCATGAATAAAAAGAGGCAAGTAGCTCTCTGCTGGCGGATGTCTCGGAGAAAATTGCACGTGTTCACGCATAAACTCTCTCTCTCTCTCTCGCTCTTTAGAGACTAGAAGCTTAACACCATCTTGAAGTGTGGGTACAATAACAATGCAATATCCAGTGGTTTGGACCTTTTTCTTAAAGATTGGATGAACCGTATACCTGGGCCATGAACACCCATCCATTTATTGTGCGACATGGCAATCAAGGTGATCCATCCCTAATCCAGTATCCAGCATGGAAGCACCAAATATGTGATCAATTCACTGTTGATCTAGCACAGCCCATCATCAACATACCATTTAAATTGCAATATGCGCGTAATGTCAGCGAGTTATAAAGCATTTGGCTGCTCGATCCCCTCCTTCTTTTCTTGTTGTCTTTTTCATATTCATCACAAATCACACATCAATGGCATCTCACTGGTGGAATGATTTCATTGCAAAGCGCAAGGGAACAACAATACAGCAGCAACAGCAACAGCGTGATGATGAGCAACAACAACAGCAGCAGCTGGAAATGGGTGTCTCTCCACCTGACATGACACAGTCATACCATGCTCTTGGACAAACCTATCCTTCAAGAGCTGGATTAGGTCGTACACCTTACCCAAGTTTTTATGGTACATTGTCATCAGAATACAACTACCACCAACAACAGCAACCAGGATCCATGAGATCACGTTATGATTCAGTGCTACGATATTATGATGCCAATTATTGTACTACCCCTGTCACGCCTGTGGCTGCATACCATTCACCATTTCAAACTGCACATCCATTGGCATACAACAACATGACAACACCCGCTCCTATAGAAGAACAACAGCATTCCAAACAGCATTCCAAACACGAGCTTGCATATTTCCCATCACAACAACAAGTGGATACAACAACAACAACACATCCAAATGCTGCTGCTACTACTACTCTACACAACAACAACAAAAATGAAACACCATCACCCAATCATCAATTCAAGGAGATACCATTAACTTCGGCTCAGGACAATGTCTCATGTGCAAGTACGGTGGTGCCGATTCATACCACAATGGATGAAAAAGCAAAAGCGTTACCAGAGCAAGAGATGATGAGACGTGAAGCAATGTTTAAATCATTACGACAACGTCGAGTGTGGTTCCCTTTCTTCTCGTACCTAAGTGCGATCGGCATGGTGGTGGTCTTTGTCATCAGCGTGATAAACAACCGATCCATGACAGGTAAGCATTGGTGACACAAAGGATCATTTTATGATAATTAATATCATGATCGGGGGTGGGGGTCCCCTTGTCTCCGGTATCATTATTATAGGCAATGTATTTGAAACATCTCCCTTCAATATGATGCTGGGTCCTTCGACACAGGTTGGTTTGGTGGTGGTCAACATCATGTTGTTGTATATGAATAAGAATGCTTATTTTATCATCATCTTCATCATCCTAGGCCTTGGTTCAAGTGGGAGCCCATTATGCACCATGCATGCGATCATTCGATGATAAGGCTGCTGCCAACTTTGTGTGCCCCAATCAAACCGGTATGATGAATGAAATGAAATGAATAATACACACCACATGTCACTTTAAGCTCTTTATTAATTTGCACTTAAACGACTACATAGATGCAAACAACCATGGGCCCACTATGCCAGACTTGATCTTGACCTTGCACACGAGTAACGATAACAGCACCAGTTGCCCAATTCAGGAGATCTGTGGCATGTCACATGATGCGCCCAATCAACTCTATCGCATTGTCACGGCTCTCTTTGTTCATTCTGGTATCGTGCATTTGTTCATCAACATGCTTGTCCATTTGGGAATCGGAAGACGTATCGAACGAAGGCTTAATCCTATCCGCTATGGCTTTGTATGGTGTATCACTGGTACTGTTGGCTACGTTACAAGCACCACCTTTTCGCCAGCTGTCAGTGGTATGTTGTTTTTGGAAAAGGAGGGGGAACGTTGACTTGGTTTTCTAACACGTGATATAAAGCAACCATGGGATGCTCTGCATCGCTCTTTGGTGTTACAGTGCTCTTGCTAGTAGACTTGGTACGCAGTTGGGGACTTATTCCAGATGCTGGATGGGAGTTGTTCAAGCTAATATGCTTGACAGGTAAGCGTTGTATAGGCTACGTAACCGTGTGTTTGGATGCTCATATGTCCTTTTCATGATCTACAACAGCCTTAGGTTTGGGTTATGGATATTTGCCAGGGTAGGTCTTGTTGAGTTGGGGGAGCACGTAAAAGGAGAATGGAGGTTTTAATATCATCATGTATGATAGGCCAGACAACTTTGCACACGTGGGTGGATTGATTGCAGGTCTTCTTATGGCTGTCATTGTGATGCCAACAGCCGATACATCATCCCGAGCTCGACGTATCTTCCTTTGGATGACGCGTTTGGTCGCATTCGTTCTGCTTATTGTAGCATGCTACTTGTTGCTCGATGCCTTTTACAAGGGCAAATCCCCTAAAGAGGTAAATGATACATAGGTTGCTGCTACTAGATGCCTTTTGCTGATCACCTTATAGGTATGCTCATGGTGCAAGTTTCTAGCATGCCTTCCTGTTGGTGACATGTGTAATGCATACGATGCCATTTGATGATCCATTATCTATTATCTATTATCCTCCCATTCTTTGTATATATACCTGCATTTTGCAATAGAGATAAAACGCATGCATTTGTCGATCACCTTTAAAATGCCATCCATCGTTTCGAAACAAAAACCATTTTTAATATGATCGGTGTATGGTATGAAACTAAAGACACGGATAGGGAGTAATATAATCTACAGCTTAGCACGAGCAGGTTCGGAAGAGGAAGCAATCTCGGCATAAAGATCGGCAATTTGTTGTTCATAAAACTTGGCAGTTTGGGGACGCTTGACCTTGAGAGTGGGGGTGAGAAGGTCATTCTCAATAGTGAAAGGCGATGATTCGAGGTAAATAGCCTTCATGAATTCGAAACCACGCAAGCCAGCCTTCTTGCCAACACGGGTGAGTTGCTCCAAAACGACCTTGTGGACCTCACGGTTCTTGCATAATTCTTGATAGCTGAGTTTCTTGGAAGCAACATGGGGCAACTTGGTGGCAACGATGGTGTTGAGAGCTTCAGGATCAGGAACAAGGATACCAACCAAGCAGCTTTGCAAAGAGTCACCATGTACGTACAATTGAGCAACAACAGGATCCTTGGCGTAGATGTTCTCGATCTTTTCGGGAGCAATGTATTCACCCTGAGCAAGCTTGAAGATGTTCTTTTTGCGATCAATAATGACAATGCAACCACGTTCATTGATCATGGCAACGTCACCAGTGTGGAACCATCCTTCATCATCCAAGGCTTCACGGGTCTTTTCTTCATTCTTGTAGTAACCCATAAACACGTTAGGACCACGAATGCACAATTCACCACGGGGGTTAGGATCAGTGGACAAATAATCCATTTCGGGCACATCCACAAGCTTGATCTCGTTACAGTTGAAAGGAACACCAATATGACCAGCCAAGTATTCACCTTCATTGTGAACGGTACTTGAAGCGCATGTTTCGGTTGCACCATAGCCTTCACGGATATCACAGCACAAGACAACACGAAGGAATTGCATCACATCTTTACCGATAGGAGCAGAGCCGGAGACGATGTAACGCACACGACCACCCAAAGCTTGTCGGACCTTGTTAAAGATGAGACGATCCCAAAATGCGTGAGTGTAACCATTGCCAGCTTCCAAATTGGCGAGCTTGGTAGCAACAGCACGACGAGCAATAGCACCCTTGGTACCAGGAGCATCCACCGTCTTTTGCACAATGCTGCCATAGACCTTATTCAAGAGACGAGGCACAGAGGGGAAAATGGTGGGCTTGAGCATTTGCATATCTTCAACAATGCCATTGACATCACCACTGAAATAGCCAAGACGATTGCCACGAGTCAAACATGCCATATCAACAAGACGACCAAAGATATGGGCAAGGCTGTTATATCATCATCGATTAGTTTGATATCCCCAACCACGACATCATATATATGTACTCACGGCAAATACGAAATGGAGACATCGTCAGCCTGATATTGACCTAAGCTAATGGTGGTAGCCGAGATAGCAGAGACAAAGTTGCGATGGGACAACATAGCACCCTATACATCCATGTTAGCATTTCCCATCCACCTATGTAACACCTAGTTGATATTCCAATGGATATGATATATACCTTGGGCATGCCTAATTATCATCATACATGAGTACATTATGATCACATGCCATTGTTTTTCCCACCCAAAAAGTTGCGTTTCTTACCTGTAGTACCACTGGTGTACATGATAAAAGCGAGATCTTCAGGCTTGCTGGGGTTGAAGGAGCGACGATTCTTTTTGCCAGCTTCTTCAAGGGTAGGATAGTCGACGAGGAGGACGCCCTTTTCTTCAGCCCATGCCTTGAAAACGGTGCCACGGCCTGAGGGAGAATCAAGATCCAAAGCATCCATGGAGACAATAGCACGCAACTTGGGCAGCTTGTGACGAAGCTTGAGAAGGTCTGCGATATGATCGGCTGAGACAACCACCGTTTCAATCTCTGCATGGTTCATGACATATTCAACCGTGTCGGGGCCAAGCGTGTCATACAAGGAGACGACGTACATGCCATAGGCAGCACATGCAAGGTCGGTGATAGTCCATTCAGGACGATTGACAGCCCAAATGCCAATGGGGATGTTGCGGGTACGCGAATCGTTGAGCGTATGGTTGATGAGGTTGATGAGACCAGAGCCAAAGTTGGTAATGCGGTGGTTTACTTGACGATAGGTTTGCCAGACATAGGGACCACGTTGACCGGTCTTTTCATTGACAATAGGACGATGGCCTAAGCATGGACGATCACGAGATTGCTTGAGACCTGAATGTAACACAAATGTGAATAAATGTGAGATTCCCAGCCTACTTGGTTTTCTTTTTATTACGTTACCTCTACGGAAGACATCATACATCGTCTTCACATTGGGCTCAATACGTTCAATAAGATCGGGGTAAAGTGCATTACGATAGACGGCTACAAAAGAACAATGCATCATGTCAATCATCATAGTTACATACGTACATGCTGCATTGGCAGTAGTGGGATGAACTCCTTTGCATACCTGTTTCGCCTTCTCTCTTGGTGTTTGGAAGTTCTTGTAGTTGTTTCTCCAGGTTTAGTTTTGGGCTCATGTTGTGTGGGGAAGAAAGAGGACAAGTTGACCCTGTGGGTCATTTGGAGCAAATAAAAGCGTCCTTTTCAAAAGCCGATTTTGCAGTGTCATCAGCAACAGGTCTCTCCGATACTCGTTGGAATAGTAACTTTAATCCGTAAGCATATCCACTTTGTAAGCGATATCAGTCGCAGTTGAAAATAATTCTATAAACAATGACTTTGTATATGCAGCTTTTAAATGACATTCATCAACGCATACATTATGTTTTATTGTTGACTTTTGTTCATCTCAAAAAGCATATGATAATGAAATGCGGGGTGCTGCGTTGCACATGCATTCCTGATTTGTAACACAGGGGACATCAAAGGGCAAAAAATCATGACGGATTGCCAGATTTTCCATTCACCAAACTCTATACAATGAAAGAGGGGGGTGGGAGGCTAAAGGTTTGTGTTGCTTTATTTCCATTGGTTGCCATCACATTGTGTGTTGTCTAGGATACCATTTTATTTTTCTGAAAAAGGCACCCTTTGTAGAGTGCTCATTTGTCAAGCTCGTAAGAATCTGCCACCCGCCATTATCTCACCAATAGAAAGAGGGTAGAGTGCCACTTAACGAATGGCAACTGATGGCAGCCGCATGCGAGACTTTTGGGTGGCTTACACTTCGCAGCTTGAAAAATTATTTTTTCTTGAGAGCAAGGCACGGCAGCCAGGGCAATCCTCCTCTTTCCTTCTCTCTCTCCTCAAGTCTTTAAACATGTCTGCCGAATACGAGGGTGCTATTGGTATCGATCTTGGTACAACGTAAGGATCAAAGATGTATTGTTAAAAGAGTAGAAGGACATTGGGATTGACATGTATGTGTGTGTTCCATGATAGCTACTCCTGCGTTGGTGTGTGGGAATCCGAACGTGTTGAAATCATTGCCAACGAGCAGGGTAACCGCACTACCCCCTCGTACGTTGCTTTCTCTGAAAGCGAACGTCTCATTGGTGATGCTGCCAAGAACCAGGCTGCCATGAACCCCAAGAACACCGTTTTCGATGCCAAGCGTCTTATTGGTCGTCGTTTCGATGATCCTGAGGTCAAGGATGATATGACCAACTGGCCCTTCACCGTCATTGATGACAATGGTAACCCCAAGATCCAAGTCCAATCCGAGGGTGAGACCAAGACTTTCTCTGCTCAAGGTAAATATTTTTTTTTCATTGTTGTTGGCTTGGAATTGGGAAAATATAGGATGGCTGACCTCGAAATCAAAAAGAAATTTCTTCCATGGTCTTGATCAAGATGAAGGAAATTGCTGAGGCTAAGCTTGGCAAGAAGGTCACCAAGGCTGTTGTCACTGTTCCTGCTTACTTCAACGACTCCCAGCGTCAAGCTACCAAGGATGCTGGTACCATTGCCGGTTTGGAAGTCCTCCGTATCATCAACGAGCCTACTGCTGCTGCCATTGCTTATGGTTTGGATGCCAATGACAAGAAGGAGCGCAACGTCCTTATCTTCGATTTGGGTGGTGGTACCTTCGATGTCTCTCTTTTGACCATCTCTGGTGGTGTCTTCGCTGTCAAGGCTACCGCTGGTAACACTCACTTGGGTGGTGAGGACTTTGACAACACCCTTGTCAACCACTTTGTCCAAGAGATCAAGCGTAAGCACAAGAAGGATATCACTGGTGATGCTCGTGCTCTTCGTCGTCTTCGTTCTGCTTCCGAGCGCGCTAAGCGTACTCTTTCTTCGCTTACTCAAACCACCGTTGAAGTTGATTCTCTCTTTGAGGGTATTGATTTCCAATCCTCCATCACTCGTGCTAAGTTCGAGGAGATCAACTCCACCCACTTCACCAACACTGTTGAGCCTGTTGAGCGTGTCTTGAAGGATGCCAAGGTTGACAAGAAGGATGTTGATGAAGTTGTCTTGGTTGGTGGTTCTACCCGTATCCCCAAGATCCAATCTCTTCTCCAAGATCTCTTCAACGGCAAGGAGCTTAACAAGTCCATCAACCCTGATGAGGCTGTTGCTTATGGTGCTGCTGTCCAAGCTGCTGTCCTTACCAACCAAGCTGGTAACGAGAAGACTCAAGACCTCCTTTTGCTTGATGTTGTCCCTCTTTCTCTTGGTGTTGAGATGCAAGGTGGCATCATGGCTGTTGTTGTTCCCCGTAACACTCCTATCCCTTGCCAAAAGTCCAAGGTCTTCACCACTGCTGCTGACAACCAAACCACTGTCACTTTCCCTGTCTACGAAGGTGAACGTTTGATGACCAAGGAAAACAACATGTTGGGTGAATTCTCTCTCAACGGTTTGGTCCCTGCTCCCCGTGGTACTCCTGAATTGCTCTGTACCTTTGACTTGGATGCCAACGGTATCTTGAAGGTCACCGCTCAAGACAAGACCACTGGTCGCAAGGCTGATGTCACCATCTCCAACTCTACTCGTCTCTCTGCTGCTGATATTGACCGTATGGTTGAAGATGCTGCCAAGAACGCTGAATCCGACAAGAAGCGTGAAGCCGTTGTTCAAGCCAAGCAAGACCTTGAGTCCTATGTCTACCAAGTTGAGAACAACATCTCTGATCCCAACGTCAGCATGAAGCTTCGTCGTGGTGACCGTGAGGCCATCGAGACTGCCCTTGCTGAGGCTATGGAATTCATGGATATCTCCTCTGAGGATGCTTCCGTTGATGACATCAAGGGTGCTCAGACCAAGTTGAAGCGCGCTACCACCCGTGCTTTCGCTCACGTCTACTCCACTCGTCGCTAAATTGCGTCGTCCATCTTGTTCTAAACCCAATACAAAAAGCACATTTTCTTTTTCTTTCGGCATCCTACCTATAATCACCCTCCCATTCTGCATTGGAATTGTGTAAAGACCCATCCTTTTGCATAGACAATTGTAGTTTTACAATAAATGTTTAAACATTTGAGAGATATAAAAAGCTTATGGGACTCTTTCTTTTCTTTACTTCTTGAGGATGATCATACATTGCTATTACTACTACCGCTACTATTGGACTTTTGGGTTCCTTCTATCTTTTTCAACTTGTCTTCGTCACCAGGTCGCATCCATGTACCGTGAGTCTCACTAGGAAAACAAAATGTCAACATTGGGGGAACGCCATTGGCATAGAATGTACTCACGCTTCGTATTCTTTCAAGAGAGGTTGGAAGACATAAACACCTGTACCGACACCAATGCCGACAGCAAGAATGAGATTTATCGCTCGTTGCGAGAACATGGCCAAGGGAATGTGGAATGAAAGAGACGTCAAAAGAGGTGCTTGTGCTTGTGTCCCACTTGCAAATAGAGCACGTGCCATTGACGGTAAGCCACACAGGGATGCTTGCTTGCATATGGCCATGGTGGTTGTTCATTGTTCATTGTTCATTGATCTTCATCCCTTTACCCCTTCTTTCTTTCTCTCACTCAGGAGTGTCCTTGGGATCATCATGATGCGCATTGATATCATCAGGTTATGGAAGAGTAAATATTGCCGAAACAAAGAGAGGGTGGCCCTACCTACCATGTAAGTGGTTGTTTCAAATGCACAAATATGGCCCGAGACCCCAGCATCTGCATAACACGCTTTTCTTCCTTACATTTTATATATCATTTTCATGCAAGCAAGGGTGCCCAATAAAACAGCAACCACCATCAACAACATCCCATCCGATGCACCACCCACACCACCTTACACCAATAACAACAACAGCAGCAAGCGCTTAGAATCAATCACTGAAAATACGGGTTCAATCGAAGCCAACCAAGGTCAGTCTTTTATCGAATAAAAACAATCAACCACTGAACAATGAATCACAACAGCTATCAATGAGCCTGCTGATAATCGCTCCTCTCGATTTGGATTACGAAAGCGTGTCAAAGGAGTGGTATCCAATGTTCCAGGTGGTCAATTCGCTGATCAATTTGCACAACGAGTGGCCACGCATGCTGATCAAGTGGCAAGTCAAGTCACCACGCGTGTCGGTTCCCTTCCAAGCCAAATCACCGCACTCCCTGGTCAAGTAGTAGGGCTTCCTGGCACTGTATTCAACACATTTGCTGGTCGTCAAAAGGAAGAAGAGGAACAGCAATCCATTCCAGAAGAGTTGATCGAGCACAGTTACAAATTACAGTTTCCACAACCGCTTCTTCCAGCAGAACCCAAGCAATTGGTCAAAGGGCTACAATTGAATGCACTCAAATACTTGGTGATTGCTGCTGTCATATGCTACTTTATTGGACGTTTGAATGCCGGCTACATCGTTGGATTATTCTTTGTTGGTGCAGGTATGTTGTAATGTGGGATACAATGGAATCACTCATCATGCTGATGTCATTGTTGTGCTACCATCCATTAGGCATTATGGCATATTGGGTATTTGGTACCGAGACGCAGGAAGGTTTGGATTGGCAGCTTGAAAAGATGGAAGGCGCTAAAACGGTATGTGTGTAAACATTAATGCATCAACAACAACCCCTTGTCAAGATCATCACATTGACATTGTTTCCCTTTTTAGCTTCGTGAAGCACAAGGCGAAACGGTGGAATGGCTCAATTACATGCTCGACAAGATTTGGCGGAGCATTGATCCTAGTATCTTTGTCATGGTTGAAGACATCCTTGAAGATGCATTGCAAAGTGTGGCACCTGCGCTTGTTGTAAGTATCAGTAATGGGATCATGAGACTTAAGGTCTAATATGATTGTTTCAGAAAGGTGTCAAGGTGACAGATTTTGATCTTGGTGTACACGCGCCTCGTGTTCAAAAGTTCGTACCTTTCATTTCCAATGGGCTTATCACCTTTTACTCATTGATGGTATTTATAGGATACGCGTATTCCAGCCATCCGCACATCAACCACCAGAGGCTATTGTGAGTAGACATAAAGGGAAACCATGGATCGTGGAATCTAACCTATGATTAAAAAAATAGTTTGGGGAGGCATCATTTATCTTTGAAGCCAATCCAGTGGCATCTTCCTCTTCTGTACGCAACATCCAAGGCGCCCCACCTGGTATTGCCATCCGATTCAAAACGGGTCTCAAGGCACCTGTGGATATCAAAGCCGAGCTTACCAAATTCAGAGGCAAGCTTCGTTTCAAGATCCTCACCTCGCCCGATATGCCTTTTGTTTCAAAGGTCACCGTTTCATTTATCAAGCCTCCCTCGATTGAGACGGGTGTTATGCCAATGTCAAAGCACTTGAATGTCATGCGGGTAAGTAAACTTGCTTGGGACTTGTGGAATGGATGATCACTCATTGGACAACCTTTATCAGCTGCCAATGATGCAATCGATTGTCAATGAAGCTGTCAAGTTGGGCTTTGCCGGCCTGGTGGATCCAAAATCAATGACGGTGGATGTGCAAGAATTGATGAATGTATTGGATACAGAGGCTTTGGGTGTGATCAAGGTTGAAATAAGGAAAGCAACGCGTTCGCCAACGATTACCAATTTGGAGGATATGGAAGATGCTTATGGCACAGTCAATATCAGCACCCGGAAAAAGTTTGCGCCATCCACACGTGTGCTCACCAATGATGAAGATCCTCGATGGAATGAAAATCTCTATGTCCTTGTTTATGAAGGTATGTACGCGATCATAGTGTCCTTATCAACAAGATGCTAACGTTTCTTTCCACAGAGGATATCGCATCCGATGCCACTCTTGATGTCAAAGTATGGGATGCCGACAAAGTCAAGCCTGATGATGAGTGGGGATGTCATTCAACACCTATCCGAGATATTGTGCGTGCCAAGTTGGATGACCTTGGGAACATTGTGGATTGGGACAAGGAGGAAAGAGTGATCTTTGATGGGTAAGATACCTTTTTAACAACAATGGAGTGGCCGTGTATACTCATCTTTATATAAAGTTGGGCCCCCTTGGATGGAAAGCCTACAATAGAAGAATCTGAAACGAAGCTCAGTTATCGCATGACATTCCATCCAAAATACTTTGCAGCTCCACCTGATTCGCTCATGACTCGTTTGCAAAAGAAATCGGAAGAGGTGAAGCGTCTCGAGAAAGAAGAATGGAATCCGATTCACAAATGCGGTATGATTATTTGCGGAGGAGGAGGGGGAAATAGCCAACGACAAAGCTGATTAATTTAATGCAATGTAGGCATTTTATCGGTCCAAGTTACTGAAGCTGCTGATTTGGAGATTGCTGATCCCGAAATGTTGGCCGACGACGACTTGAAGCACCCTTACAGCCATAATCAGATCGTCAACCCTTATGCCGTGCTCTATATCAATGATCACAAAGTCTATGAATCGAGAGCAAAACTACGCAATTCCAGCCCTGTAAGTTTATTCGATGGATCGATTGTCATACACTTGTTACTTATGACTGTATAAACATATAGCATTGGAATGCCATCTCAGAGCACTTTATTAAGGACTATGAAACGACCTTCCTCCGTATCTCAGTCAAAGCTAGCATGGACTTGGAACGTGATCCAGTGCTTGGTACTCGTGTATTTTACCTCAGTGATATGTTTGTGGATCAACAGGACAAGGTATGCGAGTCGAGGATGGAAATAGGGGTGGTCATTAGTAGTAACACGGATCCATAGTACAAAGAGGCCGAGAAATGGGTTGCATTAGCCAATGGCATTGGTTTTGGCAAGGTGTTGATGAATCTAAAATACAAGCCCGTCAAGCTGTCATTGCCACGAGAATTACAAGGATCAGGTACATGAAATACAAAATGTTTGGGTTGACCAAGATGCTCATATATGATGATAGATGTTGGAACCATGATCATTGAACAAGTGCGCTTCGTCAATCTCAAGAGCCCTTTCTCTACGGACCATCTACGTTTTATCAAAGCCATGCTCTCTCTCAATGTTGATCCTGTCATTATGAAACGGCTCAAGACACGTGATTTGCGCAATGAAAATGGCGAGATCGTATGGTCCAAACGACCCATGTATTTCCCACTGACGATGCGATATCGTACAGCATTGTATGTGAACGTTCAACAAGGCAGCATTACCAGCTCCAAGGCTATGGGTCGCTTGTGGCTCAAAACTGTATGCGATGGCAATTGGCAAGAGGCTACCATTGGCTTGTATGATCCATTGTCGGAAAAAGAATGCAACAAAAACGAGGATGACTGGAGCCCTGATGATGCACCTTATGGCCAAATGAAAATCAGATTCATGATCCTACCTGGATTCTCTCCTGTTCACACGAATTTGCGTCATTTCCGTATGGATATGTTGGGTGCTGATCCCTTCCGAGATGAAACGTTACGCAACAAGGCACGTCAATTGATCGAAGAAGAGGAAGCACAGCAAGAGGAAGCACATCGTGGATCACAAGCAACTGAGCTCTCGGACGTGTATGGCGATGAACAAGAAGAGAATGATGAAAACAATAGTACGCTACAAGGAGAGGAAGACGCGGAACAAGAGTACCTCAAGGACCTTAGGGATTACAATAAGCCTCACAAGATCCCGAGATTGTTTGTTTTACGCAAGGCTGTACGTGGTACGGATTTCGTCAGGAGCAGGGTTGAGAAGATGCGTGATGGATTTAATTCTGAAGCCCGAGCAAGCCGTACTGTTGCCAAAGAATAGCTTCGTTCCCATTTGTACATATTACCTAATCCAAACCATAGTTTATGCATGTATAACTTTTTTATAATAATATTGCTATATACATATACACTTTTATGGACTGCAAGGTGGATGCTTTAGAGGATACATACTTAGAGACAAAGATAAACCAACTTTTATTATCCATTAGACTACGTAGGTTTATGGCCGACGTGCACACATCTTGCATATCAATTCGCCAGGTGCACCTTCTTGCCACATGCCTATTATATGGATGTTATCCAAGGTGATCGTCATGTAGGTGATAAATCATCAACGTACCTGGCACCCTAGCTGAAAGCAGCTTATTGCACTTGTTACATTGAAAGTGATGCGGGTGATAATCTTGGTTGAAGGCTGACACTGCTCGACCATCTATGACTTCTTTGCAATGGCGACAAATTTTGGCGGTACCAGGGTTCAATGGATGCTTGTAGTGGTGTTCACAATAAGGTTTGTTGTTGCGGACAAAAAAGCTGTTTGATGTAAAGGCCTTTCCACAATCCTTTCAACAAAGACAATGAATACCATCACCATACACATCCACAAAGAACACTTACTGCACAAACGAAACAATCCTTATGCCAATCACCATCCAAAGCAACCAAGAATTCGCCGGTAATGTACTCGCTACATCCCATGCATTTATGACCAAACTTGCGCATGTAATCCTTTTCACAATAGGGATGACCATCATGGACCATGAATGCACTTGATTCATCAAAGGGCTTGCTGCATTCTCGACAGAAAAAGTGACCCACGTGATAATGCTTGCCAAGAGCGCTAATCGATTTCTCCTCAATGGGCGTGTTACAATAATCGCATCGCGTGCTGAATAACTCATGGAAATCCAATGCACAATATGGATAGCCATCCTTGGTATGAAACGCCACATGCTCGAGATCTTGTCCACAATGCTTGCATTGGAAACAATCAACGTGCCATTGTCTTTGTTCTACACGCACCATCCGACCAGCGATTGGTTTATCACATCCAGCACAAAGAGTCCCCATATAAATTGGATTTGGTACGCTCACTTTGTTGATATCTGATGGGGTTGGAGAAATGGATGTTGTAGTTGTTGTCGTTGTAGGAGGTGATGACATGAAAGAAGGTTTGGATGGTGGTTTCGGTGGTGGGTTGCCAAGTCCCAGTGGTTTGGTTGGTATAGTTGGTGGTGGTGGTGGTGGTGACCGAGGTCCTGGTGATGATGGTAATTCTTGTTGTTCGGCTGCTGGTGGACGTGGTATGGATCGTCTTGATAATGATGCTTCAAAGGCATCAGCTGCACCTCGACTAGTACGCTTTGGCTGTTGTTGTGATGGTGGTGCTGCTGCTGTCGACTGGTCATGGATAGCATCACCTACAGCCTCCTGTAGTCGCTGTACTTGTTCACCAAGGTTGCTGCTAGCTTCCTCCTTGACATTCATTTTGCTCATTGGATACACGAGATCACTGCGTGCTGCATTGTAGTTTGTTGAAGGTGATCGCCAAGCTGCGGGCTTAACGGGAGGTCTTGGCCCTTTGAGATTGCCACCAGGTCTTGAAGTAGTAGGACTCTCCTTCCTTGACAGGTACTTGCCTATTCACTATCGCTGTTAGACAATGACCCCAATGACACTAGAAATGGCACCCACCAAGCTCATCTTGTACTGGTTGCGAAGACATAATATTACGTGTGTGCGGCTGCTGGGAAGAGATTATGCAAGAATGTAAAAGAACACAAGTTGACCCTCTCCGCTGTCGGTCGTTTCGCCATTTTCTGATGTCGATCCTTTGTAAACAACGATACCAAATACAGCAAGATGGCCCCCTCTCATCATACTAAAGGTGTTGTAATAGTGCACATTTCAATTACTGCCAGTCATCATCGTACACTTATTTCATAGCACATGTACTCCGTCTTCGGCATAAAGGACATATCGATATTCTTCTTACAAAGAAATGCTGTGAAGTACAATTATTGTTTTCCTTTGTGATTTACATATGTGGTGGTGATGGTATCTGGTGTTGTGATGAAGATTTGGAGATCAGATATACTCCTAGTAAGTGCCCACCAACGCATTGCACATTCTATTGTCTCACTTACCTTATGAGTAGTGTATGGAAGAAGGATTATTTATGCATGTCTTTCAAACGCAGCGATGCCGACGAACGTCTTAATAACGAGATCAACGCATTCCTCGTACTTGTACAACAGCTAATAATATACGATTGGTCAATGATATATGATTTACAAGCAAAGTCAATAGAATCGTATCTTGTTTACGGTCCCAAATTGCGTATGATGATGCATCGGTAAATGAATCAATATCTTGCAATAGGAATCATGTGATCTAATTTGGACCTTTTCCTCACTTCATGGGATTCCTCATCGCCGCCTTCATCATGTAGTCTTCTGCCCTTTGAATGAAAATCTGAACAGCTTCGTCATATCCTAGGTAACTATCCAATCTCAGTTTCCTGGTTCTTCTTCAGTGATACCATGACAACTCGTATTTATTTTGATGTGTATATAGACCATTTACGGGATCATACAATGATACTCAATTTACAGAGATGTTGTGCTTTTTCTTGTCACTATGTCTGGAGTATTGTGGTAGCTTCTGTGGTGGCTCATTGTCATTAAGCATGATGGAAGCACCTACGAGAGCGATACTGTATGTAGACAATGCAGCTTGACCATCTCTTGATCGAGTAGTGTAATGGTACGGCTTCGCTGGACAGCCTGGATTACACATAATGAAACACCCAATCCTCTTTTGGTGAGGGTCTTTCCGCCTGGCATCGTCTTTTTATACTTTGGATGTGTATAAACAACCCTCATCGGGTATCGCTTACTCCCACCACGTCTACTACTACAACAACTACCATACACACATCAGCCCCAAAAGAGATCCATTGAAGGATTCTCCGCCCGATTGTCATCACGGATGCGATTGATATGATTGATGTCACACTTGACATCGGCATTGTAATCCTGTCGTTTGAATGCGTATGCTGTATGTATATGATGACGAATGGCCCCTTGATCCGAAACTTCATATTGAGAAAAATCGACTTCATAAAAGTCGAAAATTTCTCCACTCTGCTCCATCTTCATTGGGTGGCAGATGTCGACCCACAAATTGACCATAGAGGTTGATTACCCAAATGTAGGAAGCGGTTATTAGATCACTTCATGAGGGCTGTAGTAGACTGTGCGACCTAATACAGCTTTGCATATGCATCTCAGGATGTAGCTATATCAAAAGGAATGTAAGTTTGTGCTTCATAAAACAAAATGATTAGCTCTCACCTCATCAGAAGAGCTAATACCACAATGGCCACAGTGGAAATGCTGCAAGGAGGATAACAATGAAAGGCCAAAGATCTTCACACATATGAGTACATGGATCACTCACAAATAAAACTACCATCCAAATGTAATACTCACCAAGGTATTTTGAAGGTGTCAGTAATTAAAGAGTGATATGATGGGAAGAAAGAAATGTGTGGGAGAGAAGCGATGGGCGACAACATTCATGTTGTTTATATGTGCACGGTGGGCGTGGGTGTTTCTGTGACCACAAAGAATGATAAAGCTTGGCCTTTACAGAGAGCCTTGGTGTGATCGGTGATGGTGCATGCATGAATCAGAATCTGAGATAGACAAGGTGATCCAACAATGGCATCAATCATCAAATCACTTGCTGTGCTCAAGTTTTACGAAACAAGATGCTGTTGGAGGATGTCTATGTAATTGTTCGTTAAAAGAGGAATTGTTGGCATCTTCATAGTTGATAAGAAAAGTACACAAGCGTGAATGTGATGTAACCACGACAAGGTTGGTCTAACGGCTTCCTCTGATAATCATGCAGCAACCTGTCAACGACGCGTGTGTAACCACCACGTGCCATTTCACCCTGAGAGCACCTTGCCTATACTTGTGCTCTCGGCACAATCAATTAGCAGCAACAGCTACATCACGCTTATTACAGAGTGTAGGTAAAACATAAAGCTGCCTGTTTCTCAACATTTTCATAATAAAGGTTAAAGGGTTTATGAGACCAATATTGATCAGCGTGTCCTAGAGCATCTTGTGTGGAAGTTTCAATCCCGAGATGGGAAATCTCCAGCTCATGGGCCGTCGACCTTACTTATATGTATGCCCATCCGTTCATTGGCGGACGATCCCATTTAGAATTTCATTATGAAGCGTGAGGTCTTTATGAGAACAAAATTGATCAACATGTCCAGGAGCACCTTGTGTGAAAGTTTCAGGTTCGAAAGGGGAAATCTCATAATCAAGGATTGATGTACAGTGTTCATGCATTTATACAAGAAGTGTCCGACCTCTTTAAGTTCCCACTCCTTCCACTCCCACAACCTCTTGTCTCTTGCTCCCATTCTCAACTATTGCTCATTGAAGTATACAACTACCACCTGCGAACGATTGTCCTGCTTCAACCCATCATGTCAACCCTAAACTCTCTTGATTCGAAAGGCTTGGACTGAATGGCTTGTCCATGGCGTGTGCACCCCACTACAACAACCGCGTTTCACTACACGCTCTTGCACGCTCCTCTGCCACAATCAAACGTAACAACATTCATTCAAGCGGTTGCCATTAGCGATGTCTTCAGTCCATTGTCTCAAACAGTGTTCTTCCCTTGCAGCAACTTGTCTTACGACCTTGTCACGTGGATAGCAGATAGTCATTGTACACGCATAGCAACTTTGTTCAATACATACGACTTCTTGTGGATATGGAGATGGATCTGAATGATGGTTTGGTGCATGGGATGGAAGGGATTGGGTGTATACAACGCATTGAGAACGTGATGTCTACTTTGGATGAAGCCATAAGTCATCAACTTCGCCACAATACAAGCAATCTTCAGCTGGTTGAGCTGCAATCAAACATGACCAACAAAGAGAAAGAGGCTAAGGATCGGATGGACAAGGAGGCATATCAACAGCAATCACTGGGGCTCCTTTCTACCAACATGTTGGGTTTGCGATGGTGATCGTGGATGGATGAATGCAAATGAGGATCAAGGGTTGTGGTTACTTGTCACGTTGTCAGCAGGGATGGATCATGTCATGTGGATACGGTTGAAGATGATGATGGATGGGATGGAATTGACGCATACCTAGTCGGCCTCTTTGTGCTTTTTGGGTATTGAAGTTGGTGACGATGAGATTGACGACTGCTGACCAGTACGAGTACGAGTACGAATGATGATGGAGGACGAAGACGAGGATGGTGGCAATGTAGCTAGATGGGATAAAGCATTATTTATTTATTACACACTTGGACTTTGCTAGCTTGTGGATTACATAATGTAGCTTGGAAGATGGAATAATAAAGGTGGTTCGCTTATGTATCGTTCACGCAAGAAGTATATGCCTTTCGTGATACAATAAGGAGGAGTAGGATGACCTTGAGAAGAGAAAAAGTGAACCATCAATAACATCTTACTGCCACGTCCGTGCGCACTGAATTCATTATTGGGTTTACATGTACAAATTGGTTTACGCAGCTCGACCTTCCCCTACATCCAAATGTGTTATGAAACCATTATTATTGCTATTGGCACACCTTCCTTATTGGATGATGTGTACCCCAACTCGCATACATACCTTCCTAAAGACAATCATTATCACCATCCATTTGTGTAGCAACCTGTCAAAGACGTGTGTGTGTAACCACCACGTGCCGTTTCACTCAGCTCTTCATCTTTCCGTTAATGCAGCCGACACCATCCACTAGGAAAAAGCAACTCCATCACGCTTACAGCATAGGTAAAACATAAAGACGCCTGTATATCCAAACTTTACAATGAAACGTGGGGTTTTGAATAGAGCAATGGGCTCGGCTTGGCCAACAGCACCTTGTGTGAAAGTTTCGCGTTCAATGTCGCAAACAGCCCAAAAAATATTTTTTTGGTCGTCGTCGTCGAAGAGGTCGACCCCTGGATCCACTTTGGCTGGTGGCGACATTGCGAAATCTGCGATTGGCCACGATGAAGGTGAAACTGGCACACAAGATTCCTTTGACCCCGACGAACAGGTTGCTCTAATAAAAACCCCACGTTTGATTGTAAAGTTTGGAGATACATGTGTCTTTATGTTTTTACTATGCTGTAAGTATGATGCTATATGAAGAGTGGTCTTCGTTCAATGTCAAGTCGCTGGACCCTGGCAGAGCAAAAGATGCAGAAGGACCTCTTTGTGTAACTCAGCTACTTTGCATGACTGGAAGGATGGAAGGATGATACTATATACTGTTGACAAAAGCCCGTACATTGCGAGCTAACAGCCATTTCCTCACAATAGCCACTGTTGTCCACTCTATGACATGTGGGCGATTCTCCTGCTTCAGACATTCATTTCCATGATTGGATTATGTTGATCCGAGTTGATTTGGCTGAGCTACGCTCATACAAGGTTACTTCAGTTGAGCAACATAGAGCATGGTTAGATGTGTGGATTGATGTAATCCCTCTTTGGCCGTATCTAGGTCAAATCAACTCGGATCAACATAATCCAATCATGGAAATGAATGTCTGAAGCAGGAGAATCGCCCACATGTCATAGAGTGGACAACAGTGGCTATTGTGAAGAAATGGCTGTTAGCTCGCAATGTACGGGCTTTTGTCAACAGTATATAGTATCATCCTTCCATCCTTCCAGTCATGCAAAGTAGCTGAGTTACACAAAGAGGTCCTTCTGCATCTTTTGCTCTGCCAGGGTCCAGCGACTTGACATTGAACGAAGACCACTCTTCATATAGCATCATGCTTACAAACATAAAGGTGCCTGTATCTCTAAACTTTACAATGAAACGTGAGGTTTTTATTAGAGCAATGGGCTCGGCTCGGCCAACAGCACCTTGTGTGAAAGTTTCGCGTTCAATGTCGCAAACAGCCCAAAAAATATTTTTTGGTCGTCGTCGTTGAAGAGGTTGACCCTCAGATCCAGTTTGGCTGGTAGCGACATTGCGAAATCTGGGATTGGCAAGCTTGATCATGAAACTTGCACCCAAGGTGCAGTTGGCCAAGCCGAGCACATTGCTCTAATAAAAACCCCACGTTTGATTGTAAAGTTCGGAGATACAGGCACCTTTATGTTTGTAAGCGTGATGCTATATGAGAAGTGGTCTTTGTTCATTGCCAAGTAGCTAGACCCTGGAGAGCCAAAGATGCAGAAGGACCTCTTTGGGTAACTCAGCTAAAAAGTCAGGACTTCAGGGACAATGCATGAAAGGTACGCAACCCTCACTTTTATATCATACATTGGCAGCTAATAGACACTTTTGTGCATTCCCAACTTTTGTGCATTCTATTGTAGGTGGACGATGCTCCTGCTCTAGACATTCATTTCCATGATTAAAGTAGGTTGATCCGAGCTGATTTGACTGAGTTACGCTCACACAAGATTACATCGGTTGAGCTACATCGAGCGTACTCTATGTCCAGAGTGATGTAATCTCTCTTTGACCGTAGCTCAGTCAAATCAGCTCGGATCAACCTACTTTAATCATGGA